ATGAAAGAAAATTTGCACGCAGCTGAGAAGGGGGGAGGAGGTGGAAGGGAGTTCTTAGCATTCATATGCTCACAATTTCTAAAACCTCTCACCCTCAAGTACTCGAGTTTCACACATACTCCACACATTCCCGTCTTCTCACTCACTCTCAAATACTCTACCAATCTCTAATCATCAAAAATGCCGATCAAAGGACTCAGCCACGCCGCTATCGATTGGAGCGTCCTTTCCTCCTAAGAGACGGCGCTGCTGAAGCTATTTTTGGCTCTAGCAAAGAGGAGAGGAGGAGGTTTGAAACCAAAATGTCGATATATACTAACAAGGGAATGGTCAGAAGTCAAAGTGGTCGAACCAAACAAGCTGTATACCATTCGATACAGCATGAAACGCTGACTTCGAATCTGTCTTCCTTATCTGCTTCTCGCTTCAGTGGACGAAGCTACAAGCAGTTGTATGGTGGAAAAATCGTACATAAAAATTACGAAATTGAGCATATTGTTGCACTTTCAGCTCAGCTTTACGCTTTGAGAATTTGAAGTAAGTAAGCTGCATGTTTTGGCCCAGCATTGAGCCGCACGTGGCCCTGTAATGCTAAATTTTCACCTTCGCGCACAATTTCTTAGCCAAAAAATGGCCTTAGCCAAAAAATGGCCTTTTATGGCTTTTAATAGCTTCGTCCAGAAATGCGATAAGCAGATAAAGAAGACAGATTTAGAGTCAGCACTTCATGCTGCATCTAACGATATGCAGCTTGTCTGGATTAGCCACTCGATATCTGTCCATTTCCTTGTAAGCTGTAGGTGTAGAGTAGATTTATTTAAAAAATTAGGAAAAATTATGTGAATTGGAAGTTTTGCCAACTTCAGGTTGTTGGAAAAAAGTTGGGCACGCTCTTCATTCAAATAAATTTTTCATAATTTTTCATACTTTGTTACTTAGTCTACTGCGCATACACCAAATCCCGCGCAATTTCGTCACGTCTGCGTTGCAAACGAGCCATTTTTCCATTTTTTGGTAGCGGGAAATTTTCAGAAGAAAGTTTACCACAACCTTCAGTGACATACTTTTTTATTGAAACTTCTTAGTTAAGCCCTGCAGGTTCGTGTGCATGTATAGACGAAGTTTCATAGCATATCGTCGTCTGTGTGTTGTAGACGAGTCGTTTGAATTCACATCTCCTCTCAGCAGTTATGCAAAATTTTTGGAAAAAATGCTAATTACACCTTCCATTCACATAAGTTTTTCATAATTTTTCATACTTCGTTTCCACTAGCCTCTCTTCGTTAGCTTACGAAATTTCGTGCCATATAATCATGCATGCATTGAGACTACTCATGTCTGCTGTTATATACAAACCAGACCAAAGTGCCGCTTCGCGATCAAGACAGTACCGCTTAGGCATTGCCCACACCCACTTACCAGACCAAAGTGCCGCTTCGCGGCACTTTGGTCTGGTAAGTGGGTGTGGGCAATGTCTAAGCGGTACTGTCTTGATTGGATGTTTCATTTTCTTCACATTCTATTGAAACATTCTATCTGCTATGGTATAGATGAGAACGCTTTATAACAAAATGACCATGGTTCAAGTGAGTCAGGGTTTGTAGTTTATCTGACTGCATAAATATTGCACTGCATACTGCATTAATATTTTTTCATGTTTCGGCAAAAAGCTTGTAATCCGTTTCACATAAGTGAATTTCATGTGTTATAGTACGAAACAGTACTCTCTGCTGATGTCTACAACAGTGAGATAACGTGAGCAAAGACACGGAGAAAAGTTTCGATTCTAATGTGGTTTTCTGATATATATGCACTATTTTAGATATCTCAAACTGCGTTGCAGTTAGACCCTCCATATTCTGAATTCGTAGTTGCTGCCGTTGCGTAGGCAGTAGCAGGTAGTAGCGCTGAACACAGCTGTGTGAATGCGTAGATCGAAGGCAGTTTTTATTTATAATTCTACCCTATTGTATTTTTGGATTTATGTGAGAGATGAACAGATTTGGGCTTCATGCAAAGCTCAGCAGTACTATTTGATGCAGCGTACAGTGAAGTGTTTACGGAGATACGGTGTTTTTGAGAACATCTTTGAAAGAGAACAGAATTGGCATGCGTTCAAAAAATTGAGGTTTTTTTGTAAGGCGAGTGCAAGTGGCTCGGAACAGATTTCGAAAAAAGCTACGCTGTTTTGAAAATGGTTTCTACGTTAAAAGGCTCACCACCACGTGATTTCTGAAACGTAAAAAGATAATTCACCCCTGAGATGCATAAGAGACTTTTGAAGTGAAAGAATATTTTGGAAAGCATACCAAAATTTTGGAGCAAGTCAGTTGAGGAATGTGATTACAAAGTGACTTACATTGAGTCAAGCACCCTGTTAATAATATATTTGTAATCAGCATGCTCGATTACCCCCCCCCGTGCCAACTCCCAGCCCTGTAGCTCAAATTTTGCAAAAAATCGATGAAATCGATATCGATCGATGACGAAAAGTAGCCTATGACACCCGCCGGGGCCCGAAGTGTATGTGTGCCAAGTTTGGTCCGGATCGACTCAGAAATGGAATTTTCTATTCGGAACATACGTACAGACAGACATACAGACAGACATACAGACAGACAGACAAACAGACATTCAGCTTTATATATAAGATAGTGAAATAGTGAAATCGGCTGAGATTGTGAAGACTACAGATTGATTTCGAAAGGTGGTGGTCGCTTGAGAAGCACTTTAGACTATAACTGCAACTTTCTGTAGAAGAATTATATGTCGATCAGGACACGTGATGTTTTCCAAATATAAAATAACTAGCTGGCTTGCCCGGCTCCGCCGGGCCTGCCAGCTAGACCCGTGTACGTATGTTCCGGATAGAAATGTTTATTTCTGAACCGATTGGGACCGAACTTTGCACACATACTCTTCGGGGCAGGGAGCCTGTCACAGTCCACTTTTCGTTATCGATCGATGTCGATTTTACCGATTTTTTGCAAAATTTGAGCTAGGGGGCTAGGATTTTGCACAGGGGGGGTAATCGAGCATGCTGATCACCCTCTTCGGGGTGATCAGCATGCTCGATTACCCCCTTCTGCCAAATCCCAGCCCTCTAGCTCGAATTTTGCAAAAAATCGATAAAATCGATATCGATCGATAACGAAAAGTAGCCTATGACACGCTCCCTGCCCCGAAGTATATGTGTGCCAAGTTTGGTCCAAATCGGTTCAGAAATAAAAATTTCTATTCCGCACATACGTACAGACATACATACATACATACAGACAGACAGACAGACAGACATTCAGCTTTATATATAAGATTAGGGAAATTATGTAACGGTTGAGGATTCGTTTGAAAATCACAAAAGTGGAAATATTTTTTCAAAAAAATTGCAGCTCACTATTTTGTAGTTTAGAAACAAATGGTAGTGCTGAGCGAGGTACTAAAATTTAATTGTTATCAGATGCCCATTCTTATGGACGATTTTTCGAAATGTGTGATTCTGCTCAAAAAGCATGTTTACACAGGTTTTCGTTCACATGATTGAACTGTTTTTTCTTAGAAAATGCTAAATGAGAAAGGAATTGATAGCTGACCTGTTCCGATAACTCGAGTAGAGGTGCTGCTGCAATGTGAAAATAGAGACGTCTATTGTAAAGACAGAATCAATCGATATTACCGCTTACAGCTTTTCTTTTTTGGAGATTGCACTTTAGAGGTTAAGGTTTTCATCAACATCGTCTAGATCGGACATCACTGGCATAATGAAGAGTCATCAACCCTGTACGCCTGCAGCGGCATGCAACGACAGACCTGTTGACATCTCAGGAAATGGGGGGGGAGATGTTACAGAGAGACACCGTGCGCTTTATTATATAGAGAGACATCAACCCTGTACGCCTGCAGCGGCATGTTACCGCTTACAGCTTTTAACTTTTTGCAGACTGCACTTTGGAGGTTAGGTCATCAACATCGTCTAGATCAGACATCACTGGCATAGTGATGAGTCATCAACCCTGTACGCCTGCAGCGGCACGCAACGACAGACCTGTTGACATCTCAGGAGGGGGGACATGTTACAAAGAGACACCGTGCGCTTTATTATATAGAGAGATAGCATCGTTTGAGCGGCGTCGCGCATGCGGCAGTGTTGCGCAACGGCGCCGTTTGACGCGTGCGAACTCCAGGGTTCGCCTGTTGAGACACATAGCATGTTAAGATAAGCAGAGAGCATGAACTACCAATTTTTTCGTGGCTTCGCCTCGGACCCGCAAACGATTTCGCCTTTGCTTTTTCTGCCGAAAACGATTTCCAGCTTGTCATTTGCCAACCTCGTGCCGAGCCCTGAATCTTTTACAAGTTGCAATGGTAAAATATTAGAATGCGCTAAAACGCACTCGCGAACTCTTAGTCATGCTTACGTAAAGCTAGCTCGTGTTTCCTACTCGGAGAATAAATGTTACACCATGTTTCAAGTAAAAGAGATGTCTAGATCTCCTCGAAAATAATTTGCTCAATGGGGCTGAAGCCCCAAAATGTAATGGTGGTGTAGAATTGAAGACTGGATGATGGCGAAGATGTGATAACACTTGCCAAGAAAGTTAGCCGCGCTCAAAATGGCAGGAACATTTGCACGTGGAAAATGATGAGCCGCAGGTTGACCATTTTTTAGCCACAGATGTCTGTCGCATGAATACTGTATTGAACTGCAAGTTTTCTACAATATAGCAGAATCAACCCTTGGCTTACACGAAAAAATGTGCTATATGCGACTGATAACGAAGAACGACACTAGTTCAAATCTCCAGTACAATCATACACCTATAAAAGTTAAGAGTGACTTTCTGTTCAAGTGTCAATCATTTTCTTGATGGTGTGAAGTTGTGAGCACCGTATTCGAACTATTTCTACGGCTTCAAAAGTCGGCTTAGTGTTAATTGCCATTTCGAAAGCGAAGCCACACTACTCAGTAATCAGTCGAAACAAACACATTACTCCCTTCCGACATGTTGATGACTGCTAGCTTTCTTGCTTTTTTCACATTCCCCTTTGTTTTCTCACAGGTAAAGAAGAAGGTCAGTCCAAAATTATTCGAAATTGCAAAACCAATTATTTGCTGATCGAGTACACCTATAATATTCAGATCACCGTTGGAATTGCAGCAGTCGAAGAAGTACTGCCGAGTTTCATGGGACACTCGCTCAGTGGGGGCGCCATAGGCTTAGCCATAGATCGCATGAAGGCTGAGGGAATTGCTGAAGGATTTGAGTTTGAGTAAGAAACTTGAAACTTCAGCTCTCGATAAGTTTCTACTTCGCCCGTCCCTTCTCCACTCCTTTGAATGCAGGATGCTAACTTTTGACAATGATCTTGCAGTAGTAAAAAATCAAATGGCTTATAAAATGTTTTGATCTAGTTTTTTAATCTATTTTTCTATTTTAGTATACAATCTGATTTTCATAATGATTAAAGTAGTTTCGTACAGGAAATTCTACCAGCATGTGTCATTCGTAAAAGATGATTGAACCGGTTTACAGTAACAGCTCTCAGAATTTACTTGGTTATTTATGATGCATAGCGAATTTAATTGAAGCTCTTTTTAAAATGTGGTGTGACGCACTTCCCAAATTTTAACTTGTTATAAAATTTCTGTCGCATCAAATGCTAGCGCGATAGGAAGAAGACAAAGAAGATGAATTTTCGATAAAGCAAAGTCAGCTCTTGAGTATTCACACGAATGCTAGCGCGGTAGGAAGAAGACAAAGAAGATGAATTTTCGATAAAGCAAAGTCAGCTCTTGAGTATTCACCGAATTGTAGCCTGTATAAAGTTTAGAGCAAAAATTTGGCGATAAGTACCTCAGAAATCGAATTCGCTCGGAAAGGCTTGCAAATTTTCAATCTGATCATTACGTAGTGAACCATAATGGCATGCGTATAGACTCCTGCCCTGTTTTCTTACGAATAGAAAATCAGGCAAGCAAAAATTTACATATTCCTGCCACAAATCTGGACACTGCTCCCGTAGAAATACTTTCATGCTGCAAACCTTATTTTCCTTTAGCGGTTTTCGAAGATTATTGTATGAAAAGTTAATGTCTGTTTGTTCACCCATCTGTCTGGCTACGTGCCTGTGCTGGGCCTTCACGCGATTTCAGTCGTGAAGCGATTTGTCAGTGCTCCAACTCTTTGTGGCTCATCGTAAGCGCATTTTGATACAGAACATAAGCTTTTATCAATCTGCGAAAATTGTACACATTATGCATTCGTAGTCTGCAAGTGTTCATTTCAAGCTTTCAAATTGTCAGATCGCTTTGAAACTGGAGTCTGAGGTATGCCCGAGACCTGAAGGTGTTCCATTGTCATAGTTTGTAGGCGAAACCGGGTAGGCCAGCGATTATTGTTGGAAATTCGAGAGAGACTATGCTTTCGTAGAATTGGCATTGTTTCTGATAAAAAAAGGTTCATCAACTCACTAATGTTACTGTTTTTGCTGAACGATGACCAAAAGGGCTCGTTTTCCGAATGTGTTCGATTTTAGTTGAGCTCCAAACATCACATGACTCAAATTTCCTAAACATCTTATACGCTCGCTTTTTTATCAAATCCTTATAAACGAGCAAGTGAATCTTTATTATAATTCATGATTTATTTACCTTTCTCAAAGTTACTACACTATGTGGCACCCAAACAAATTGATCCATTCTTTCAACGTGACTGATCTCGCTACCCTTTGCTAGCTAGAAGTGCCGAGCTCCTCTTGAAATTTGCCCCCCCCCCCCCCCCCATATCATCTCCGGTCTTCCCATCGGGCGCTTATGTGGTGGCCGCCATCCAGTTGTTATCACTTGTGAATAACTGGAACAATTTTTTGGATTATTTGAAAATTTAACTTATTAGCTTTATAAAAAAAACTCTGAAAAATCTGCCGGCGCCTCTTATTGAATTTCGGGTTATAAACCTATAAAAAGAATGGAAGACGGCTCAAAAATGTTTGAAGTGCGTGGCTAACTCCACGCTCTTTCAGTGTTTTCTCTCCCCCCCCCCCCCCCTTTTCGATTGAAATCTCTTGTACCGCCACTGTTATGCACTATTTAGCCAAGAGCGGATGGACGAGTAATCACATCAGCTTCAGAAGCTGTTTTAAGCTCATTAGAAACGTATGTAACGGTTGTGCTTGCACTCTTCCATCTGCACCTTCCAGGTTCCTAGTAAACTACACCGAATGCGACGAAGCAGTGGCGGTCGGTGTCGCAGTGGAATTTATGAAGGAACGTAACGTCGACGTGGTGATTGGTCCGCCCTGTCCAATGTGTAAGTTTCTGACAGAACTGTTCACCTCTGCAATCCCAGCCTTGTCTTGCACGAAGATGCGCAACCAAGAATTATATACCTAAGAGTGAAGACAAATCTACACGCTGTATTACAATACCGCTCATAATCCGTCAAAAAAGTCACCAAACTGCAGTGTTTTCGCCATACGTTGGTTCAGCGTAGATAAATTTTGTATACAACGGCAGCCTTCGACTCATCTCGGCGGTTAGAGTACACAAATTAAATTTTTGCTTACGCTACTCATTGCACATCGAGTAACCTACATAGGCCAAAACTGTTGATCTGACCGCCTACCGTATCCAAACCGGCACATCTATATATCAGAGGATGGCGCCTCATTGAGCTGAGTCGAACGTGCCCTTGCATTCCATGTTCGTCCGCTCTGAATCAAGATATGGAGACGAACTCAGATGGAGTTTGGTGACTTGACGAATTATGAACGGTTGTTGCTTCATATAATCCCAGTAAAGGCAGTGGACAGGCAAAATGGACCCCTGTCAGATTTTGGTAGTTTCGGGTAGTAAACCGCCAAGTACACCGTAGCCCCAATCCCACCTTCCAATTCATGCGTTAAATCCTAAAAAATGGCTTCAAAACTCCACCAGTCCCGCCCACTTCCATTGAGTGGGCGTTATTGTTGGAATTTTGAAGCACTTTTTTAGGACTTGACGCATGAATTGGAGGGTGGGATTGGGGCTACTTGGCGGTCCACCGCCCGAAACTACCAAAATGGGTCCATTTTGCCTGTCCACTGCTTTCAAACTCCTACTACTATAGTTATTAAACCAGATTAGTTCTAGTTCCGCTACGCCTGTTTCTGCAGTGGATGTTTGTTGTCTACCAGCAAACATTTCCGGCCAAAAACTTTCCATGGTAAAGCAAAAGACAATTCCTAACTTCTGATAAGGACATGATAACCAGAACTGCTCAAGCGATCTTAGAGCAAAACAGATTGTTCGAAGTGCATTCTGCTAAATACAGAGTTTCCATGTCAATGATCATTAGTATTCCCCGTTCTAGAAAGTTCTTCTGCCAAACTGCGGGTATCATGTGAAGCTGGCATCATAGATCTACAATATTGGAATCATTGAGAACGTTACTGTAGGATTGAGGGTAAAGAGCAGAGGGAGGTGGAGGGTTTTAAGACATTAAAACAGTATTCTGCCTCAGAGAAGGAGTCAACCAACCTAAAACGTCATCAAGATAGTACGATCCGATTTCAACTCGCAGAAAATGTCGCGTGCGAGAAAGCTTACTATACCACTTTTAAGATATTTTGGGAATCTTCTGGAAGTAGCAGGTTTCACGCTTCCGCTTTTTGCTGGAAGTTACTACCATAACTTCATAATACCAAATGTTACCTGAGCTCGGCAAAAGACTTTGTGTAAGGAGAGAAGTTAGAGGCCATGTATTAACGACCAAACAGTGTGTTCATACTTTTGAAACACTCTGTAGAACGATCCTATCACTATTAACACCAGACTATGCAATATTTTCTTTTATACCAATAAGAAATTTCAAGAAGAAAGAAATCATCTGGAAATGTATCTGTGTGAGCAGCACTTCGTATCCACAGAACGATATAATTGTAACACTGTAGCGTAAAAGCACTACAATACCACCCGTAATTTGTGAAAAAAAAAATGGCGGCGGCACTTAACTTACCGCCGCCATTTTTTTTCACAAATTACGGGTGGTATTGTAGTATAACTCCATCTGCTTGGAAGAACTAGAAATGGTATAGACTTTATCACGATAAGATGAAACTCTATTTTTAGCGGCTGAAATAATGGCGCACCTTTCTACTTACTACAAAAAGGTAATGCTTGGATGGGGTTTCCTGATTGACTCACTATTCGCCGATCTTCACAAGTTTCCCTATGCGACAAAAGTCGCTCCAGATTCTCTCATGTGAGTTAGCTTCATCTATCCTATGATGTGGTAGCTTCAATAATTTTGTCAAAGCACCACTTCACTTAATGAACTTTACTGTAGAGGAAAACGGACCAGGGCTGTTACAAGCTTGAATCTTTAAAAATCTCCTTCTGATCGCAAAATTTTTACGGAGTCTCCTTTTTTACGAGGTTTTGAACTTTTGGAAACCCTTCTTCAGCCAATTACCTCTGAAAGGGAACACTAAGGTTTTAATAAGAGCATTCTTTTGCGAATGCAAAACAAAGATCTGACTAACATTCTTTCAAACCTCGAATTGAATATTTTAGGATGATGAAAAGTGTGCTACAGCTTTTCGAATTGTATAATTGGGACAGGGTAGCTGTTTATTACACAACAAACGAGGTCCGCTACTGCGACAGTCTCATCGAGGACACCCTGGTAAGCAAATAATCTCGGTGCCACATTATACAAATTTCCTTAACTTAGGCAACATTCGCCGATGGAACTTCATATTTCGTGGAAGTAGTGCAAAAGGTGCTATGGAATCGTGTAGATACCAGTACGTTTAGGGAGCAGATGAAGCGTACAAAGACGGTTGCGAGAAGTATATGACATCGGATCCTCATATAGTGACAGTTTTATAACTCCGTTTACAGTAGTGGTGATGTGCTTGGATTCGGCGGCAGAACGTAGAACCTTCATGAAAGTTGCATCGTCCTTGGATATGGTTTCCGACGACTACGTATACATTCTTCTAGCCATGAGAGGCTTTGCATTTGGTAAGATGCAATTCAAGCGCTAGGGATAATCCACTCCAGATGGCCTGCTTGGTAAAGTGTTGCGGAAAGCGAGCTACAGCTTCAGCTCTCAAGACACACCTAAAAAATTAGTAGTTTTGAACCTAAAAAATTAGTAGTTTTGACGCGCACTATAGTGCCCTTGCGGATCCAACATTTGCCGGCAACATTTGCGCGTAAAGTTGCCATGCTTAAAGTGGCGGTAACTTGCGCGTGCAAAAGGGCTATAGAGCGCACATTTAGGACGTTTGCATCCGCTGGCATACTAGCAGATGTTGTCGGCAAATGTTGCAATGGCAAGGACACTCAGTCTTGAGCGTTAAATCTACTAGCCTATAGTTTGGATCGACTGTAGTGTAGGCAGATGTGCGACAGCTTTTCTCAGTGGAATTCTGATTATGAGAAGTTCAAAGGCACATCCACCCAAGCCTAAGCTTGAAATTTCAAGGTATAATAGCGAAGTCTTTAACTATTGTTCTGGCTGCAAAAGTTATACTCCAAAGCAAGGAAATTGCTTCTGAAGATGTGCGCTGCTAGGATCGCCGCGCTCACCAACGAGGGTGTCCAAAAGTAATGAGCCTAAACCTAGACTCCAGAACTCAGTTAGGGATCTACTACCGTATCAAAATTCACCAACCTTCTATCATTTTTACTGATGTTGTCAAATCTACTGCGTAGTTGAAAGAAAATATGAATAATATTGTTTCAAATATACCAGTAACGCCCAATAAATAAATAACCAACTTATAGTAAAGTATCACTGCCTTTATCTCATTCTATTATATAATCCACTCATTCAGGGCAAGCAGCTACTGGAACAACTGAACGTGAGCATACTTTTCACAAATCATTTATTTGCACGAAATTTCTATCCCATCAAGAACACTTGTCATGCAAGATGGCGTTTGTCTGCAGCACTTTACCATTTCTATTAGAGGCATCTATCCATTTCTAATCTTTCTGTTCCTATTTAGCGATGTTTTCAGGCGAAGGAACGCAACCAACCGCTACACGTATGGCCCTGCTAATGCACCATAAAATAAAATGCAAGAATTATTTCAGTATCAAATGGTCTTACACCGTTTTGGGAGGATCCGGATAGCAATCATACGGATGACGCCATGGTTAAGAAAGCTGCACTAAAAATGATTCTGGTATACGAAAAATTTTACACAAAGCTGATAGAGGAATATTCCCTTAAGGTTGATGTGAACAGCGAGGATGTCGATCCGAAGACGCTCAAGTACTTTGCAAGCAGAGTAGTCCCTCGAGTGAGGACAGATCCACTGTATTGTTCCACTGCGGCTTGCCTTTCGAATGATGGAAAAACGGTAGAGGCTCCTACCATTTCTTTACGATTTAAGTTCATGTTGTTCAAGATGGCGACGTGGGCTCGCTACTTGCATGATGTATTTTATCTCTATGGGCTATCGCTCAATGAATCACTGACTAAGGATCCGTTAGCTGGAGAATCGAACGCCACCACACTGTTCTCGTCAATGCAGCGCACTTTCATAGGTGGGCACATCTTGATTTTGGATAAAAGTGGTTCATCGCTCTTCGATTTTTAATAACTCGAGATCGCTATTGAGTTGGGGCATAATTACTGCGGCAGCATTTCCTGCTCAGATAATTTCCCTATTTTCACATGGCCATATTCTTTACATACTCTAACCACCAACATCCACCTCAACTAAGCTTCTTCTTTCTTTCTGCTAAAGATTCAGGAAGTATAAAACTTCTTGCTCTTTCATCTCTTCTAGCTCTTCATTTCAGAATTCACTTTGAGAAAGTACTCTTTTGTTTATTTATAAAAATAAATCAAAGACTTCGAAGAAGACTTCTTTTTTGAAACTTCTTTCAAGGTTCATTTTGCATGATGCGCTGAATGTCACTTGTTGAGAAGTACTTAGTTGAGCTCAATAATACTTTGAAAAATGTTGTTTTAAAGAAGCCCTAATCATGAGTGGCTATCCGGACCACCTCAAAACTTGCTTGTCTCGCATTGCAAGAGTAGGGACATGATCTCGTTTGAAGTTCAAAGTTTTAATCTGCAAAGAGCGAGTCAGCAGGCTGAAGAAACGTATACAAGGACTAGCTACCTATTTGAATAGAGTCGGGGCTTTCTACTCTTCCTCAGGAGCCCAATAAGCGCAAGATGACATGCGGAGACAGACGGTGGGAGCCTACTGTATTTCAAAATTTCAGCTCCAAGCCCTGCATGATTATAGTGAGTTAGAAGAGTTGATGGAATCAACAAACATGGCAGAGTGGGCTTATGTACCCAACAATCGTTCAGTTAACGCTGTCAATGTCAGCTCTACCCATGTACAAACCAATTCCAAACCTTTGTTTTAGGTTTTGATTGAACAATTGAATTAATGTCACCAATCATATGTTATTAATTAATGTTGTCAATCATCGAATGTCTAGGGCTCACCGGTAAGGTCACTATCAATGCAAATGGTAGCCGTGTCCCTTTGTTTACTGCATATGCGCTTGATTCAAGCTTCAATCAAATTTCTTACATCAACTTTACTATGTCCAACGAAGTTCCTGTAAGTTGCTGAATTAACATTTTTTTCGTGACTGTGTCGATCAAATTACTTTAAACTATCAGGTCATGTCAATCGGCTATGCTAGCGAAGCGACGATTTGGTCTACTCGTGGTGGAGTGCGGTAAATATCACTATTCTTGTTCTATGAGATTTTATCAAAGAAAATTGAACTTAGCCCTCTCTCTCGGCCCATATGTGGATACACTGACACAGAATGTCCCAAAGCATTTTGGGAAATGTATTCGCTCTACGTCATTGTAGGATCAGCAGTTATACTTCTCTTCTTATTGGCTGCTCTTCTTCTCCTCGTGTATTTGATCAGGTAGTGAATATTTGAGAACAAATCTCGTTTCACCTAATCATTCATCATAAGGCTTCAGCAATGGCAGGCTTAGGAAGGGGTGGGGCAGCAGAGAAGCCTGTTTGAGATCATTCACAAAGTTCTTAAAAGGGGTTATATAAGGTATCAAATTGCGAAACAAAGTTTTTTGGTGTTAAGAAACCAAACTTTTTCGGAATTCCATCCAAATTCAGACGGATTTAGTAAGAAGAGATTGCTGCCCAAAATGAGAGTACAACTACAAGTTGGCAGAACCCAAAAATTTTTGAAAAATGCTTAATCTTCCCTCTGCAGAAATTGTAGGACCACCACCGGGGTCAAGTTCTGAGTGATCAACTGAATTTCAAAACTCGTTTAGGGTGAAATAATATTAGGTTGTCCGGAAATTAATGCAGGTTTCAAATTCCAACCGCAATAAGTCATACACTTCTCATTTCTAAGTAGGTTGCAATACATCATTCGATAGAACAAAGCAAGCTCTACAAGATGGCAATCTTGATTTAGCAATAGCTCTAATCCACCACGAGTTTCGGGCCAAAAACTAAAAAGATCCAACTACCCAAAAAATTGAGAAAAATTGTAACTCAGTTCGTAAAAATCCTACAAAAAGCTCGCTAGCTAGCCTAGCTCGCTCACGTACACTGCCCACATAAGGGCCGGTAGTAATCCCCCCGACCTGGCGGCAGGTCTCGTCGGCAGGTTGCTGGCACCTTTCCGCGAGGTGGCCAGAAACTAAGAACCGAAATTTAGGCCGTCCCAGGCCTTTTTTCAAAAAATTTTCTCGATAAAGTTGCCGCCTCGACTCTGTAGAAAACTTCATAAGAATCTGCGGCTCCAGAACTCCTCCTTTAGTAAAAAATCTGGAATTCCAGGAGGAGCTGCCGGCAACTTCGCGATGTCAGTTGCCGGCAACCTGCCGGCAGGTTGCCGGAATCCGCGAGATGGCAGCTGCCGGCAGGTCAGAGAGCACGGGAAATAGCGTGCTCTTTTGAGAGAGCGAGCTGCCGGCATCTCGACGTGCCCCTACCACGTCGAGGTGGTGGCACCTTTGCCGACGGCGTCTGCGAGTTTGCGAATTGCGGCGATATCACACAATTTACGTCAGGCGAAAAAATCAAAAATTCTACTTTTCATGAAAAAACTATCATTTTTCTCATTATATGGGTTTTTCTTTTTTAAAATGACGATTTCCTTACAGAGAAAAAATCCACTAATGCCTTAGAATCATATAGAACACTAACTGTTTTGGCAATCCCTTATAAATCTCAGTTTGCACCGATTTCGCTCCTCTCTCGCTCATATCAATCAGCTGTTCTTTCAGGTCAAAGTCTCTCACGCAATGTATCGATCCCTTTTATAGGCAGCCATTCACCAGTGCGTTCCTCCTATTGCTGGTGCAAAAGGCAATGGTTGACCGAAAGGTCGAATGGTTAACGTGGTGGCACTTCAAGCTAACGCACATAGGTTCGATCGCGCGCGAGGTAGCACTTTTGCGGCTGTGTGCGTCATCAAAATTTAATGTGCGAAATGATTGCGTGCTAAGGTTACATAAGATTATTAACAACCTATAATCACTCCGCGAGCTGCCGGCGGAGTTGGCATCTTTCCGCGATGTGTGCCAACTTGCCGGCATCTATGATGCCATCAGGCAGGGTAGATTACTATCGGCCAAGACGTATATGTACGCAGTTGCCGTATTTTTTTCTCTGTTAGAAACCAAGTAAACGGAAATTTTCGTGCGTTTGCCAAAGTGATGCTGTGCCGTTCCCACATGAGTAGTTGTATACTACAAAGCTGTGGGAGTACAGACTTAAATTTACAGCTCTCTACAAGCTTTAGTTTTCGAGAAATTTGAATTTTAGCTTGATCCACATGACTGGGAAAAATGTATTCGATATTTCTCGAGAACTAAAGCATGTAGAGAGCTGGAAATTTACGTTTGTACTTCTACAGGTTTGTAGTGTACAACTACTTATGTGGGAACGGCACAGGATCACTTTGGCAGAAACATGAAAATCTTCGTTTTCTTGGTTTCTAACCGAGAAAAAAATACGGCAACTGCGTACATCTACGTCTTATGTGGACAGTGTTTACGTGAGCGAGCTAGAATTTTTGTAGGATTTTTATGAACTGAGTTACAATTTTTCTCAATTTTTTGGGTAGTTGAATCTTTTTAGTTTTTGGGCCGAAACTCGCGGTGGATTATGGCTATTGCTAAATCAAGATTGCCATCCATGTAGAATTTTTGTAAAAATTACGGCAGAAAGTCTAATGCTTCCAAGAATAAGCCAAATTTAGCCTCCTCATCTTGGATCCTTACAGCGTTTCATCAATTTCATTTTTTGAGGCTTTTTGGTAGCCCTTTTTGATGAGAGAAATCCGAATTTGAGACAAAACTTGTTTGTTATCAAACCATTCGTTAAGGGAACCTTTTCTAGAATACGTCGGCAGGAACAAGAACAATTACGTCTGCAATGGCAGATTCCTTTCATTAAGCTAAGAAAGCCACCATCCATGGTAAGTTCGGGCACAACTTCGCCATAAGCAGTGCAAATTTCCGTCGTTGCAAATCTGACTTTCAAATTTCCAGAAGGAGCTCCAACAACACAGCAAACGCTCTCTCCAGTCAGGGCCATCAACAATGACGGGAGATTCGAGATTTGCGTCAGAGACAAATTTTGGCATTTATGAAGTATACTTCATTGACAAAGAACCCGTGCTTACTACTAAGCATACGCCCACTACTCTCACACAAGAAGACTATGCGAGGTTTCCAAAGGTTTGTGAAGCCCTAGAGGTGGCAAGAGAGATTATCTGGAGTGGCAGCAAAGATCAAGCAGCGGATAAATAACAATCTCACTTAGTGTGTGGTCCCAGCATTTTCGAGCAAAATGGAAAATTGGCTGATGTGAAAGTTTGTTCGCACCATTTTTGAAAAATCGTAGCTTCCTTTGATCTAATCGGGGTTACTCGACATGAGGTTCACGGGAAAGACAATCATGTAGTTCCTAAGAAGAGCCTGAGTGCTTCATTCCAACATAGCTTGCAGGCAAAGAAAGAATAGAGGAAGAAGATCGTTCTTGGTTATTTCAAGCCAGTTGATCTAACCAGAAACTTCACATATTTATAAGTTTGTGACATTTTTTCTTACTGGGCAAAATTTGTGCTGGCTGAACATTTTTGACTATGATATTTGAGTAAGCAAAAATCAGAGACAAGACGTAAGACTCTTCTGGAAGATCTCTGTTCAGCGCACATTTTGTCTAGCTAGAAGAAAACTTATAAAACCTACGTTTACTGTTTTGGTTAATTTTTTCTGGTGAGCTTGCTTTGCCAAATCCGAAATAATCTTGTTCTTGAATTTTCTTTCTCTCCAACTTGTGTTTTAAAAACTCTAAATTTGTCATAATAAACTACTTGATTTCCGTAATCTAACAAAATTTATGTCAAGCAATTCTATTTAATGGAAGAAAGCTACAAAACTACAATCTTTTTAAAAGTGCAAACGAACTTTTGAAACAGCAAATTTTTCTAGCCCACTAAACAGAACAATTTATAGATGAGAAAACTTGATCAAGACAATTTGAATCGCTTTATCGGGCTATCCATTGATGGGCCAGATTACGTCGCAGTTTGGCGTATGTGCTCGAGAGGAACTTTGCAGGTGAAAACTGCTACTTGTTTCCATGATATTCACTTACTTTTCATTATATAGGAACTGATTTCCAAAGGATCATTGTGGTTCGACCCCTTCTTCATGTTTTGCATAATGCGTGACATCGCTGAAGTAAGTCTTGGAAGTTTTGCATCTGACTTGACTAGATTTTTTTTTGTTTAGGGTCTGAATTATCTGCACAACTCCTTCATCGACCACCATGGACGGCTTCGTTCGGGGTGCTGTTTAGTAAATGAAAGTTGGCAGGTGAAAATATCTGATTACGGAACGGAACCTCTTGGTGAAGAGGAGCGATTGCAAAGAGAGCGTGAGGTTTTCTCAATCCACAGCTACATGATTTTGACATTTTCATTGCAAGGTCTTCTCTGGGTGGCTCCGGAACATCTCAGGGACTCGCTGGCTTCCAAAGAAGGGGACGTGTATTCTTTCGCTATCATCTCATCAGAAGTAATTACTCGCAAACCAGCCTGGAACGTACACGAAAGGAAGGAAAGTGTTGATGGTGAGAATTACATTCTTGAATTACATTCTTTTAGGAGAGCAAGTCTGCAATAAAAATTGAGTGCGTAAAGTGAATAACACATACATGGGAGCCTAAGAATTTGAAAGTCAGGGAGCCTACTTTACAGAACTGTAATTTACAACCTGGAGAGTTCGACCCTAATCATTTTCCAATCAACGCAGCAATCATCCCCTAGAAAATATACTTTTTCGAGCTCAAAATGATCGCATTTATGTTTTTGAAATAAGTAAGATTAGGTAGTGCTTCTGCAAAGCAAGGAAATCAAAGCTGTTAATGTTTACAATCCAGGTAACTGCAGATACTACGAATATTTTACAACAAAATATAATTTTCATGTAGAGAAGGTTTTGCGTTATAACGCCATAGTCGTTCTGTTTGTCAGTAGCTATTATATTTTTCTCAAATCAAAAGTAACAATCCACGAAACTGGATAAGCTTTAACGAATTTGAAAGCAAAAGCAATGAAGCGCAGTAGTTGCTGTGTCTAAGGCTATCTTTCTATATCAGTGGCGTACCCAGGATTTCGGCTCGGGGGGGGGGACAAAAAATTTCTTCTGATGAAGGTGCGTGGCGTTAGCCACGCACCCAGAAAAATTTCTGGTACGCTTTTTAAAATTTTCGCGGGCCCATAACCCCAAAATTTTAGAAAAAGGGGGCGTGGCGTCAGCCACGCCCCCGAAAAAAATTTTTTTGTAGAGCTAAATTGAATTTTTAAAAAATTTTAAAAATTATCTCAATCACTTACAAGTATAAATAAGTCTTTTGCACATTTTTATGACTCATTTAAGTAACTTTTAAAACCCCCCTCCACTCTTCCCCCCTCCTTACGCCACTGTTCTATATGTATTCTCTATAAGTAGCCATCTGAATTTGCTTGAAGGAGCAATCCCAATACTTCTTAGACGTTAACTGTCCGTCCTTTGCTCAATCAGTTAAATTTCCAGTATTTGCAATCCTAAACACTAAGAAATATTCTCTTCATAGAAGTTGTAACCGAAAGCTTCCTTTATATGATTTGTTTATATTTTTGGTGAAAGGCTTATACATCAACCTATTATTGAGAGCACGAAGCCTGACACTTACTGGTTCTGAGATGAGTGTTACGGAATCAAGCTTGAATTTGACCCTCATATTAAAATGTGCAATTCCTAATCGTTCTTTTTTCAGGGAAGAGCGTGGGGTCTGAACTTTGTGTACTTTGGCAGATATGCTTCAAAACATCTGATGGGAGTTTTTTCCTAATTGGCTGACTGGAAAAACGTTGTATCAGATCCACCAAACAGCTTCACAGTTTCCTTCTTAACGAGCTGCATCTAGCGAGTATAACTAGTTTTATTAGTAATTTGGGGTTTTGGTATGTAAAAACGGCGGTCGCATAGGTTTTGCTGCCTGCTAAATCGACATTTGAAGGGTGCAAGTCAAGATATTGCAAATTTTTCTCAACCTTCACTTTGCAGAGCTCGTCTACATGATCAAGAAAGGTGGCTCTTTTCCACTGCGACCAGAACTCAGTACCGATGGCGAAATAAGTGGAGCACTGGTATCAGTTCTCGAGAGAAAGACGTCTGGTTTGCATTACCCTTTCGGTTTTAGCTTCATCTCATACGTGACTGCTGGTCAGAGAAGCCATCCGAACGTCCCACAGCCGAAATGGTGTGCAAATTGCTCAAGGTTAGGAAGCATAATGAAGTATTACCAACCGGTAGCCAGACTTTTAGTCAACGATGCCTGATAATAAATCGAACCTAATGGATCACATGTTCAATATGTTGGAAGAATATACGACAACACTAGAGCTGGACGTTGAGGAGCGAACAAAACAGCTTCAGGAAGAAAAAAAGAAAGCCGATATTCTCCTGGGAAGAATGTTACCTAGGTGAGCTATACTAAATTGATGGGATTGGTGATAATTATCGAAAAAAGATTCACATTCATGTTTTATACTACTGCTTAACGGCTTAAGCCCATTCAGGCTTCTAGCGGAAGGTGCTTTTTGCCAAAATCTAGCTTTTCTGAAATGGAAAAATCCGTCAAAATTTGATTAGTCTTGATATTTTACCCCTCATATATAGATATATACATCTCTGCGGAGTTTACCAAGCTCTTATCAATAAAGTTTAGCTCTTTAAAGGCAAGTAGCTGATCGTCTCAAGTTGGGACAGACAGTAGAACCAGAGGGTTTCGACTGCGTGACGGTATTCTTCTCTGATGTTGTCAAATTCACCCAGTTGGCAGCAAAATGTTCAGCATTTCAAGTAATTTCTTTGTTACGACATATAAACAGCTAAAGTCGTCTTTGCTAGGTTGTCAATCTATTAAACGATCTCTACGGCGGATTTGATTCAATTATTGAAGAGCAATGTGTTTATAAGGTAACTGTCAATAATCAGTTTATCCTTCAGTTCACTGAATTAATTCCATCAAGGTTGAGTCAATCGGAGACGGTTACCTATGCGTATCCGGTTTGCCAACCAGAAACGGCTTTACTCATGTCAAAGAAATCGCTGAGTTGTCCCTGGCATTTATGGACTTCGTGGAGAGATTTCGTATTCCTTCGTTGCCAAGGGAGAGAATGCAGTTGCGTATCGGTGTTAACACAGGTGAGTATAAAAGGGAGGGATTCGTTTCTACAAATACACTGAATTGTTTGAATTTTATAAAAATTCGAATCAACCTTGTAAAAAATCTGCACAGTCTAACAACTTTGTTGAAAATTTGGGGTTCACTCGATAAGTTGCAGGACTTGGCTAATGCCACTTGCTTCAATCGAAAAATCATGTCCCTCCTCCCATCTCGCACCCACTCCGTGAAAAGAAAGTTTTTGGGATTGCCACCATTACGTACCAGCCGTCCTAGCTACCTCTTAAATCTTTGTTTTACTTCTATACTAAAATGTGGAAATTTGCAGAAAATGTGCAATATTTTCCACGAATTACTTCGATTTATTAGGTTGTCCGGAAATTAATGCCCGTTTTGAATTTAAACGGCAGTAAGTCATACACTTTTCACTCCTGAATAGCTTTCAAGGTACCATTCGATAAAGCAAAGCAAGCTCTACAAGATGGCTATCTTGCTTTAGCAACAGCTCTGATCCACCTCGAGTTTCGAGCCTAAAACTAAAAAGATTCAACTGTCCGAAAAATCAAGAAAAATTATAATTCAGTTCATAAGAATCCTGCAAGAATTCTTACTTGCTCACGTAAACACTATCCACATAAAACATCTATATGAGCCTTTGCCGCATTTTTTTTCTTTGTTAGAAACCAAGAAAACGGAAATTTTCGTGCATGTGCCAAAGTGATGCTGTGCCGTCCCCACATGAGTAGTTGTATACTCAAAACCTGTAGAAGTGCAAACGTAAATTTTCAGCTCTCTACAAGCTTTAGTTCTCGGCAAATACCGAATATAGCTTTCCCTAGCTAGGTGGTCCAAGTTAAAATTCAAATTTCTCGAGAACTTCCAATGGTTCCAATCCCATAACTCTTTTTATCCTTTTGGGCGAACAAAGAAATTTTCTAAGCAAAAACCACAAAAATCGATAAGACTTATCAGTATGACCTAAGCAAAATGTATTGTTAACACACCTCTCAGCCATTCATTATGTGTGTCAAAGTTCGTCTAGATCCTATGACTCTACTCTTCGGGGAAAAAATACAAAGAAAATTCTGAGCAAAAATTGCAAAAAGTCAATAATTGATAGAGGCAAGGCAAGGTAGGTTCTGAAGAAAACGGCTTATTGACACACGCCCATCCCATTTATTATGTATGCCAAATTTAGTTTAGATTCCATGACTCCTTCAATCCTTTTGGGCGAATATTAAAAAAATGGCAAAGCCAAATATTATATTATTGACACCGAATACGTTCCTGACATGCATCCCCAGATAGGACTTTTTTACATCTTTTGAAGCACAAAATGAACCATTCCTCTGAGAAAAGTAGCAAAGTCACGCTTATTTCCCACTTTTCAAAACTAACCAGAAACCCGGACAAGAGATCTCAACTCAGGTCCATGTGTCGCTGGGGTGGTTGGACTAAGCATGCCGCGGTACTGCTTGTTTGGAGACACGGTAAACACAGCGTCGCGAATGGAAAGTAATGGAAAAGGTGAGTGAGCTTCGCCATCGTCATAAACTACCAAACTTTTGTGACTTTCCTCAACAACTTATAACAATTTTCAGCTGGGCATATACATCTATCCAAAGACACTCATGATCTGCTCAGCGCCAAATATGGTGATGTCTATGACACTCGATCAAGAGGGGAGGTGATCATCAAGGTAAGGAACTGGTAGATCGGCATTTGGAAAACGAAACTGGAAGTAGATAAAATAATATGAATGAATGAAGCTTGGGGAAGGAATTCATGATATACTGTAGCGCTAGCATTCCCATACCCATTTCATTTTTAGGGCAAAGGTGTCATGGAGACTTTTTGGTTGATGGGCCGTCTTGGAGAATCATCGTCACATAGAGCTGCCATGCAAACTGAGCGCTTGAGGAGTCCAGAGCAACAACCAGTAGACGAAGAGAAGAGTGATGCATTGTACAGAACATACATTCGTAGCAACACTGTCGAAGCAACATAGAAGATGCGAATAACCAGTTTTTGGAAAGAACTGTTGCTCGGAAAAGAATCTTGTCGTTACTCCCAGTATTTAGTATGTGTGTTTTTTGAGTAGAATCATTTATCTCTTGATGATGGTATTTTAACATCGACTTCTTTTCACTCAAGTAGCGAACTAACCAACTAACTAATCAGTTCCACTCAACTATCAGTTCTTCTATTTATTGTGTTGTACATAAGTTTGACGAGATTTTGGACAAGTCCAAAATCAGCGATCATCATAATGATGAATATGTCAGGACCATAAAACAGATGGACCTACCGTTGAATTTTATCTCATAAAGTGTTTCTAATTGCTTCAAAGCCATAATCTCAAAGGACGGAAGAACATTCATTCAAAGTCTGAACAATTGGGATGGTTCTTGTCTCATGGCACTCTTCTCTTTAAGAGTTTGACACTCTCAAGGGCCGGGCATACTTTATGCGATTTAAGTCGCGACGCGATTTGGAATTTCGCCAGAAGTCTTTGGATCCAACATTAGCAAACCGCACATGCATAGTATGTATAACATACGTGGACTGATAAAATACCTTATCTTCTGTACATTTAAAATGTGTTTACAGTGAGTTATGGACAGTTGGAATATTGCCAAATCGCGTCGCGACTGAAATCGCGTGAAGTATGCCCTGCCCTTCAGACATCGAGCTTTTGCTTATAGTGATGCCACGAAGCAATCATCAAGGCAACGCCAACTCTCATCCCTGTAGAGGAGTGCAAGAAAAATTGGCCCCAATGTGTAGGTTGGAGCTTGCTTGGCCTCGAAAGCGTAAGGGTCTTTGCGTTACTGCTTTAAATTTGACAAAAAGGAATCCATCCGTGCGAGTCCACGACGCAAGTACTCGATTCGTCGCATTCCAAGTTCTTGTGAAGTGGTCGGAGGAGAAAGCAGATATCTGCCGGTATTTCTAGGGATTACAACCTCACGACAAATTCGCAAAAACAACAAAATATTACTCTGATTCAATTTTCCCATCTCTTTCTTTCATCGTAATTTTTTCTACCGTTTCCTCCTTTGGCGGAAGCGCGCTGGCTCGAGAGTCTGAAAAAAAGAGAAAAAAAGAAACTACAAGTCAGTTGGTAAAAGATTCACTCCAAACAGATGGGATTTGATAGGGAAAGCTGATGAATGACTACCATAATTTCACGCTCTAAGACACCTTCATCGGTCTTTCAAGCGTGCTACTCAGCCGCCTCGTTGTTTTTCGGGAAACGAGACGTGCGCCGCACGATAGTCTTAGGCAATATGTAGCACTAAATATATTTCTGGGTCGCGAAGTCCTCCGGTGTCTATGCGTTTGATTTTAGAAAAAAAATTCCCTGCGTCCTATAGCGTGAAATTAGGGTAACAAAAATATCCAAAAAAAATTTTTTGTCCAAACGCCATTCGTCCAAAATGGCGCATTGTTGACTAATAACAAGGAAGGTGCACAGACACGCTTACGCCATTTCTTTCGGATCATCACATGTAGACCTAGCTGAGTGCATTTTACGACATCATTCCGTTGATGAAAATGACCATAAGATGAAATCACGCTGTTGAATGGTTACTCGATGTTTGTGCATGGATCGGTTTGACACATGGTTCCTGGGAGCTTCTAACCAGAGAAGGATGTAAGCTCGCACATGGCATAAGTGCATATTGCATATGAAGTACCCTTACAAAACTGTAATAGGATGAAAGACTATAGCCAACGCATATGAATCTGGCATTCCGCCGCTTTCAATTTTTGTCCTACGAGTCTTACCCCATAAAAGTGATGGGGAGAATGTTGAGAATTAAGAAGTTTTCAAACGGTCTAGTATATTTGTGGTATAGTAAAGTTGTAAGTGGTTTCTTGAAAAATTGAAATTACTTCGTACCCAAAGTTGGATGATTACGAAGAGATGCAAATTCTTCGGTGCATAGGTGGAACTTTTTGGTTCTTTTTATCTTTCTTTCCCTACACGTTTACGCCGTAATTGATTGCCGACAGTCGCAATCAGCAGTTGATCTGTGGTCTAAGCGCTGAACGTCTGGAAGCAGTGCTTTAGACAGATTGAGTGCAGATCCCAAATTTACGTTTAACTGGTAAAATAAATTTCTTAAATCACGTTTTTGCAAAGATTTTCTACATGCTTTGTGCTATACCAGTATGTTTCAACGTTGTTCCAGGTTGTCTTCAGTACCTCAAACAAGACCAGAACTTCAATAAGAGTCCTCCAAACTATCAATATGAAGGATGATGATACAAATCAGGTGAGTCATGTATACTGATTGAACAAATCAAATCGCTTTCCTTCACCCTTATCCTCTTACTTCAAACGTTTTCAAGTATTGATGATAGAGTGCCATTACGTTATTCTTTGGCACAAGCGAATGTGGAAAAAATTACTGCGTTTCTGTATACATTAGGTCGGGTCGAAAGTTCTTTCCGTTTTTCAATCAGCCATAAAATCAGGTGGAATAAAGGCAGGCAAATGCTCTTAAAACTGCCAGACACCGTTTTTCTTCCTCTTTCCACCAGTCATGTATTGGGACCATTTGCTTTGGTGGTTTCTGAGATAATTGCCGAGTTTTCAAACCCATGGTTTTTACCATGCCCTTTGGCAACTTTCAAATTCTTCATTGTGAACTTTTAAAAAAACCTTGATAGCATTAGATAGCGTGAACAAAGTGCAATGCAGTGAAATTTTTTGACACCTAAAGCTGACTTTACAAAATTCTCTAAATTATATTTCTGATACTACCAAATTCCACTTTTAGCCATAGCAAAACTCAGAGAACATCAAACTGAGCACAACTAAGCTGTCATTGAATGGGTATTTCTCTTCTCTTTCTGATAGGTGCTTTTTCTTTCCTATTCGTGGAGTATTTGGCGGCAAAATAATCATGATATACAATTTTGAACCCACACCATGCTGAACCCGTAGAATGCGAGATTTGATATCTTAAAGCGGCAAACGCTCCGGTGCTTTGTAAAGTCAATACATTATCATAATCGTTAATTGAAAGTTTAAATCCAACAATTTGTTAGTGTTTGGAGCGTTCGTATATTTTGCGATTTCGCAATGAAGACTTTTGAAAAAGTTATCCTAAAAGATGCTAAAAAACTAAGTGGAGATGAGAGAAAATTGCATTGCGTTGCACTTTGTTTACGCTACCTAACAGCTATCAAAGCTTTTCAGAAGTTCACAGTGAAGGTTTTGAAGAATTGCCAAATTTGGGCATGGCAAAAACCACGGGTTTGAAAACTCGGCAATTATCTCAAAAACCACCAAAGCAACTGGTCCCAAAACATGACTGGTGGGAAGAGGAAGAAAAACTGTGCCTGGTAGTTTTAAGAGCATTCGCCTGCCTTTATTCTACCTGATTTTATGGCTGGTTGAAAAAACGGAAAGAACTTTTGACTTGACCCAATATAATGTGTATAATTAGTATTGTTTCATTAATTTTATACAGGATAAACGTAAGACTCGGTAATTTCTTGCTGGGATCAGCAATAAGAATAATTAGCTTCCCAATTGCGTGTATTTGGTATATTTATTCAAATTATGTTTCATTGGTTCTGGTTCCATAAAATAGTCTACCTGCACCGCGCTCCCTAAGGCTCCCGCCAGAGTGCCGAAGTTATGCCAGCGCTACGCCAGCATTTAGATCGATACACGTGTATTTCGTTGAGGCGGGGCCCAACGAAATACACGTGTATCGATCGAAATGCTGGCGTAGCGCTGGCATAACTTCGGCACTCTGGCGGGAGCCTAAATATTTTGAAGTTGAAAAGGCTGAAAATCACCTTCTTTCGTTAATATATCCTGTGAACTCGTTTCACTTGAGTAACATAATCTTAAGTAGGGAATGCATCACATTTCCATACAGTGAAGCATAATCCACAAAAAAGCATCAAATATTTTTAAACCATTAAGCTTACCTTGGCCTTCCAATCATTCCTCAATCGAGAGGCCGCTACAACTGAGCTCCTAACTCTTGGGAAAAAGACGTATTGCGATAAATATTTCCGTCGCTGCATTCGTATCGTGAAGAAACCGGCGGAATTCTAACTTCTATGAAGCAGATTTCTGAAAAAACTGAAAACATCACTGGACTGCTATGAATCCGGCCTTTTCAATGTTTGGGTCTAATTTTCAAAAATAATTTTGTTTCACCTATCGTGACTATTTGTCGCGACGAAACCGTCGCATTATTATAACTAACAAGGGAATGGCCAGAAGTCGAAGTGGCCAAACCAAACAACTGCATACCATTCGAAGCAGTATGAAGTGCTGACTTCGAATCTGTCTTCCTAATTTGCGGCGCACTTTTGTAGACGAAGCTACAAGCAGTTTTATTGTGGAAAAATCGTACATAAAAACTGTGAAATTGGCACATTGTTGCAATTTCAGCTCAGCTGTAGGGTTTGAGAATTTGAAGTAAGTTAGCTGCAAGTATCGGCTCAGCATTAAGCCGAACGTGGCTAGGTGCGGCCACATTTCCACTTTTACGCATTATTTCTTAGCAAAATATTGGCTTTTAATGGCTTATAGCTTCGTCCAAACCATAAGCAGAGAAAGAAGACAGATTTAGAGTCGGCGCTTCATGCTGCATTTAACGGTGTGTCTGGATTAGCCACTTCAATATCTGACCATTCCCTTGTGAGTAATCACAAAAATGAACCCTTTTATGCAGCTCTCATGTAAGCAATGTGGTATAAATCATTCCTAATTGTAATCTCGTAGCAGATCAACTGACTAACTGACAATTAGCGGCTTATTATATCAGGTTGTCCCGAAAGTTTTGTCGGTTTTTTTTTCATCGGTCCCTGAAACTCACAGAAAGTCGATTAGAGTACGATTCAGGCATCGTTCGATTCAGATTTTTGTCCTCTTGCTTACAACTATATTTACTCTCTGATCTACACTGTCTTTGCGATGCTGATGCCATGGCTCTTTAAGCTGCTCTCCGGTACCGTCAAAACTTCCCAGAATTTTAAAATACCTCGAAAAGCGTTGGCAGCTATGAAGAGTAAATTGGCTATGTTATGCTTATTTCAGATTACGTAGGTCGCGTTCATCAAGTCTGTAATAATTATTAATTTGGGACCGCGGCTTTTTGACCACGTTTAGCGTGTAGGAGTATTGAAATCCAAAAATTGATTTTTCAAAGCAATTTATCTTGAATATTCGCGGAAACTTTGTAAACTTACACGTTTTTGCTGCAGTTGCGTTTTTCACGACTTTATCAAAAATCGAGATCTCCAGAAAATTAAATTTTTGAAGCTAACCACAACAGGTCAGGAAAATCTGAAAATACTACCGTATAGTCCAAGACTCTATTTCTCTCTTGCTTATCTTTTCCAAAATTTTAGAATATAATTTTTATGAATTAGCCGAACCTTGAGATAGATATGACGGATGAAGAATTTCGGCAATTGACAAAAAACATGTAAAGGACTCAGGTTCGAAATATGCATAAGAAAGAGAAGGGAGAGCTACACCGAATGCATGTTGAAACTCGTCTAGAACTTTGTTATGACTGGTTTTATATTCGTTTAAATACCGACAAAACTTTCGGGACAGCTTTAAAAAGCCTCACGAAGTCAAGATCTACTTAACAATTATTGAATCTGTAAATTATTAATAATGCAAAAATCGCACTTTCGTGCAGAAAATTATTGAACTCTCATAACTCAGACTGGTAGGCACATCAATAAATGTACCTAACACTCTAAAAAAAGTCTAAAAAAGTTAATAAATTCAAATTTCTGGTGGTTATTCGCTTGATTCTAGAATTAAAAATAGACTAGAATGCTGAATATCGCATTTTTGAGTCTGAACATAGTATTTCTTAGAGGTTATCATAGGCATGTGGGAGAACTCAAGAAATGCGAGGTAAAGCTTGCAATTTTTAGTTGGTTTTTTACACAACTTCTATGCGTGAGAATTTCAAAAATTTAGACTAGCTTGAAAGCTAATGCTTAGCACATGCTTGACTGAGGCGAGGTTCGGTGGGATTTCTTTTTTTCACAAAAAGTCTCTCTGGACTTTGACTTCGCAGACGTGGATTAGTAAAATGATGGAAAAAATATTTTGCCTAACTGAAACGAACTTCGGGACAACCACTGAATAGAAGAGAAAACAAAACAGAGTTTTAAGCCGCCTGGCAAATGAAGAAAAGTCCAGAAAGAGTAGAAGATTGTTTTTTTTTGATCGGATGTTTCACGATTGCGGCATTTGAGAACAATCTTCTTGCTATACTGACTACGGGTTGTTTGTCGGTCACCGCCATGAGCGCCTATTGATTGTAACACGGGAAACACTTGGTGAACCAAAGAAAAGGATCTAACACCGAATTGATTGCCAGGATTACTTGCGGTTTTTTAAGCACTATGAGAACGAGTCATTTTGGTCGGAATTGCCTCATTTTGCGCGTGCAATTGGCTTCAATTTCACTTCTGCATCCTCCAGTACAATATGTAGTAGTCATCTTTCTTCTTGACTACTTTTGATCTACTAGTTGTAAGAACTGAGATCTTACAAAATTTGAATGCTTTCGCACCTGAATTTTGCTAATTATAATTTTCAACATCTGATGATTGTTTAAACCTCGTAACAAGTTTATTTATCACTTCATCTTAAACTGAGTCTTTCGATCAAATGGCATTGGCTAGAACCCATATAGCAAAAAAAAAAATTCCGCCTGTGATTTTACCACCATTATGAACGACATGCGCGATTAAAAACTGAGATGCGATATTAATTGACAAAGCGAAACTCAATAAAATAAAAATGATTTGTTATCAATATTACGACGCAGAAAACATATGTCTCACAGAAGACGTACTATATCTAGTAAATGGGCAGAAAAAGTCTTAAGAACTCCCTTATCTATTTGAAAGTGTCTTACATTCAGAAAGCCGTTGCAATTGTTGCTGCTGTTCTACGTTTTCATTTTTTCATTCAGACTCAGCTCTGTGCATTCTTAATATCTCATAAAAGCTTGCATTTTCGTCCATGTGTAGATCCGTCCTCATAAGACATAATTAATTGAAATTTGTAGTCAATGATGGGGTTGGTCTCAAACTAGAGTCAAACTAACTCTTCTTGAGTTTTGGTTAGTCTCTTCAAACTACTCATTTAGAACATGAATCGCACCTTACTCCAAGGGGTCCGAGTAATAGAGTTGGCTGGTCTTGCACCAGTTCCGCATTGTGGGATGGTACTAGCTGACTTCGGAGCAAATGTCACTTTAATCCAGAAGGTGACTTCAACACTTTTTAGCTTGTTCCTAGAAATAATCGAATGTCTTAGCCTGATCAAGGTGATGTAGTGGTGGAGCAGCGCTTGGCGGACAAGAAGACAATCCAGGGTTTGGACTTGAAATCACCGGAAGATCGTGCCAAATTGAAGCAACTCTGCAAAGAAAGCGATGTTTTGTTAGACCCATATAGGCCAGGAGTTTTGGAAAAGATGGGTCTGGATCCTATCGACCTTCTAGAGGTATTCTTTGTCGATGAGATTCCAATCTTCTGTCTTCACCAATGTTGCGATAGCTCTACATCTTTTTCTATGGAGTTTTGTTACTTTTTCTTTTAGGTGTACGAAGATCGTCCATAGTATCGACGCTACGTGGTTTTTTCTAGCGTATACCAAAATAAGAAATTTTAAAATCAGTAACTTGTCGACAAGAAAATGTTGTACTTCGCGCTTCCTTCAATTTCTTTTTACATACAAGAATTTAATTCACCTGTGCATTAAAGCTATCGTAGAGGTGGTGAGTGTTCAAAAATCTTCATTGTTCTGGTAGTCTGCCAGAATTACAAAAATGAATACTCTGACGGCTGAAGTAGACGAAGCATTTTCCTACTAAAAAATTACTTAGATGAAACTCTAGAGAGACTGGGATTCTATGAATGAGAAGTAATTGCTTGTCCTGGTGTCTTTCGTATCTTTCGTAATTATGAGGATTTGCAAAATAATATGGAGTAATTGTCGAATAATGTGCTTCTGAAAATTTTATTTTCAGTCAAAGTAAATTACATGAAATAGTTTGCAAGTGTTGTATGAATTATATGCAAACTGGGATGGATACGACAAGACCACTCGACCGTAGAGACCAAGATTCTGATGTTTTGAAATGCGTATGTGCTACACCACTGAAAGGATACCCAAATAAAAAATTGCTCCGAAGAGGAAGAGCCGAACTTTTCAGTAGTTTTAGTTAACATTGTAATAGTAAGAATTACCAAATTTCTTTAGAATAAAAATGAAACCACAGCTTGAGCTCTTGATAGAAAAGGGATTTAGCATGAGACTATTGAAAGACAACAAATAGCAACTATACTTTTTTCTGGGAAAGTCTTGATGGGATTCTTCTCGTTGCTCGCTGATATTATTCTCATTCTTTAGCTATTATTGCTAGAAAAGGGTAAGGTGTTATTTTGAAAGGCTTATTCCAGGAGAACAAGGGACTGGTGGTGTGTAGACTCACAGGATATGGACAAACTGGACCACTATCACAAGAAGCTGGTCACGATATCAATTATGTTGCGATTACGGGTGCACATTCTCAGACGAATCTTCTTTTCGTGAACTGCTAATTCAAGGTCTGATGCCAACAATATCTGGCCACAGTTGTCATCGTCCCTGGCCGCCAGTAAACATGCTGGCTGACTTTGCTGGAGGAGGACTTACAGCAGCTTTTGGGATAGTGGCTGCGCTGCTAAAGAGAGAAAAGAATGGTACGTCATTGAAAAATAGATTACAGCAAGCCTTTACTAGAAGGAACTTTTCAGGTGGTCATGGCTGTGTGATCGATTGTTCTATGTCAGAAGGTCTTTCCTACTTGGCTTCATTTGTTCATCGCTACTATGATATGACGCATTTGTGGACGGATAAATACGCAGCGTTTTCGGGAGACTGTCCCATATATAGGTGAGCGTGATGAAAGATTATTGAAACAATTATAAGCACCATGCACTGGAAATCGAGGGTAGTCTTATTAGCGTCTTATTCTCCTTCTCGGGTATAAGTGTATATAAACATAAAAACAAGCTTGCGAGGACCTTTCAAGTGGTTTTTTCTGATATTTGTATGGGTACCGATTACGGGGCTATAAATAAGCCAATGCCCAAACAAACTTTCGCAAGTTCATTCATGACCAAGCAATTAGTGCAACACCGAGTTTTCCATCTCAAACTATGGACTGCTGCTCATTGCGCTCTGCGTTGGAGTTTACTGCATGTAGCTTGGGCAATGGCTTATTACTAGGTGCAAATATAAGATGTGTTACACTTAGCGGAAAAACTCTTCATAACTTCCTCCAGAATTTTTTACTACCATCAGAACACATGGAAATTTATAGCCTTTTATATGTAATTCATTCTGTGACTAACAAATGAAGGCTCAAAACCCGCTATGCATAGATTTGAACAAGCTTGACTCTGTTCTTTCCTGTTTTCAAGTAGCAAATAATATTAGATTAAAGGCAGTGTTTCGGCAGATTTTCGCTTTCTTCTTCACCTTTTCGGAGCCTTCTCGCCATGAGGAATCCATATATGGGCTTTTCAGCGCATGAAATTGACGAAAACGAGCTTCCTCCTCGCGCTCTAAACCAGCTCTCGCGGACCGCAAGACTCCATTTCTTCCTTCAAACTCTTATTACGAAGAACATCAAAGAATAAGCATGAAAGTGGCATATGCCAATTGTTCAGAACTTATGCGACCAAAGATAGAAAATGGATGGCCGTTGGTGCTCTCGAACCGAAGTTCAACCAGAACTTATTTAAAGGTGGGTTTCCGTGTTACAAAACTGCCGAAATTTATGTTTCTTAATGTCAGTACTCGGCATTGATAAGAGTATCGCGGACGTGTATGCAAATCCCGCTGAGATAATCGCTGAAATGGAACGAATATTCAAAAGCAAAACTCGCGATGAATGGACAGAACTCTTTCGAGGCAAGTTGACCTTTATGAGAAAAAACCAAAGTTATCACGTTTCAGGGAAAAATGCATGTGTGACTCCTGTTTTGGACATCGAGGAAGCCGCTCAGTTCGAGCATAATTTGGAGCGAAAGAATTTTTCCGGAGAGGGTGACAAAAAGTTTCCCAATCCTGCACCACGAATTTACAGTAAGGAAGACTACAAAAAGCTCAAAAGCAAGATCTAACTTATAATGAGTGATTGCATGAAGAAAATATTGTGTTTTTCTTACCGTTCTCATCAGTCTATATACACATCGTACACATTCCACTCGTTAGAGATGATATAAGTAACCGCTGGCAGGGTAAAAGCAGAAGTTCATCGAGGTAAGTCTATCTAGTTCTGCATCTGGCTACCTGCTATCAAAATAGCTCATCCACCCCTTGCAATATGTAGAGCTGACTTATAAATAAGCATATATTCGAGGAGAGCTTTTTTGTCTAGCACTGATGCATTGGGAAAAGTGCGTCAAAGTCTCCTAAACATAGCTGTTTAAAAAACCAAATTTGTAGTGGCCATAAGCTTGTCTTCATGGCTTGATTTATGTACAAATAGAGGCGAACGTTTCACACTATAACTCAATAATTATGGAATAAGCAAATTATTCTACAAACCCTAAATATGGGAGAAACAATCAGAAATCTAGAGGCGAAAACGCGTCAAGAAGTAAACGTTATTCTTCTAGTCCCGAGCACAGTTATAGTCTTTGAGAAGTTCAACGTTAATTGTTTTGCACCGTCTCTTAATATAATAGAAATTTTTCTGATCATCCGAGTGAATGACCCACTAGGTTGTGCGATAGGTTCCGTCGCATACTTTGATTTCGATTTTCCATCACATTGTGCAGTGATAGGTGAAGTCTGCACATATCTGAAGGTAGTCTCTTCTACTAAATCCCTTACTTGTTTTTCTAGTCTGAGAAAATACAGAGAAATTTTCGGCTACAAAGCTAAGAATATAAAAGGACAAAATCATTTTCGACAACTACATGTGTTACGTTGCGTTCCAAATAGGTTATATTGCTCAGAATCACCACAAAAGATTTGCCATTTAATTCGAGAAAATGCTATAACTCCGGCAGATTGCTCATAAATGCTAACGTTTTTGAAAATTGTTTTTGTAAGTTGGATAATAGTCCTCCTCTTCAACGTCCCTCCAACCTCAACATTAGGCATCACCCGAATTGAATGATTATTCGATTGCTGAATAAATCACTCGACGAATGCTTCGAAAATTCGAATATTCGAAAATCTAAGATTTCGAATATTATTTGATACTACATTCGAAAAGAATTTCAAATTTCCCCAAGTATAGAGCATACTCTGGATTACACGATACGTCGAATGTCCCGAGAGTCTTGCTCCATCGACTCTGAGATAAAAAGCATCATATAGTCGATGAGAGCAACAGAGGAACCAAAAACAGTAGTAATCGCAAAAGTGGCTAGTCTGTATTTTATACTGTCAAGTTTGTTAAACGTTTGTTGAAAGCGAGATGACATAGGGAGAAGAAGGATGTCGAAATCAGATTTTTAGCCTCATCGTTTTCGCTTTGAAGTCGGTTTTCTTTCTTAATTTTCTATTTAACTGGAGAATGATATGCAAGTAATTTTGAAGCTTTCGAGCACTCATTTAGATATAATACATTTCATCGAATATTATACAAAATATGAAAAAAAAATGCCATAGAACTTACCACACAACCTAATATTATTGGGGTGAGTGATCTAAAAGTAAGGGGAACATTATTTTTTCAACATATTGAAGCTTTTTTTTCTGATCAATAATAACTCAGCAATAAATCCCATTTTATGAGGCGACCGTCAGCTAATATCCTGACAGCGCCTTGCTGCTCCTTTCCCATGATGCTCCAATGGTGATTGAGAGAATTTCAAGCTTTTTCGGAGGCCACCCGAAATTGCAGCGCTATACAATACCGCTCACATTTTTTGAAAAATAGACGCGAATGTATGGACATGTATGGACATGTCCGTACATGTCCATACATGTCCATACATTCGCGTCTATTTTTCAAAAAATGTGAGCGGTACTGTAGTCGTCAAAGTCTTCGAACATTTCACATTCCAATTAGAAGAGCTTCCAAGTATTCCTAAAGATTATAAAGATGTGCAAAGAACTTTCTCTTGAACGAAAAGTAGATCATCGGAAAAGTGCGATTTGGCGACTTCGAGGTGAAAAATTATTTTGTCTGTCCGCAGTCATCGGAAATGAGGGAAATTTTAATTTTTTTAAAATTTGTTTAAGATTTTTTTTACCTTACCTGGGCTTATCCTTCCCGCTGATTCCAAAAATGCATCCCGGACAGCACGAAAACGTCGAAAACGGACTCTTCCAGAAACTCTTAATTTGAATTTTGTTGCCTGCCACCAACGTTAAAGACACCTTACGTCTTGACTGTGTGCGGTATGCGCACTCGAGTGCGAGCCAGATCTGGCTTATCGAACTAACTCGTCCCCGGTCGCCACTTCTGAAGCGGTTTTCTCGCTTCAGAAGCAAACTGGTGCATTGCCAGTTGGGCAAGAGCCTTACCATGACGGGCGCCCCTGTACTTCAAATTTTCGTTCTTGGCCGGACTGCCTTTGAGTAGGCTTGTCTCTATAAAATCCAATCCTTGCCTTTCTTAGAGGTTAAACGGATTGTCTCCCTCTATACAAAGCTACATTTTCAGTTGCAAAGTTCTGGCCAAACTATCGTGGCCATCAAACGTCCCTGTTGCTACACACTTCTTAGCTTCACTTGCATTCGTTGTTACTTGAAGTTCGAAACTACCTAAAGTGAGCAGCCTCAACTTTGAGTAGGTAATTATAAAAATAACGCGTGTGCACATACAGAATGCCCCAAGAAATGTGACACTGTTTTGTCGTTAAAGGCAGTGTCCGGGCAAAAACTCGATTTCTAGAAAATCCATTTACCGGGGATCCGCAATGCTGAATCCGAAAATCCACATTAGAAGGCGCAAAAACGGCGAGAACATGCGTTTTCCAAAGCCTAATTTGAAATTCGACGGTCCCCGCCAGGCAGAGATACAGAGTCGCTGCGGGACCCTACGACTCAACTGTTGCGGCATGCGTACTCTGCCGCATAGCAGGGAAGTCGGACAGCTCGGAGGACCCCGCCTTAAGGCGCAAGTTTCGCTATTGTCCGGTCGTTTTTCTTGCTTTAGGTCGAGCGTTATGATGTCGCACTTGCGCGATGTTGTGTCTGAGGGAGGCCACTCTCGCATGGCACTGAAATCCCAAAACCCACTGCCTTTAAAGGCAGCGTCCGGGCAAAATCTCGCCTCTCATGTTTCTGCCATTCTGGGGCCTTTCCGTGGCCCTAATTACAGTTGTGAAGTCCAAATTGTTCGAAACCCCCAAAAAATCCGATTCTTAGGGGACCCTCTCTTCGAGGAGCGGACTAGTTTCGGATTGCTCGTCCCCATTGCATGCCAGCTTGAGGAACTGCACTGCACGGATGCAGTTGCATTGCAGTGTGCAGTGCAACTGCAGTGCAACTGCACATCTGCGTGAGCACTCGTCCTCAGGAGTGGTTTGTGATACGAAGGGTATCACAAACCACCCCTGAGGAGGGGCGTTTGTGATACCCTTCACCCCTCCAAACCACCTTTGTGATTCCTTCTGAAGGGGTGGTTTGTGATACGTATCACAGGCCCGTATCTCCTTTTAGAGGCCATGTCAAAGGATCGGACCAACGCAGATCGGATACTCATGGGCCCCTCTTTACAATGATGTGCTAATCTGGGTGGATGGATCTTGCCTGGACGCTGCCTTTAACACGTTTCGGACCGCGAAATCGCGCGCGGCGAAAAAGAGGGCACTTTCAGCCGTTAGCCAACAAAGGGACCTTAATTCGTAGACTGCGTGCTATACTTTGCAATATTCGAGAATTTTTTCGAATAATCGAATAACCGAATATATTCGAAAATCAAAAATATCGAGTAATCGAATTTCGAATATTTTCAAAAACAAAAAATGTCGAATAATCGAATATCGAATATTTTCGAAAAACAAAAATGTCGAATAATCGAATATCGAATATTTTCGAAGTACAAAAATCGTCGAATAATGAAATGTCGAATATATTCGAAATGAAAAAAAACCGAATAGTCGAATATATTTGAGAAAAAAGTCCGAATAAACGAATATTTTGCATCGATTATGTTGAATATTCAAACAAATTTTAAACGAATCAGCACAGTGAAGGACTCCATGCAGTGGGCACTTGGACAACAAACGATGGTTGCTGATATAGCAGTCAAAATTGCGACGCTGTCATATAGTTATTCGATTACCCGAAATTGTCGAATAATCGAATAACTTCTGAAAATAAATATTCGAATGTTCGAATATTTTCGGAAATCAAATTTTCGATTAACCGAATAATCGAATAAATTCGAAATTGACAAGTTTCGAATGAGCGAATATCGAATATATTCGAGATTTTGAAGTTTTCGAATAATCGAATTTCGAATAAAATTTATTCGAATACTTTATTCGAATACTCGAATATTTATTCGATTCGGTCCAAAGTATACTGCGTGCTACATCTGTAATCAGCATATCTGATAAGATTCATACCCAAAGTTGTGAGCGAATTCGAAGTGTTTGAACTTTGTCGCCCGAGGAGGACTACTATACTTGGGGAAATTCGAAATTTTTTTCGAATATTCGAATATCGAATATATTCGAAAGTAGAAAATTTCGAATATTCGACTATCGAATAATATTCGAAAATCGAAAATTTCAAATATTCGACTATCGAATAATATTCGAAAATCGAAAATTTCGAATATTCGACTATCGAATAATATTCGAAAATCGAAAATTTCGAATATTCGACTATCGAATGATATTCGAAAATCGGAAATTTCGAATACTCGAATATCGAATACCATTCGAATATCGAATATCATTCGACCTTCGAATATCATTCGATTTTCGAATATCATTCGAAAAATTAATGTCTATGTGATATGATAACATGACCAAGCGCATAGTTTACAAGTACTGTGGGTCTTTGTAGTGCCCTTTTATGCGACCACTACTCTGCAGTATATGACGTATATCTCAGCGCGTTGTGCGGATTCTCTACATCTAGCCCTGCCGTCGACAACTCCACGATACACATATAGTATACACATTGTTGAACTGTATAAGTGTTTTACCCACAACTTTCGACTCGACACTCGTGGCAGTAAGCAATCTTCCTCTGGAAATACTATACAATGACTGGTTCTACCATATACCTTCTTCGCACTACAACAAACGGCGAACTTCTTGACACAACACTATCCTTCAGGTCACTAGTGCATTATCTTGAATACGCCCTCAATTTACGATTTCGAGTGGAAGTAACGCTGCGACGATATCAGGAATATTTTCACGTTCACGTTCACATCTATCACCTTTTCCGAATGCGAATGGAGAACAGCGTGCACTAGACCCCAGGCAGGGTCGGTAGTAGTTTGGTCGGAACTCACAGTTACTATGACTTAACTCTGAGTTATATCCGAGCTGACTCGCACCTTTCTTACCCCTTCAACAGTTGAATGGACCAAATCTAGAAAGCGACATATGGCAGGAGACTCCGTAACCGGTAATTTATCCTTAGTAAGAAAACATTGTTGAAATCGTTCTGCACAAGAAACAGCGCCACCAAACGCGCAGCTGTGCTTTTCGATAACTCTGAGTTTGGTGGGCGTTACAGTCTATCGTGGAACTCAGAGATAAATCTGAGTTTGGTCAGAGAAAGAGAAGTAGTGTACAAAAGAAGAGATGCAGCTAAAAAGTCCTCCGGAGTATATTTTGCTCGTACTTTCAGCAGGCGTGTGGAGGGGGGGGGGGGTCGCAATGCCCGGTATCTACAAAATTTTGAAACCTTGTTAAACCTTGGTCTAGGAGGTTGTTCGGTGCGCAGATCAAAAATTACTCATTTTTCACTTTTTCCCGTTGGGGTCATAAAGCCGTGTTACGGTGGATCTAAACGTTTGAACTCTATGTTTAAGTTTTAAAGTTTACTCAATGACGCTCATGAAGAACTGATAGACGCTGTTGAAGCAAAAATCTGGCGAAAATCAAAAGACGAAACGCCGGTTAAAAAACGTCGCAATTTTTGGCCACAAAATTGATATCCTTTTGCTTTTCCGCCCCAAAAACCAAATCCAGCTTGCTTCCATACAATCTGCGCCCGGCTCTGGTTTCATCATTCAAATTATCGAATATTCGAATAATCGATGTTCATCGAATGATTCGAATATTCGATGACCATCGAATGATCGAATTGATGACCATCGAATATTCGACTTTCGAATAATATTCGAAAATTGAGATTTTCGAATATTCGACTTTCGAATAATATTCGAAAACTGAAAATTTCGAATATTCGACTTTCGAATTTTATTCGAAATCTCAGATTTTCGAATATTCGACTTTTCGAATAATTCGCATTCGAATGATTTATTCGAATAATCGAATAATCATTCGATTCGGTCCCAAGTATAAGGACTACTATGCTTTTTTGGAAGATAGGAACAAGAACTCAGTTTTTAATTGTACCCAAAAGTATCTATGCTATACATCATACACATCACTATCGAAACTACGGTTTTTCTCCTTGAATTCGAAGCAAGTGGAAATTGCGACGTCGCACGCGTCGTTCGCGTTGCCGCACTTCTTTGCAACTGTTGTTCGATTTGTGCTCATATCTTCTACACAAACGGCGACACATCCTAACAGAGTTATTTGAGAAGAAGGAGCTTAGGCCTTTGACTTGATAACCTTCGACAAAAAGAAAACCTGTAAACGTTAGAAAGATCTCTCAAAAACGCGTGCTGCACCATGTGCAGCACCGGTCCGAAGCGTGTTAATAGTTCCTGCTTCGACGTCTTTCACCGATCTTTAGATTCCATCCTGTAGAAGTGGCTTGAACTTAAAGGCAGCGTCCAGGCAGATCTGGACCTAAGGGGATTTTGCGTGGAAAGTACTTTTGGGGTATCTCTAATAAGGCACTGCCCAAGCGGCAGCGCAGGTAGTGCTCTAACGGCTGGGATATTCCCCTCGAAGCTGGACCCCCGCGATCGTATTCGCATGGATTCATGGCAATTTCGCGCCAGGACCCACGCTTTGCGCCATGAATCCATGCGAAATACGATCGCGGGGTCCAGTTTCGAGGGGAATATCTCAGCCGTTAGAGCACTACCGGAGCTGCCGGTTGGGCAGTGACTTAGTTAGCTCCCCAAAATTACTATCCGCGTGAGATCCCCATGTGTCCAACTTGCCTGGACGCTGCCTTTAAATTTGAGTATGAGGCGAGTCACCGATCGCTCTCCGTTGTAGATTACGGTAGATTTTTACACAGGACCATTGTGAAATAGGCCGTCTGAAGTAAATTTTCAGAATTTTTGAAAACTGGGGTAGCAGGGTGTTCTTCATGCGTCAATAAACAACTTTTTGCCATTATTGAGTTTTCTACTAAGTGCTAGTGTATCACACTTTGGACGAGCACTGAGAAAACAATTGTTACGCTTTACCTGAAAATTTTCGGAAAGAAAAATTATGTGAGTGCACCTGGTATGAGTTTTAGTTTGCTTGGTTTTGTTTCTGAGCAAAAATATGGCTCCCAATGGCCTGAATCTTTCTTGTCTCAAATGAACAGTAACGAGGAGCGAATGATGGTTTGCTCCATATCTAAACTGAAGCCAACTCTGCAAAATGATACCAGAAGTTCGGCGAAAGACATTGAAGCAAGGGAGTTATCAAGATAAATCAATGTGCCTATTGTGGCAGTTTATAAAGTGTCCTAAACGTATGTATATACACACTTCTTGATCGTTGGTAACTCTCTTCCCACAAAGTCTTCTGCTTACCATTATTTGGGTACCATTCAAGAGAGCAGGTTTGAAGTAATTGCGAGGCGCTGAGTTGGTAAGGCGGGAAGTAGGTTTTTGCTGATTACTAGAACACTATTTCCACAATTATGCATTGCTTGAAGATTCGGAAAAATTACGGCTGTGAACTTTCCATCACCCCTTGACTCCAGGTCAGTAACTGATATCTCAGAGTTCTAGAAAAAGCGTTTTATGGCGTTTTCCGGCTTTGGAGATTGCTGAAGGGGCTGAATCAGAGATTCTCGCCAAAAACAAAACTGGGAGGCCCAAGTGAGGATGGAAAGCTCGCAATCTCAGTAAGGCATCGATCATACCTCGCGCAATCTGGCACTGCTACGATGGCTCACTCACCGTAAGTGCACTCCTTTGAGCAATCAGTACGCTTGCATTCACTAATGAGAATTGTGCGGGTGTGCATTCCACACCCGCGCCAAGTGGTTTGCTAACATCTATCATGTCGCCAAAGATATTGAAATTTATCGCGAGAGCTATGACCGAAGCCTAAACAAACCTACCAATTTTTTGTAAAATTCGATATGAGGGACTGGAGATTCATACAAGAAAACAAGTGAGCCATGCTACTACGAAGGTACAGTGGGGCAGTCAACATAAGAAAGTGGAACTGGAACAAGCTGTTATTCAATCATGTGTTCTGTGTTCTATCCTGGTAAATTGAGAAACCAAGTGTACCCGGGTAATCCAGCTAGATGTTAATAAATTCCATCTTTTATTGGAAAATGAAATGACGAATGCACAATGATGATCACAACACTTTGGTGATAACAGCTATTTAACACCACTCTTCATTAGAACAAGCTCGATTCATATGCAACAAATACAAAGCTGATTTGAGAAAAAAAAGAGATAGAGGAGAATCGTACACGAAAATGAAACACGGATGGCATAAGTCCTAGTCACCCGTTGCAGAACCGAAGTCGGTATCTTTATTAAGCCTAAATCACATTAGAGGAATGGTTAGTACGGAAATAAGTGTCACATATTGCAAAGGACAAAAGATTGGAATAAGATTCTATAAAATGTCTTTGGCGATAATTTTACAAGTGATCACTGACAGTTTATTAAGTCGACCCATACTTCTCCATCCATTCAATGTACTGTCGGATATTCTCCTGCAAATCTTTTTTTTTTCATTTGCGCTCCAGAATAGAATTATCGAACGAATGAAATCAGCGCCTGTACGAATTTTCACCTCAGAAACGGAGGGATTCGTGTCTCCCAGAGCCTCCTGCAGGTCCTGCCAAGTAACAGGAAGATCAAGCTCTTCTGCAGTAAGTTTCCCTATCTCGGCCGGTGTCAATGAGCGAGTAAGCCTTCAAAACCGAACATTGAGCAATATCAGGGAAAAAAGAATACTGACCTTTTCACGCCCATAAGTGCAGCTTTTCGGCAGACATTCGTAATATCAGCGCCAGAGAAGCCATCAAGCTGGTCAGCAAAAGTCTCAAGATTCACGTCATCAGCTAAACGGACCTAAATGGAAGATATGGAAGATGTGCTCTTTACAGATAAGCTGCGGAGAATGGTATAAAGAAAAAGCAGGGTATGCAATCGTGTGCATAAAAATTATGCTAAACCAACATTGTATGTATGTTGCAACCAACCTCCTTCAAAGAAGAGCGCAACAACGACAACCGTGCTGGGTGATCGGGAAGTGGTATATAAATTCTTTGCTCGAATCTGCGGCGCAAAGCTTCGTCTGTACCAAACAAACATTTATACACAGAAAAAGCTGTAAGAAAAACCCGCCTAACATCCAGGGAAAATTTGTAGCAGCTAATACAAGCACTCGCTTGCCGTCTTCCTCTTTAGCAAACCCATCCATTTCAACAAGAAGCTGTGACTTCACCCTTGATAGATAGAAAACTAGAGTGGTAATGGCCGAGATGGCGATCAAAAGACTTTACCAACTAGTAGTAGAACAGGTGAAATGGTTACCGTCTGCTGGCTTCATGTTCATTTGCTTGTCCTCGCTGGCTGCCAATCGTGTCAATTTCGTCAATGAATATAGTTGAAGGCGCAAAATGACGAGCCTTTGCATAGGAAAATTCATTGAGAGACAAAACTGCAGATTAAGAATATTGAAAAGAGAATGTGGAGCCCGTTCAAGAAATACAAAAGGTGCACTGAATCATATAATAATGTTACTAATACTAAACCCACTAGGAGAAGAGAGAGACTGTTGAGATTCACAATTCTATTTTCTACGAAAAAAAATAACTGACGAAATTAGTAATGGGAGTAAGACCAAGGGAAGAGGGAGGGCTAGGAGCAAGAAGTCACACAAAGTATTATGAAAAAAATAAGACCATTACAACCAAGCAAACTAACCATTTCAAACAGAAGCTTGATCATTTTCTCGGAATCCCCACGCCATTTACTAGCGAGATCTCCGCAGTTCACGGCAAAGAATGTTGTTTGGCATTCAGTAGCCACTGCTTTAGCCAGTAGAGTTTTGCCGGTACCTGGTGGGCCAACCATGCAGACTCCCCTCCAAGGACGTCGAATTCCCTGTGCCAGAAAAATTCAATGAAGCCGTATATGCTTAATGAAAACTTACCTTGAAGAAGTTTGGCACGAGAGCAGGCAAAACGATAGTTTGTTTGAAAAGCTCTTTTGGGCCTTCCAGGCCAGCAATATCGTCCCAGGTAACTTCCGTACCATTGCGTGTCATTGTTTGTTCTATAGCTTCCACCAAATCCTATAAAATGGACCAAAAAGATGAAGCCCTGCTAGTGCTGAGATAGTTACCGGACAGTAACCGCGGGGAACAAATTCGTCTTTTTTCTCGTCGGCAGAGCCTGCTCCAGCAGCAGCCGCAGCAGCAGCTACTGCAGCTGCGGTATCAGGCGGTTCAGAAACTGTTGAAGTACTTGCGGCAGCGCTAAATAAATAAGTTAAAAATCTGACTGCCTTGCGCGTACGTCATCTTCAAACGTCAGACCCATGTTTCGGCCTTTTCTCTGATAATGCGTTTTGGCTACTTGACTTCTTCACAGGTTTCTTCACTGTAATCGTTTCGTTTCGTTCATTTCCGTCAATATTTCGACTCTAAACAGTGAACGAACTATGACCTAGAAATGGTATAGGGGAGTAAGTTAAGGTGAAGCATACCCTATTCGGTGTTGTCTTGGTTCTCGCACTTGGTGCTGAAGTTTTCTTAGGAGGCGGAGCAGGCCATACATCGGGGTCCGCCGGAGGCGCATCAATGGGACTTTCGAGTGATTGCATAGCCGCGTACAACTCTTTGACAGCATCGGCTTCCCTTGCCTTTGCTTTCCTTTCCTTACGTAACAGTGTTATTACCTGAAAGGTCAGGCAAACAGTAACAATAAGAACATCGCAGCCGTTGCTAGGAGCTGCTTGACTAAGCAAAAGAACCGGTTGCCATGCACAACAAAAGCACTATAGAATGTAGGGCATTATCAGTTCTTTGTTGAAGATATCAGAATTACCAGAACATAGAAAGCCATTAACTTTGTTACAACATTTCAGTATGGTATAGCCGACTTGGCAATACCCCAGTTGCTTATAACTCGTGGCAAACTCAATTTGAGCATACGGAAAACAGCATATTTTATCCACTCACAAAAGTTACAATTACACAAGCATTTGAAGTCTGCGAGTGTTGGGTTTGAAGAGATCTGGTAAATGGCCAAATTGCGTGGCGAGTAAAGTTGCGAGAGGTATGCTCAGGGCCTTACGCGCAAACCTCGTCTACGTTCCCGTGATGGGCCGACACTGCAGAAGCAGTACAGAGGCCACCCGTAATACCGCAGCATAGCCCAGGCTTCTCCAAAATTGGTGCGGAGTCAAGTATATGCCAGATTAGGAAGGCAGAGGAAGGGTGATAAAAGACAACAGCTGCCAGACCTTGGAAGGCGATGAGCTGTATAACATCCAATATCCTAGAATTGAAGAGCATTGTAGATGATTTGAGAAAAAGTCCCTTTCATTTCCCCAAATCCTACAGGCAGCGTCCAGGCAAATCTGGTATGGGAATTTCACGTATCAATTTTAAGGCCCTAACTAAGCCACTGCCCAATCAGCACTCAGGTAGTGCTCTAATGGCTGAGATATTCCTCTTGAAACTGGACCCTAGGATCGTAATTCGCTGGATTCATAGCAACCCACCAGTTCCGCGAGGGCCCTCGCGGGAAACTGATGGGTTGCGCCATGTCATGCGAAATACGGTCCTGGGTCCAGTTTGGAGGCGCACATTTCAGCCGTTAGTGAGTCACCTGCGCTGCCGCTTGAGCCATGCCTTAGTTAGGGCCCCAAAGTTACTTTCCATGTAAATTCCCTATAGGTCCAGATTTGCCTGGACGCTGCCCTCGAAGGGTCCGGCCAAAAAGTCGGTATTGAGATTGTGCGCTTACCCGAGCCTATTCGCTATGCTGAATCCGAAAATTCGTACTAGAAAGCGCGAAAACGGCGAAAAGGCTCTAATGCAGGAGGGAAAACAGTGGGTAAGCGTGGTCTTTCCCGTGTGAATTCACGCTCCCAGCTTCCGGAGCGATCTTCTCGACTCCGCTAGCCGCCGCCCTGACACCTCCAGCGGCCAAGCGCGAACGCTTGACTTAAAATCGGAACCGAGAAGATCCTCCATAAGCTGGGAGCGTAAATTCACAGTGGGGGAGACCCGCCCACCTCTGATTTCCCTCCTGTGTTAGAGCCCTTTCTCGCCGTTTTCGCGCTCTCCAATACGATTTTCGGATTTAGCATGGCGAATAGGCCCAGATAAGAAAGATCTTGAAATCGTCTTCTTGCTCGGACACTGCCTTTCTTGTGGTCGAGAGCAATCATGCGCAGCGTCATTCTAACACACTATGATTTTTTCCAGGGCTTTGCGTCCACATTCTCTGGCACACAAAGATGCATAGAAGGAATGCCTGAAGCTTCTGCAGGTGTGATTTACAGGAAGCAAAAACTAATCTGCAAGAAAATCTACTACGGCCTGTGTAAGGGAGATAAGTCCATCAGAATCGAGTTTCTAAATTTCTCTAAGCTGAGTAAAGATGTAGCCCAAATCTCCACCTAATATTTGAAAACTGGCCGAGACACAGCCTAGAGACCTCTTTCACAACATTGGACGCAGCCCCATATTATTATTTATTGCGTAGGAATTTCCTATGCATATTATCAACAGAACACAAAATCTAATATACAACACAAATCAACACAACAAACTAGAAAGGCCTAACAATCATATAAGGAACTATGGCGAAAGAAGATAATTCTCAAGAATCATTTTAAACTGAGACAATTTTAGAGGAAGCATACCCTTTCTCATCATTTTATCTAGATCGCCGCTGACTCTGTTTGTAAAGAATCTTCTTCTCACATTCCTCCCTGCTCTTGGTATTACCATTTTTGAGGTCCCCCTCTAGTAATAGAACTTCTAGTCTCAAAGAAGTTGGCGGGATTAAGTTGGCAATCTCCGAATAATATTTTGTGAGCCATAATAAGATCAAGCTTTCTTCTTCTATTGCACAGGCTGACCAACCCCAAGATTTTATTTCGATGATTTCGATATCCTCTATTAAAGCTTCGTTGTTTTGAGTTTGAGTTATTCACTTCCTCAAACTCCCGTCGGTGAGACTATTTCGCCCTGCCATGAAGTAATTCACTTCGACCAATCTCCCCTGTAAACTATAAGGCATTCGAAAAATCGCGACGCGCGCGACACGCACGCACCTACCAGTAACCGCATTCTCTAAGTTTTCATCTCTACTCGGATGGTTTTTCTGCTTACACATGACAGTATTCAGAGATCGGAAGAGACCGAGCTGAGAGTTGAGGTGATCCGTTTAGTATGAATTCCGTTTAGTATGTCTTCCGCTCCTGTGGGCGCGAAGGCCGCAGTCAAATCCGTCGTCACGATTTTACAAACGACCTATAGATACATCGGGATAGGCAATTCATCGTAAGCAAAGACTGGGCGCCGTTGCGTTCAAAGATAGTTCGCGTTTGGTAGAAGCATCAGACAGTCAGAAGATTAAAAGTGCGGTCAAAATGAGAGACGCGACAGCGTCCGCAGTTGCATCCTGTCCCTGAGTGCGATGAATCTCCTATACAAAAAAAACCCAATGGCTCAAACTTGGCTGGTAACTTTAAATATCAGTGAACCAGTCAAGAGGAATTCTTAATTAAGACTAAGAGTTGTGCCCCGTGTCTAGCAAAAGTTTGTCGATTTCACCAATGGCCGTGTCATGAAGTAGGATAACCTACTGGGTTCGTTCAAGATATATTCACTGCCAACAGGTAGAATCAGCATCCACAAGAAGCTCTGCTGGGATCGCTAAACCACCAGCTTCGTAAATGCCGGTCTCGGAATGAGTTTAAACGGGGCCCCGGAACCACGTGGGGTCGTTGTTGTATAGGCCAGTGGAAGCATGACTGCCGATCATAACTCACATGGCGCAGCTGCTTCTTCTCTGTAGCACTCAAGTTCATACTGACAGATTCTATCTCGGAGATTGCCTCCTTATAGAGCGAATCCGTCGTTTTGTAGTCATCGCTCTTTCGTGCCCGCTCGATAATCTCATCGATTGCTGAGAAGTCCATTACCTGGAAATCAAAGTCGTAGAAATCTTGGAAAAAGTCACTTGAAATTTGACAGACACTACATCGCCACAAAGTAAGATGTGAATGAACCAACCTTAGCGCATAGCCCGAGAAAGGAGAAGATAACGGCTATCAGCGAGGTTAATCTCGGGAATATTGACGCGCACGATGCGGTCAGCGCACCAATCGAACTACCGTACTGCCAAGCGGATCCTTTAACTTTGGTGTGTTTTCCGACATCGTGCACCGTCACTCATCGCTTTGGTTTTGCTGCTAGTGGTGACGTATGCTATCTGTCAATTCTGTACATCAAAAGTGATGATTTGACGCTTTCGAAATTTCCGCAGAGGTCGCGGAGGTTTTACTTGCTTCAATTTCAGCAGGGAGAATGTTCCTCCTGTTTAGTAGCGAATTGTTTACGGCATTGCTTACTCGTAGGTAACAGTTGTCGGCAGTCGCTTTCCCTGACTGGTGTTGTTGATTGTTGGCTGGTCTCGCACATCTGACTTTACTAGTTCTCTAGCCATTCGTCATTGTTGTCTGTTTTATATTTCATGACATGTGACATCTGCAAAGTCCTAATTTCAGTTTGTTTGTATATTGTCAAGTCTGCATGCTTCGCCACAAATGAAAATTGATCATCAGAATTTCTCGCCTTGCAACGGAGAGTTGGTAAGCTAGAACAGCTCTTTCTTTGCTTTTCGCATACTGAGCCTTTTAGCCTCCGCTTTGTGCCAATTTGATTGAAACTATCAAAAATGCGACCACAGTGGAACGATTTATCGAGGAGTTGAATCGCGCCAGAGATTTACAAGCAATTCTAGGAAAGGTAATGTATCTGCTTAATTCCGAAGTGATTCTACTCATTTGTCATCATTTTCAGACAGAGTTGTCACGATGGGCAGACGTGCTGAATCGTTGCGATGAAATATTGGAAGATGCTACTGTTATACAAAATTATGAAATGAAGGTGAAAGAACTGCCAAAGTAGCAAATTCACAAGTTTATTTTTATGAGTAAGCGGCGTTGCATTTAGGTTGATAAATGTCCCATTACGAAATACAACACAATCTCAATTCTGCGCTTCACTGGCCTTCTTTTCGACTGCACCTCAACAAGGAGGATATACGCCAGTACAGACGTAAGTTTCTTCGTAAAGTCTCCATGTTGTTTCAAGTTTTTTTTACGTAAATTTCCTCGTAAAGTCTATTTATCGTTTTAAGTTGTTTTTTTTCTGATTCGTTTGCCACATGGAAGTGTTTTGAGAGATAATAAGACTTGGATTCCGTGCTTGTTATTCTCAAATTTCGAGCTTAATTTTTGCTATTGCGAGTGGCATTTGCACCCTTTGAGATTTTATTGGCATCACTTCAACGCTGCAAATCCATTTATTGCTTGTATCACTGCGTTCATTTTAGTGGATATGAATAATACTAAGTCTCATCTGTTGTAAAGTGAATGTCAGAACTTTCGAGACATACGCAACCCATCTATGGCTGCCTTTCTGCTCGAAACAATGCTCTTTGGATATGTATTCTCGTGTAATATAATGGTTCCCCCTTTCAGCGAATTATCAGGTTAACCGAATGCACAGACATGGATTTGGTTAGCGAGGTGTTGCGACTTCTGCAGACCATCAGCAAGCGCTCAAAGTTTTTGACGCAGAGGCTGTGCCCCGAAGATCAGGCTTCTCTCGTGATGAGTCTCACAGCAATGGCTCAGGTATGTCGAGGCGTTGGGCATGGTCAGCTCGCCTTTCATCCTACTTTACAGTGCTGGGGAGGCAAACTGCGCAATCTCAAGATGAAAGATTGTGTACGTAGTGATGTGAAACTTCCACCCCTCTTTCCATTCACTTTTACGGATAGCAAAGCTAAGAACTCTATAGTTTTTGAACGTCACATGGTAAGTACACGTAACTGTCGATATCGAGCATATTTGAAGACCAGTTACAGGTGAATCAGCCATTACTCAAGGTCGTGGACGAATTCGCGGCGGGCATGACACCAGAAGATCGCTACAGCTTGTTAGCCAGAATTAGGATGCTACGGAATTTTGAAGTTTGCGAACATCGTATGCAATGCCTCATAGTACGACTGTTATCAATATCTACTCTGAGTGCGTTTGTGTTCATCAAAGCTGATTCTGCCTCAAGTGCATCATGCACGATAAGATGCTTATCTTTTAGTATACTGTAAATGTCAACCAGACGAGGTGCAGATCAATGCTTTACTGTACAGTGGCTTTATCGAAGAGGCTGTTGCACTTTTGAAAGTCGACTTAAACTCGCACGAGCTTATGGATCCCATCCAAACTGAAGCGCTGCGAATGCTTTGCAGTGTTGTATCACTAGAAAAAGTCAGCAGGTTCGTCCAGTTACTGTAATGTTTGACTGTAGTTTACCGCAAATTTTGTTGTAAGTGGTCGCTTCTTTGCCCTCGTTTACTTTGACTCGTTTGCTTGCGATCTTTCCGCACGATTTATGTTTGTTTTGTTCACCGTTAAGCGGGTTGAACGGAATTTGGTGGTCAGGTGTTGACAGTATCAGTCCGAAACGGGGCTCTTAGATGAATAAAATAGGTTAAAAGTAATAATTTTGAATATGATTCTCTCAGTGCTCCTGCGCATGTATTTAAAATCAACTGTTCTCTGTACAGAGTTCAGAGAGATGTCATGAACCATAATATATTGCTTCCTTGCTCTTGGTACCAAGGGAAGGTAAAATGTATGTTCGAAAAGGTTAACGTTACCATCTCAGAATTCGAAGTGCCTATTTTATATTTAACCTTTTTTTTTTCGAATTCGGTTTGTACGTGTATATGGTTTGGTTGTAAGTTTATACTTCCCTGGACGTCTAGCAAAATGAAATATTCTTCTGATATAGTCGTCCTCCCCCCACTAGACACCTAGTGGACGAAATCGAATTTGAATTGGAGCACGCCGGCTGCGGCAGAGCGCGGCACCGTCAAATGCATTTCAAACTAACACAGTTTTCTTTTGTGTTTCACTGTCGTTGCATAGTGATTTCTTTCTGTTTTAATGATGATTGTGATCAAAATTGAAGGATTTTTTTGCTATGCGATGTTTCGTAATGCTATGCTCGTTTCTTTACCCTGTTTTCAGGAAAGGTTGGAAAAACGATGCATATGGGGAGTTTTTGACACGAAGTATTTGATGAATCACCACTTCGAGACCTACCGAGAACAATTCCACCAAATTTCAACTTGGGCGTTTTTCCAAACTCAACTTGGAATCGTAGTCAAAGAAACGAGCATAGAAGCACGATCCATTGCTCAAACAAAAGCAACAATTTCAGTACGGATTGAGAGATGGTAGCATTCGAACATGAGGTTGTATCGTCGGGAAAACACAAAAAAAATTGTTTGAGATTGAAGTGACAGCTGCAGGTGCCGCGCTCTGCCGCAACCTGCGTGCTCTAGTTCAAACTCGAATTCGTCCACTAGGTGTCTAGTGGGGGGAGGACGACTATAGTAATACCATTGCGTTGCGCTATACCCACTCACTTTCAGGACATCGCAAATTTTGGATGTGCTGAGTGCAGGTTCCTACCATGGTTTCCTAGCGGTGTTCACGAGGAATATAGTTGAGGATATGAAACGCAATCTGTTGAATACTCCTGGAAAGCCAAGCGTAGCGCTTAGTACGGCATTGCTATCATTCATCTATCATCTCAGTAATGCGGATCCTGGTGGTGAGTACCAATGATATTGGAGACCTCCACAAAATTCATTGTACTCTAACTGATGACTTTGTTTACTTGTTATCCTGGAGCACTCGTATCAGTTCTCTGACTAGGCTGGAAAGTCTTACCATCAAAAGTAGGTTATTTCAGGCGAAGCACTGGCAGCTTGTGGCCTTACTCAAACTTTGCTGAGTGTAATATCCCACCATGGCCTCCCTTTAGACCAGGCATGCCTTGCCACGCGATGTACGCGCATAACGGACAATTTCACCACGATAGATGTTACTGGTTTCAATAACTGTAAAGGGATGGACATCTGTATAGACCGACTGATCGTATGCATTTTTGGCTACATTCAAATTTTCCCTATTTGCCAAGCTCATCTCAAGTAACTAATGTTTCAGTACGAAGTCGATGAATGCCGAAAAGAGCAGCCGTTTGTAATTGACACATCTGGAGATGTTGATGATGACAGCGTTGGCAGCGTTTTCGTAAGAGCACCAGCTGTGGGCAAAACTTGTCACCCGCAAAGATCAGGTCTGATCAAGGCGCTCATCACCTTTATCAAACGAGCAATTCAAGAAAGTCAGTTTCAGGATAGTATCAGACACAGTAAGTTGTCAAAGTTTTTTCCATGCTCTGTTCAACTTATTTGGACTTGTTTTCCAGTCATGGAGGGGCAACTTCCCGATGCACTCATGCATATAATCAGCAACACTGAATACTACTCGGCATCGCTTTATCATCATGCTACTCAACTTGTCGTCAATTTCATATATCAGGTATGGGCTTACAGCTTACATCTCGTAAAACTCAGGCTATGAAAGCGTTTAGGAACCATCTCAACTTTCAATACTGCAGAGTAGGCATGTGCCATACGTAATTCTGCAAAGCATGCTTCGAAAAGAGGTATGTGTGGAAGGAATCACATTTTTTGTCATTATTTGATTTATTTAAGCTTCCCAATTCTCGTGATGTCATTAGTCACATGGGGAATGTTTTCACCGCTTTATGTCTGAATGAGAAAGGTAAGGTTGCTGATGTTGCAGTGCAAGCAATTCTTTAGCTTACTTTGACTTTTAGGATTAAAACAGTTCAAAGCCTATGCTCCCTTCGATCATGTATTTAATATCGTCTTGAGCATCAAATTCATCGTCACAATGAAGAAGAAGCGTAGTGAAATGAGTGAGTATCATGGCATCATAGAATCTTGAATATGATTTTTCCGCTTTAGATGATGCCGCTCAAGGGATCGGAAGCTCTTTGGATGATTTGCTGCGACATCAACCTACACTCAAACCCCTGATGCTTGATTCAGTTCTAGGGGTATCACATACCACACATCAAGACTTAATGAGCAACGAGTATAATTCACAGATGCTTGACCGCCTTGTCGAGCTTGGCAACAATCCTCCTCCGAATACGAAGATTGTGATGGCACTGTCTCGATCAGCCAGCAAAGCTGCTAGCCAGAGTTTTGGTAGTGGTTCGAATACTCCCAATGTTGAGCAGGTTGTTAATCTTAAGCATTTGTGGAGGACCACATGTAAAGAATTTCACATTTAGCTTCCAATGTCACCGCCTGAAATAGAGGAAATGTCTGATGACGACGAAGAGGCTGAAATGAGCATGGATGAAATCAGCGGAGTAGGGCAGTGCGTAGCTGACAAGATGGTGGGCATTTTTTGTGAACTACCTAGTTTAGTTGGCGAATATTACACATTTTCTAGGGACTTGAAATGGATTGTCCTTCCGATGCTAAGGATGGAACACGTTTACTGCCTTTGGGAGACTATCTTCTTATTTTCACAAAGGTAATTTCCAAAGCAATCGTAGATAAACTATACTTTGCATAATTATCTGCATCAGATTTTCGAAGCTATCATAACACAAGTCGCTGCCGCAGATCTCGTGGAAGGGTTTGTGGAGAAGAATGGCGTTGAAAAGGTGGAAGTGATTTATACTATGAGCGTATTGGTTGGCTTATTTATCTGCTTTCAGATTCTTTCACTATGCAATTTACCCTCACTTGCAGCAGATTTGGCTGCGAGCACATTTTCTACGAGTGTCGGTAGTATTGTCAAATTTGTTTTGGTGAGTGTTTCCTTTTTTTTATATGCTTACAAGCACACTAAAATTTTGTTATCGGCTATCACACACTTTTTTACTTCCAGCAACACGTGAAATCTGGAGACAAACTCATGCTTGCAATCATGGAGGTATTTCTGCAATCTATCGGTCCACTTGCTGCGCGTTCATCTCGCGATCACTCTGATGCGAACAGTGGTGCTTCGATGCTTGTTCCATTGGGTGATGAAGGCATAGTAGCAGCGATCACTAGCATGAGTAATGCTGTACCGATTCTCAGCATGTTAACGAAGAATACGGCTGTTTCCGTACCACAAACACAGGTATGGGTTCGGTTTACCATATTGATGTTATTATCAAGTTGGACTTTCCAGGGTGAGCTTCGCAATCGAGTCTGGGATGCTTGGCTGACCGATACTGGTAAGAGACTACATATAGGATTCCGCAAGGTTAGTGTGATTCTCATTATCAAATATCAAAGTAGTTTCTATGGACTTGTAATACTCAGTCGAGAAGAAGTGCTGAACACCATCCGAGGTACGATACTTTCCTTTCAGGTGGCTCGAGTACTGTCTTGGGAAACGGCTTTGTTGAAAATGATTGAACCAACGAAAGCTGTTGCCACAACTCAAACAGATCCTAGCGAAATCGAAGCGCTTTGTGTTGGAGCTAGTTCGCCATTGACGTAAGTGTTTTTTTCGAACCAACGTAGGTGAATTCACATTAGAAACAATTTTTTTTGCAGGTCCACCTCTTCCACGGAGCCGAACAATGTGATGTCGGTCGCTGTTGATCCGCCTTCCACTGCTGCTCGACAGCCTGCATGGGCTTTAGCTGGAATAACGCAAGCCGAGAACGCATTTTGGCATAGACACAAAAACGTCGCTGAAATGGTGATCAAAGCAAACAAGTGAGAGTTATCGCGTAATCGTCGCCTACATATTCTGTTAACAAAGTTGTTGCTTGTTAGAACAGTTTCGGAGTTCCTCAGCCAGCTTTCGAGATCATGCTTTGCGCCAACCAGGAGGAATCGCCGTTACGATTTCTCCGCATCGACGATGCCGAAAGCGGCTCAGCAAATGGCAGATGAAGTTTTTGCTGGTTTCTTCCGTGACCTAAAATGGAGTTGTTACAAACTGCCTGATGGCGCACCTATACCTCCCATGGAGTCAGTATTGAATTTTGTGAATGAGAGCGTCTGAGTAAGGTGTCTTTCTGCAGATTCGGACGACTTCAAGAAGTGATAGCTCAAATGTCTGTGGCGCTTTTCGATGATCGCCGCCAACCTTTTCATGCCATGTTGCAGCGGTTTTATACTTCTGGATGTCACAATGCTTTCTGTGATTTGATGATTGAGAAACTTGCACCAGCACTTAATAACGACTACAATGGTATTATCACTTACTTTTTGACATCACTGAATTCATCAAATGTCTCAGACTGGTTGGAGTTAGCTTTCCTTGAGTGGTTTCGTCTTGCGAGTCGATTGGCAAATAAGCAAAATATGCTTCATACCCTCTACCGACAGCCGCAACCTCTCACAGTGGAGTTTGATCCGAAGAAATACCTCAAATTGGTGCACAATGTGAGTACATCGTTCTTTTTTCACTCGGCATTGCGAATCGTTTATTTTGAACAAAAAATCAATTGCAGGATTTCTTCCGTGCCTTTTGCGTACTTTTCTCGAAACTTTCTGATGAGAAAGTCGATTTGAAATGCTGCCAGACACTATGTGAAACTGCTATATCCGTATACAAAGATGTAAGTTTTTTGTCTCCAAAGTTTCATTTTTCGGTGTTATAGTATTCCAACGTTTTCGTTTTCGGCTCAGGTCGCACACAGTCTCACTCCAACTACGGAAGAGAACCCGCGATCGCAGAACGATGAAAGTGGCGATGCGAGAACACCGGCTGCTGATGGAGAAGAGACTCAACGTGACGCTGCTTTGCGTCAACTCCTGCCTGAAGGCAGCGTTTCTCTATTGGTACGGCAGTCGCATCTGTCAGGAAATATGTAATTTGATTGTGCTATAGGTTGACATGGGTTTTCCGCATGAATTGGTTGTTCAAGCATTGGAAGAAACGGGCTCTACAGAGGGTGCGACTGAATGGCTCATTAATAGAAATGCTGCCGGACTCCAGCAGGTAGTGTTTCATGCGAGTACAGTGTATGAATCAGCATCGTTATATTTGAGGCTCTGGAACGAAATAACGACGTGGGGGATCTTGAAGAGGGCGAGTTTGTTGATGCTAATTTGCCCTTCTTGCTAGGAGTTGCTGGCTCTTCCAGTGAGTTTCAGCAGCAGCAGATATATCTTGTCCACTATCAAGGTCGCTCTATAGGTGGCTCGGCCAACGAAGACAGAGAAGCAAATAGGAAAGCGGGTACCAGTAATGCGCTGGATGTAGAAGATTCCATAGAAATGCCTATCATAACACCTCTGAAAGAACTCAACATCGATGTGAGTAGCTTATGCATATCTTTCTGTTTCTCTCATTCTTTTTTTCGTACCATTAATGTCTTCCATCATCTTTACTTTTGCTTTAGCACACATGTTATGTGCCTATACATATCTGCTCCCAAATCACTGTTTGCAGACGGATCTCTCAATTTCACGTGCATGTATCGAGCTAATGCCTTTATGCAAGCGTCTCATGGAACTTGGCTCAGATCTCGTGTTTTCTTGTGCTGACCTTGTTTCGGGTATGGTCAGTACCCTCGATGAGGAATGGAGACGACGTCAGTTGATTGGACAGATTATGATCGAGGAGGTAGGGATACATTTCGCTTGTCACTGAGCATGTTGGAGATGATAAAGTGAACCTTTCTTATTCAGATTATCGTTATGGCGCGATCGGTAATGAGTGGTCCTACGGAACACGCCGTTCGCGTGCTGGCGACCAGAATTCATTTTGCTTGCCTTCTCTTCGATCACGTTGCGGACGAGTATCTCGAGGTTTGTGGCTAAAAGGTTCTCAAGAAAACATGGATCAGTGTTACCGTTCAGGCGATAGGAACGCATCCCATGGTGTCAACCATGCTCTTACTGCTTGGCTTTGTGTATGACAATTTTGATGTTGATTATATGCAAAATGGGTAAGTGTGCTAGAAGCGTATTATTCAAAAGTTTTTTCTTATACTGTTTTCAGTCTGCTTTCCCCTGTAGTTTTATGGCTGGATCTCTACGACAAAGGGATGCGAGCACTAAAACGAAGAAATGTGCTGAAATCAGCCTCACCGCAGCTCAAGTGGTCCTATCATGCTGAGGAGGAGCGTATCGGGACGGGAAGAAGTAAGTGCTGTTGCTGTTTGTCTTTATAACTAGTATTTCACACGTCGCTTTTGTAGGTCACAAGAAATGGCAACCGTACTCTCCTGTGAATCAGCTGCAGCTCAATAAAGCGTTCTTCTCTGGAAAGACAAATTGTGTACTCAAAATACCAAGGTGGAGCCGTGTTTCCTCTGTTTTTTATACTTGGAATATGCTTTGCATTCAAGGAAAGAAAAAGATTTCACCGTGGATTTTTCTTTAATGAGGCAAAGAGATGGTCTTGCATGTAATCAAGCTGTTTTCGCTGAATTACCAGATGGCGCTGAGATTGACATTGAAACATTGAAAAAATCAGTAAGATCTTTATTCTTTTCTTTCAGAACGTTTCATGTACAGAAATTTATATTTGAAGGAGAAAGAGTCCATTTGGACTACAGCTGAAACTTCGCGTTTGTTGGTTATGGTAGTCAGCTTACTCCATAAATCACTTATTCACCACACGGCTGCTCATACGATACTTGCTTTTGTAGCAAGATTAACGAGAGATTCTAACTGTGCTGTGAACTTCATCCAGGTATCATTTGCACCACTTATCACAGGCTTTCTCTGTGTGGGTCATCTCAAATTTGTTTCCAGCAAGGGGGCATACCAGCGCTTTTGCAACTGCGGTGCTCTACTACACCATCAACTTCGGTTTTGACTTCGCTCATCATTCGGCAATGCATCGACGACGAGAACATGATGGCTCAGGTATACCGACCGATACATATCGAAGCTTTTGTGTTTGTGCTGCATGACATCTATTTTTATGCAGGCTTTGATTTCGAATGTTGCAGGTGATGGAGAAAAGTGTTAGGGTTGTGACAAATCCGGTTCAATCTACACCGCTCTCCGAGTATCTTGGTATGTCCGAAACGAAACCAAAAGATTGGTGCGAGACGCTCAATAAACTTGCACCGCTTTCGACAAGGTAACTATCGACTTTTAACAGTGTCGCATCATCTTGCATGGCCATGTTTAGGTGTCCATCAATATTTGTGAATACCATGGAGAAATCTGCTCGACTCGATGGGACGTTAATGGTTTCTACCTCATCTAAACCCCATTACTCACCGCCAACCAGTAATGAACGGACGCAACAGGTGTGTAACGATACTTTTGTCATTAGTGCGAAATGCATACGTTTCATTCCCGATTTAGATAGTGCAGCTGCTTCTTCGCGAATGCTTGCATGGTGAATGGCCATCAGAAAGTAGTGTACCTCTGGGGCATACAAGAATGGTAAGCTCTTCTTCCCTTTGTTACATAATTTTGGTAGTCAAGTCATCCTTTTCCTTCGTCAAATTATTGCCTTTTGTTTATATGAAGAACTAAGTATTGCTTACTCTTATCCACATTTTTAGATCAGTCGCGGAGCAATTCTGAGCCTTCTCGCTGAGCTCGTGAAGTCCTATCCGGGTGTAGCTTCACTCATCTGTGAGGCTAAAGAAGATGGGCAGAGTGTGATTCATCAACTCATCGAGCATTTTATAGACGGAACACAAGAGAAGGTACGACATCTCTCAGAGGCTGAACTTTGCTTGTCTGCTCTTCCCACAAGTCATATGTTTGCAGGACACTCTCGGCTCTCTAAAAACGCTCATTTCTATATTGGCTGCCTGTAATCATTCTCCCAAAGCACAAGAAGCATTAGTGTCGGATATGAAGGCTTCGCTTGTTTCGATTGGAAGCTCATCACTATCCTCTACCGCTATCTGCAGCAAGGTGGGTGTTATAAAGTATTATAATCTTGTGGTATTCTGTATGGTTTTTGATCATGAAACCTGGGCATTGTTTGTTCATGAAATATGTTGTAAGCCACGCAGGTTTGTTAAGTTTTTACGGTCTAACGTTTCGGCAAAATAATAATGTTATAATAATACTATAATCTTCTTTTTTCTTCTTTCAACAATTTGATGGGTGTTGGGAGACTTTGAGGCAGTTCGGCTTCATCAGGATACATTTTGGGAAATATCGTTGCTCCTGCGACGATCTCGGCGACATACTTTCCGAACTTGATGTTATTTTCAGAATGAGGCATGAGCAGCAAGCTAAGGGAACTCCATAGGTTGCCGGCAACGGTTGCCGAGGTTGCCGGTCGTTGTAGGACCACGTCATAGCCTCCACGTTTCGCGCGCTCTCTAAGCTGTCTCTGACCTCGGCAACCCCAGCAACCTCAGCATCCTCGGCGATCTCAGCAACCTCGACAACCGTTGCTGGCAACCTATGGCCGTTCCCTAAACTGTCGCAAACTGTTTTATGCATGGGTAGCCAAACGGCATCTAACAAATCTGTACTGCAGTTTTTATCATGCGTTATTTCCAATATATGCTGTCTTCACATGCCAAATTAGCCACAAAGGGAGCAAAAAAAGATCTTCTTGAGGAACTGACACGCATCGGTCTCAACAGATACTAGAGAGGAACAGTGCAGGATCGCAGATTTTGAAGAACTGAAGTTCGTTGTTGCGCTGCTGTGTTAATTATATGAGATTACCAGTTTGCAGCGGCAGTCGTTACTGCACCGCTACCTTTAGCTATTTAATACAGCCGAGGTGTTGAGCAACATATCCTTATCTCTCTGCCTTCAGTGAATGAAAATTTTGTTAAAGAAAAGATTCATGTGCTGTCACTTCCTAGGTATCCTTTTTCGGAAGACATTGCTGAGAAACGCTTTTGGGCAATCATTGTAAATAATCACTAGCCTAGGTTATATCACTAATATCCTCATTATGATATTACCTTCTCTCGATTTAGCACGTTGCCCGATAAAAACAAAAAATTCTGATTATCATTACTTCGTCTTTGTAGTGGAACCGGTGTTTGAAAGTGACATTTCAGGTCAGCGAGCTTTGCTCTTTGTTGGTCATGATGCTTGATTCTTGCCCGTCGTCGTCCTCCAGTTTGTCTCATTCACATCACCGCCACCTTCTCGGTGGTACACCAAACCCAATAACGAAGCTATTCCACAAGAAAAAGATATCAAATGATCTGGTCAAAACCATCACATATCTGCAACTCTCGCAGAAGGTCAGTTTTGATTTGTATGCATTCTGTACGGACCATGCATTGTTGTTCTTGCAGGAAGCTATCGATACTGTCAACATAGTTTTGAAAACTCTGGAAACGTTAATGAGAAGCACAAACACTTCTGGTGCTTCGGCGAACGCTGCTAGCATTACACATGGTGCCAGAAATGTAGCACGTGCTCAGGTTTGTTATTCAGAGTCACGTTGTCGAAATGGATTACTAAGACTTTTCATCACTTTCTTTGTCTCATCTCACTATTCACACTAGGCCAAATCCTATTTTATGCACGCATCATCATCACAACACTTAATCAAAATCACGCTTTTGGTGACTGTTAGGTTCAGGCAGTAATCAACGCGGCGGTCGCTGATGCAGTTAGAATTCCATCACCCAATAATAGCCGTGACAATGCTCTAAGTCGAGCAATTGACCTTAGAGAGATATTTGGCAACAATCTCCTCAGCGACTCCAATGAAATGGGAGAAGATCAAGATGATCGAGGTGTTCAGGCGAGTAAAGTTTGGCGATGTTTCTTGCTGCATGCATAAATTTTTTGAGTATCGTGCAAAACCTGTCGCTCAAAGCAATGTAGGGTTCTTGCTCTTGTAGAATGGGCTCACATGTGATTGAATACCTCGAACATATAAAAACGTGAAGATCTCATCAAAAATCTGGAGAAGAGTTTTTTTTTACTTTACAGAAAAAACCGATTTGCGATTTTTTTGTCTCGGAACTGATTTATAGTAGGTCATTCCGAAAGTAGTTTCGCTTTTTTCAAACAGGCGCCACATTTGATGGAAAAAAGATTTCTAAGAGATCTTGATAGCATTCGACACAGCATTTCATCCTCTTTCTAATGGTTATGAAATTGTTGCAATACACTCAATGAGCTTTTAGAAAATAACCAAAATCCACGACCCATGCTTTTTGAGATGGTCAAGTTTCACAATTTTCTTAAACTTTCTATCAATCCTCAGAAGGAGTTTAAGGCCCGTATGCACGTACGTCCCCGCTGGGGAGGGGAGGGACGATATGCAGCTGATAGTTACAGCGTTTATGGAGAGCTGACACAATTTGCAGCTTTTGTTATGTGTTAGAATACTGCTTTGAGCGTCCACGCGGCACCCTCCCCCCCTTTTCGGCAGCATAACATCTTCTACCCATTCCCTTGCAGAGACACATCAACTTCTATAGTTCAACATTTTGACGCTGAAATGGAGCAGCATGAACGAAAGTGGGCAGCATCCAAGAAAGCAGGAACATAGTGGGAGTAGAAAAAATCATTTTTAGCACCCCGAGCGCAGTCACTGCATACGCACATTCCGCAACCCTAAATTAATTGAAGTGAGGAGATGAAGATGAGTTGCAGTCAAAATATGAAATAAGAAAGAGTTTTTCACAGAAAATTTGAAAGCAAGGTGATTTCCCCGCTTGATCCCCTCTTGTGCATAAGAGGGTTCACTTCCCCTCCCCACAGGGGATCCCTTGTCCGATATTGTCTTTGTGCATACGGGGGTTGGCGCGGGGAGGGGAGGGGATCCCCAGCGGGGATCATTTCAATGGTTAAGCGCACATCCCCTCCCCGCGGGGATGTACGTGCATACGGGCCTAAGTAACGGTTCGATAGAGAACCTTACAGAATACAGTACAACTTTTCCTCTTTTTCATAGCTAGCCGTAATTTTTTGGAAGATTAAACAAAGCCATCGGATTTCGGCAGGCCTACATCAGCCACAATCGCATCAAACATCATAATTATTCAGAATTTGAGACTACCAAGATGGTGCTATGAGTTAGCACTAATTTCACAAGGCAAGTGAGAGTTTACGGATTCGAAATATCAAATTTCGAGTTTTTCGGGTACAGCCTTGGGCTCGTTAAAAAAATGAGCTGTGATGATTTTATTAGCGAAAACTAAACGAATCGGAAACAAAAACACACCCTCTAGAAAGAGGAGAAAATGCTGCAGCGAATAGTGCCCTAGCTGCTCTTTCTTTGATGTTCTACAGAGAGTAGATTTTCTGCTTAAAGGCAGCGTCCGGGCAAAATTTCGCCTCTCATAATTCTGCCATTCTGGGGCCTTTCCGTTGCCCTGATTACAGTTGTAAAGTCCAAATTGTTCAAAACTCCCAAAAAGCCCGGTTCTTGGGGACACTCTCCAAGGAGCGGACGAGTTTCGAATTGCTCGTCCCTATCGTCATGCCAGCGGGAGGAGCTGCAACTACACGGATGCAGTTGCATTGCAGTATGCAGTGCAACTGCAATGCAACCGCACATCTACGTAGCACTCGTCCTCAGGGGTGGTTTGTGATACGAAGGGGCGGCTTGTGATACGTATCACAGGCCCGTATCTCCTTTTAGAGGGCACGTCAAAGGATTGGACCAAAGCAGATTGGACACTCATGGGCCCCACTTCACAAGTATGTGCTAATCTTGGTGAATGGATCTTGCCTGGACGCTGCCTTTAATATGGTGTGCTTGCACAGAAGCTGAAATGCGGTAGAATTTGCGCGTCAACAAATAGCTTCGATTGTGACGCTGGCCAACTGCGCGCGCCAAACGCGGGCAATACTGGCGTGGCTATTCATTCACGAGCAAATTTCACCGCATTTCACCTTCTGTGTAAGCACACTATATTAAGCGGAAAATTTACTCGACTGTACAAGGATTTAGCTCTCCAAGTATGGAAATCAGTTAAACTTCTGTTAAAAATGTATGTCAAGCTAAGGGAAGGAGAAAAAAGTTGTTTTGCATTCTGCAGCGTTTGCTCTATAAATACTTTACTTATACTTTTTCGGAGGGTTGATACAAAAGTTTAGAAAAATTGTGAAACTTGACCATCTCGAAAAGCATAGATCGTAGATTTTGATTACTTTCTCAAAGCTCATTGACTGTATTGCAACAGTTTTATAACCATCAGAAAGAGGATGAAATGCTGTGTCGAATGCTACCAGGATCTCTTAGAAATCTTTGTTCTATCAAATGTGGCGCCCAATTGAAGCAAGTGAAATCACTTTCGGAATGACCTAATACTAGCGCTTTCATCGGGAGGAAAGGGAGGTAAGCGCTTTGCCTAAGTCATTGCCTGAATTTTTATAAGTGGTCGAGTCCGACATCAGGTAGTTACAAATGAAGGTTTTGTAACTAAGTTATATATTATTCCTTCACGTCTTTTATGTTATCATCATTCATGATATTTTCGAAGAATGCAGACACAGAATATCAATCACTTCATTGAATGCGCTCCAAATATCATTATTCGTCAAAACACTTCATGTTCCACCGTCGACCTTGCGCCTAAATTGTTCATTTAGGCTTTCGTTCGTGCTGGAGAGAACTTTGGACACAGTGATGACCAACCTCAAGAAAATGATCATCATCGTGAAATCATGGACGAGGAGATGGATGAGGAAGCAGTAGAGGATTCAATGTCTTCTGGGGAAGAAGACAACGAGGAACGTACTGTAGAAGATGAGGAAGGCGATGATCGTGAAGAAGATGACACTATGGACGGTGAGGAACAAGACGAAGAAGAGGAGGAGGACGATGAGGATGGAAGAAGGGAAGGAGAAGCCCAGGCTACTGTTAGAGTTGACGCGGAAGAAAGTGGGGAGGATGGTGAAGAGGAAGAAGAAGACGATGACGAAGAAATGTATGATTATCCTGAAGAAGATGAAGATGCGGTATGTATTTCTGACCGATTTCTATTGTATGTTTGAGCTCGTGATTCAGCTTCACGATTTGTCGTTCGAGTTGCTCGATCGTCCTGGTCTGTCCTCATTAGGTTTCGACGATTTCATATTTGGGCCTCCAATAGGAATCAATAGGTAATTGTTGACTATACTTTGTCGATGCCGTAGCCATGGCGGAAATTACAGGGAGCACCGCGGCGCTCGAAGAGAACCTTCCAGTGCTGGCGTCCACCCGCTGATGGTTCGCCCAGCACACATAGCTGATTCACAACCCACAACTAACCAACAAGCAGCGCCCACGGTCAGTCGGCTAGAACGCATAGCCAGGGTAAATCGTTCTTCCTCTTTTGCATTTTACATGAGAAATTGAACTGGGAAGAATGGATAATTCTGGTTTTGTTTTCTTTCTGCACGTGCTTAGCATAGAACATTATGGTGCTTATATGTGAAGTTGATTTGGGGAAAGGGAAAATATGGAGGATTTGTTTTTTTTATGTTCCTTCTGCGGCATTCCCTGTATCGGCATCTCGTTTTTATAGCTAGACTTCTATGCCTTTCGTTTCAAGTAGTAGACTAGTCGTAAGATACTAAGTTTAGTTCGGAAACTATCGCAGTCTACTACTAGACGGTGCTGGCGCGAGGATACCTGTAGCGCTCACACGACAAAATGCCATTCGTCGAATAGGAGGAACTGATCGCGGCTACGTCGGACCAACCAGTCAGCTTTTTGATAGGTTGTTTGATTTACATGCACGAGATCGGAGTGGTCCGGTTATGAATGTGAATGGACGTATTGTCAATATGGTAGGCATTGATTTCTTCTAGTTGAGTTTTTTTATCAGCTCATGATTTTCAGAGTTCAAACATGCTTGATAGTCCAGAAGAACGAAGAATGCGGCAACCAGCATCTGCTCCTTCAGCTCTTGATAGATTCACCGATGGAGCTGACATGATGGATGGGGTCTCTCTACAGTACGTGGCTATAATCATCAATACGATTGTCACTAGAGTGGCGAGAAAGCGCGTTGAAGAGGTAAATCTTGAAAAGTTCCTTTTTCCTTGCTGAAGTATTCCGTTATAGGAGAAGGCCAAAGAAGCTGCTGAGGAGGCCGCTAAGAAAGCAGCAGAGGAGAGTAGTAAGCCTGCAGCATCCGAAAATGCTCCGTCTACAAGTGAAGATACTGGAAACACTAATGCTACAGCGACAGTGCTCGCTCATCCACCTACTGAAGTAGCTCGACAGGCCTGGGATGAATCAGTGCAAAACAATCGTGAACCGGATGTTACCACTGCACTTCTGAGTGCGGGCGATAGTGTCACGGATAGCACGTCAGGTCTGGCTACAGCCGATGGAGAAGCCATGGATACGTCAGGTACGGGGTCCTTTTTGTTAGCTTCTGGGAGTGTATACCATAGTAAAATTCTAGAAGCATTTGAACCGAGGGATGCTGAGGCGGACGTCTCAATGGATGAGGCCCCTCCTCATTCTTCCGCAGCCACTGTGGCGTCCTCTCTACCTGAAGCAGAAGCGGACGAAGAACGAATGATTACACCACCATTATCAACAGCTCAGAATGCAAGCAGAGAAGGCGAGGAACATCCAAGCGATAGGTAGCTCATACACTTTGCTTTTTTTTGAGGCACAATTATGGTGTCTTCAAATCGTGCTTCTAAGAAGCACGGAACGGCTCGTGGGTTTCTTATAACAAAAAAAAAAAAACCCTACAAGGGAGGGTCACGAAATCGAAGTGGCTGATCACTGCAAACCGATTAGTGAGGAATTGAAAAGGTGATTCCAAATCTGCTCTCGTGACCTGCAAAGCGTTTTTCTAAAAGAAATATTGAGCATTTTTCAAGGTTAAAAAAAGAACTATTGGCAGCGAGAAAACTATCGTCACAACCTTCATAAACGTCAAAATGGAGAATTAAGAAGTACTGTTATGCTAGGCAGAATGAGCATATTGTATGAATTACGGTAGGGTTACGGTAGGAACTTCAAAGAGGGTTTTGAGCCATGAAAGGCCATATTTTGCCTCAAAAAGGAAACAAAGCAGCCTGAAAACTTTTACACTAGGCTAATTAGAGTTGCTGATTCTAATTGTGAAGTTCCCAACTTATTATGATGCTTCATTGAAGAGTTATGCCAGGTAAGAGGTAGCGGCCATTTTTTCAATGTTCCTAAAAAGTGCTTTACACCGTTTAGAAAGCTTCGCATTCTTGTGAATAGTTGAATATTGAACTCAGCGTCCTAAAAACCCTATTTCACAAGTTTTCACATTTTTTTGAAAAATTTTGAAACAGCTTTTTCCACATTGACACCATATGTTTCAAGTTTCTACCGTAATCCTACAGTAACAGTGAGTGATCGCTGATTCGCTCTATACTGTAAATCTAAGTTGAAGCCAGCTCTACAGTATGGTGCTTAAAGCTCGGCAAAAGACCCCCTGGGAACGGAGACATTAACGATCAAACAGTGCATACATACTTTACGGACACCCTCTATAGTTTGAAAGTAACGGTTTTCATGCTTACTTATCAGCAATAAGGAGAATAGCCAAGCGAACAGTAAGGTCATTGAATTGGCGTATTGTAGGTACTAGCTCGCGCGTAGTATTTCGATTATTGCGCGGAGCTTTCGTCATTACGCAGCTTGTATATTCGTAAGTCTTGAGAGATCAGCTTGTAAGGGACAAGATTAAGGCTGAATTACGATGTAGTTTCTGCAAGTTAATCTTTGTGCATTTTGAACGATGTAGAGATCATAAAGGGTAGATAGCTAAACTTGCAGATCGGACAACTCTGGGCATACCGAAACAACTACGGATGAGCCGCTTGCTGATGGAGCTTCGAGCAGTGCAGCGGCACCCAGCGGAAATAGCGCTGTACCTGAGGAATTCCGTGATATACTTGGAGGTAAGGCTGCGTCGGTAGCTGGGGTGAATAGTTGACGATGTTTTTTTATAGATATCGAAATACCCGATGGAGTTGATCCTGCATTCCTTGCTGCACTTCCTGAAGACATGCGTGCTGAAGTGATTCGTGATCATCGTCGCCAGCAGCGTGCTCAGCGTGCTGCACAACCGAGCTTACCTGCTCAGGTTTGAATTGCGGTTTGACTTTTTTACTTTGAGTAGATACTTATTGACATCAGGACGGAAATGGTGAGAGCGGCTCAAACGTGGTGCCAGCTGTGGAACCAATAGATCAAGATTTCCTCAATGCTCTACCACCAGAGTTGCAAGAGGTAAGCCACTATTTCGAACGTGATCAACTCGTGCCTTCACCTCATATCTGCAGGAGATCTTAGCGCAGCATGAACGAGCAGTTCGTGAGGCAGAAGAGGCCATGCGAAGAGCTAACGCTCCGGCACCTGCTGTTCCTCCGGAGCCAGAGATGGATGGCGCAGCAGTTATCGCCTCTTTACCCCCGCATGAAAGAACTCAAGTATGCTAAAAGATGATTTAGCCTCACGGAAACTGAGCTTTATGCTACTTAGGTGCTGGCTGAGATGGACGATTCCGAATTGCAGCGTCTTCCAGCTGACATGCAAAATGAAGCTCGCAGAGCGCGGGAAAGTCTTGAACCAGTGAGTAGATGTAACAAAACGTCTTATTCTCACTGAACCCGAATGAAACAAACGAAAAAAAACTATTTCATTTAGTTGCAGAACATCCTACGATTCCGACACTTGTTAATGCCATCCTCAGCAAGATCCCGTCAACTTGCCCGTTCTGTGAACCTGTCCGGTTTTGGGACGAGCTACAGCGGAATAGGAACAAGCGGCAGTGCAGCTGGCAGCAGCGGAGCGCCTGCTGTCGGAAGCCTTGCTGGTCAAGCAAATACAGCTAATACGCAGTCACTGCAACTTTTGGACCGAGACTCCATTCTGATCCTTACTATGTTGTTCTTGGTTGACAATCGATTGAGCAACGGTCGATTGCAAAAGGTGAGGTTTTTATTTTGGTAGCAGTGTGAAGAAGTATGGGGTGAACTAGTGGTTGTAGCATTTTTGGTTAAATCTTATCTAAATATCTCGCTGAAGCTATCTCTCAGTGATGAACAAAAAGAGTATTTTTACCGGAGCTCAAAAAAAAAATCACACATTTTGACTCGCTGACCTTGAGCTATCTTTCATTTCCATTCAGACAATTTGTCACCGTCGTATGAAATAAGGATCATCCCTCACGAAAGATCTAGTCCCAAATTAAAGCAGAAGCACCTTTTATGTTTGAGCGCGTGTGTTGCAAAGACTCGAGGCCCCATATTGCACTTGTTCCGCGCTCGCAAGCGCTTCAGCTGGTGGGCATGCACCTTCACAGGTCTTTCATACGTTTTTCACTCCATTACTCATTGCGCCATTTGAACATATCTCGAAATATGAATGATTTGCTTTCAGCGACTATGATTTCCTTCTAGGGTTTACTGTCTGATGTGATTTTCGTTCATGCACTGCAACCCTCCCTATTACAGGTTATTCGCCTCGCGTGTTCGCATGCCAATTCATGTGACTTTGTCATATGGTGCTTGTTAGCCCTTTTAGAAAAAGCTCATGATGGAGCAGTTGACGATGAGGAGGTAAATATTGTTCTCATTGAGTTTGTCCACTTTTATGTGTTCATTTCAAGCTTGTGTCTGTATGCCCATCTTGGCTGGATTCTATCACAGTATCAGGCGTTGGTCATAATGAGCGTGCATTGAAAATTGGGAAACATGTTTCTAAAGGTTTGTTCGGTGTTTTTATACCACCTCATCGGTGAGTATATTATATTTCATAATGCATCGTGTTGCAGTGGCCATCCATCCACTACTTGCTCTGCCGCTCTCCAAGAACGTCCTGGACACGTTGGCCACTATCGCGAAAACTTACCCTGGTCACTTTCTCCCATCTAGTCTGCGAAAGATGCAACATACAGTAGTCAAAGATGGTGTTACTGATACTTCAAATGTAAAGGATGCGAGCCCTCCTATGGATCTTTTCTGGGAATTAGTCCAGGTTTGTATGCTATTCAAAATTTGCTAATACCCAAATATTTTAAATTTTAGGCATCATCGTGCAAATCTCTCACTGCTAAAGAAGCTAGAGAATGCGGTGAGCGTATGTCGTTGGAAACGTCCCACGTTGGCCGCCTTATGCGACATTTGAGCAAACCAGTAGTGGCAAAAACAGGCACAATCCAAGATCGCCTCTTGCGGGTTATCAGCACGGTACGCTTGCATTATTATAATTTGACTTTTCCTCCTTGCCCTTGAATTACCGGTCATATTGCAAACTTCCACTGAAGTAGCTCAACTTTCTTGTACTTTATCTTCTCTATCTTTGGTTGATTTTGACCGCTTCTGAGATGTGAAAGAGTAAAACTAATGAGTTCTCCACTCTTCTGATAACCCACATCATACTCGTCCATCCATCACAGGCTCTACCTTTCAGATAGTACAAACCCTTCCAAATGACACGATGACACTTTTGGGCAATCTGGAGGGACCACATCCGCTCGAAAGTCAGTTGAAAGCTGTCATCGATGTGCTTATGCGTGGATCTTGCAGCAACGAGGGCTTGGCTGATGGACGGTTCGTAATTTTTTCTTCATCTTTTTGATTTTGACAAGCTATATCTGCATCAGTTTTTTTAAATGCTGCTAGTCTTCCATTCCTTATATTCTGTGTATTTGCTTACATTGTTAATTTTAGTACATTACTTGTTGAATGTATGCGTGCTCTGCCTCCGTCTATCACTGATTCTATCTACGAGCAACTTTTTACAGCTGTCGAAAATGTCGGCTTAGAGCTACAGCCTCAGGTACCTCCTTTATTATAGTGATCTTTCTCAAAGCCATCAAAAAAAAATCTAGATTGAACGATTAATCGAGGAACTTGGAGAGCCAGAAACTTTGCCGCCTGTTTCTGATGAAGTGCCTTCCACTAGCAAAGCTTCCCCATCAAACAATGCTGAGAACGAAGGCGCTCAAACGAATTCTACCACTGCTGCAGGATCAGATCGAGATCGTCGATTGACTAGAACACGCATTGGTCGTCTTGTACTTGATGCGGAAAATAGCTCGCGATTTGTAAGTTCATAAAATATTAGGTCATTTCAAAAGTAATTTCGCTTTTTTCAAACGGGCGCCACATTTGATGGAACAAAGGTTCCTAAGAGATTTTGGAAGCACTCGATGCAGCATTTCATTCTCTTTCTAATGGTTATGAAAATGTTGCAAAACATCCAATGAGCTTTCAGAAAATAACCAAAATCTGCGACCCATGCTTTTTGAAATGGTCATATTTTACGATTTTTTTCGAAAGAGGAGAAAATGCTGCATCGAATAGTGTGCGAGCTGCTCTTCTTTTGATGTTTTACGAGGATTTAGCTGCCTAGGTATGAAAATCGGTAGTATCAGTCAAAATTCTGTTAAAAATGTGACAAGCTGTGGAAAGGAGAAAAAAGTAGTACTGTATTCTATAAGGTTTGCTCTATCGAATAGGTACTTAAACTCCTTCTGGTGATTGATATGAAAGTTTTAAAAAATCGTGAAACTTGACCATCTCAAAAAGCATGGGTCGCAGATTTTGGTTATTTTCTGAAAGCACATTGAGTGATTTGCAACAATTTCATGACCATTAGAAAGAGAGTAGAATTCTGCATCGAATGCCTCCAAGATTTCTTAGAAATCTTTGTTCCGTCACATGTGGTGCCCGTTTGAAAAAAGCGAAATTACTTTTGAAACGACCTATTATTTTACAGGTTTCAGTCCAAATGTTGAATATCTTTAGACATTGAGCGCAAGTTCTTGTCCTGAACTACAGTTGCCTGCCGTAACTATGCTCACAGATAAGTCCGGTGCTCAATACAAGTTACTCAGTGCTCTGCAGACATTGTCCAAGATCCGCGATACCATGAGGCAGATGAAAGAAGAACGTCGTAAGAAGGAAGAGCTGGAAAAGAAGAAAGTGCGTTGTTGTTTGATTTTTTGATTGTCTACATCTTGATTATCTGCGAAATATATGCTTTTTAGACTGAAGACGAATCCAAGGCGTCGGATGCAGCCGCAAATTCAACCAGCGAACAGAAGGCCATCGATCCAGTGGCTGTTGATGAAAATTCGACTGCCCCCACGCTTACGCCTTCATCTGCCGAAGGGCGTCCAGTGTCTGCCTCACCTGAAACATCAAAAGCAACCGAGCAAGAGCAGGCGAAAAAAGTTGTTGAAGAGAACAACGAAGATGTTGTGCTGAGCCACCGTCTTACGAGATTAGACGGTAATCTTTCACTGATATGTTTCCAATGTTTGTAAGGGAATTATTAGTCCACCTTCACGACCCTAAGTCATAGAATATATGTGCTGGCAGTTAATTACACTTTTCGGACTTTTGCGCTCTTGACATAGTCAAATAATCTTGTTTCAATCTGATGTAGAGGAATCTAGCTGGTACAGTGTTGCACGTTACAAACTCCATGTAAAGCAGTTCAGTCACATCATACTTTTCTTTAGCGCTTTGGGAATCAGTGTCCACATGCCTTCTTCGTCTTGGAAAAGCTTCCGACCATCACGCTGTACTCGCTCTGCAACCAGCTGCGGAAGCGTTCTTCCTTGTGCATGCGGTCCCTCGTCCGGCCAATGCAACATCGGAGCATCATGATGATCCTGACACATTGAAGATGATAGCATTTGCGGGTAAGAGCAGTTCGTTTTCGCTATAACTGTCCTATACAAAATTACGTGTTTACAGAAAAGCACCGTGAGGTACTTAATCAGGTGTTACGACAGAACAATACCGCTTTATCACCGGGTGGGCCGTTCGCAGCGTTGATACAGTTCCCTAAGCTGCTAGATTTTGATGTAAAGAGGAAATACTTCCGCAAAGAGCTTGGAAAGATGGACGGAGATAGAGGGTGAGATTGTTTATCAATTTACTATTTTTATGGCATGTTTTCTCCTTCTTGGGCCCTCGAACTTTTCTCGTATCTCTTATTGCGGGATTACTGCCAAATTGATTGTTAAACTAATATACTTTTAGCTTCCGGCGAGCTGATGTTCAAGTGCAAGTGCGAAGATCACAGATCTTCTCCGATTCTTTCCGTGAGCTGTACAGGCTGCGTCCTAATGAGTGGAAACACCGATTCTACATCATTTTCCAAGGTAGTGCTTTGAAATCTTACATTATATGTATTTTAGATGCGGGGTGATTTAGCTTTTTCGATTCATATCTTTTGAAGGTGAGGAAGGACAAGATGCTGGTGGATTGCTTCGGGAGTGGTTTTCCGTTATCACACGAGAGATTTTCAATCCTAATTATGCGCTGTTCATTACTGCTCCTGGTGATATGGTCACGTACATGATTAACAAAGCATCATACATCAACCCTGAGCATCTGGACTACTTCAAGGTGGAGGCTCTCTTTTTGCCGTTTTTGATTTTGTGAAATGTCATCCATGCATTCAGTTCGTCGGACGGTTGATTGCCAAAGCTATATATGATAATAAGCTGCTAGACTGCTATTTCACTCGCGCTTTCTACAAGCATATTCTTAACTTGCCAGTGCGATATCAAGACATTGAAAGCGAGGTATGTTCACTCCTGTGAATATCGATCAGTATCTATTCACTATATTCTTATAGGACCCTGCCTTCTACAACTCTCTTGAATTTTTGCTCAACAATCCGATTGACGACCTCGGTCTTGATTTAAGCTTCAGTCTTGAGGTAATTTCCACTTACTATGTACTGTTATCTGGTGAAATGATTGCTGACTCTAGGTGGAAGAATTTGGCGTCAGATCCATTCGCGATTTGAAGCCAGACGGCAGAAAAATAGACGTGACTGATGCGAACAAAGAAGAATATGTAAAACTTGTATGTCAAATGAAAATGACAGGTATGATTCATTCACGAACCTACCCATAATTTGTATATATCATATCAATATATTTGTATATCATTATTATTTGATAATATTAATATTTGCTTTCTCTAGGCTCGATACGGAAACAGCTAGACGCATTCCTTACCGGCTTTTATGAAGTGATACCCAAACAACTGATAAGCATGTTCAATGAACAGGAACTGGAGTTATTGATCAGTGGTCTACCTGATGTCGATATCGATGATTTGGCCAATAATACCGAGTACAAAATGTATACAAAGACAAGCGCACAGGTGAGTCTTTCCAAAAAGTCACTTATTGCAGTATCAGAGTTCTCACATATTATTCATATATTTGACCGTGTTTCAGATTCAATGGTTTTGGCGAGCGCTCCGTTCATACGAACCAGAGGACAGGGCCAAATTTTTGCAGTTTGTAACGGGAACTAGCAAGGTAGGTATTTTGGTGATAATTTTTTCATTTTGGTAATAATTTTCATATTTTGTAGTGCTTTTCTTCATCATATAGTTACAGCTTGCTTCAGTTGTTTTCTATATTTTTGCCTTAATGCAGGTGCCTTTGCAAGGATTTGCTAGCCTGGAAGGTATGAATGGCATCCAAAAATTCAGCATCCATATGGACTGTCGTGGTGGAGACCGGTTACCTGCCGCACACACTTGGTAAAGAATTGGAAGTCATTTTTTGCGAACACGGTGTTATATAAGCGCAGTGGTTCACATATCGTGCATTCAAGCAACCAAAGTGCTTTTTTATAGTTTCAATCAACTGGATCTTCCTCAGTACGAGTCTTATGAGAAGCTGCGCGATTCGTTGCTGATGGCTATACGCGAATGCACCGAAGGATTTGGGTTTGCGTAATTCGACACTCCTCACACGTATAACCGTTGTTAGGTACTCAATAATTCTAGACAAATATTAGCCTCTTGTTTCCTCTTATAGCAAAATCCTGGTGATTTGTACATACATTCTGCAGACGACCACGATCTATGTACGATTTCGCTTTTCATACACAGCGGGTTTATGGAATAAATTCGCATGTAAACGTCACTGCTGTAATGTCTGTAATGTAATGAATGCAGAGAATTGTATAAGAGCTTTTGAGGTCATTTGGTTCATCATGCCGCATACATATGTGATTTTGCTCTTTGGTCAATTTTCAACGTCTTCGACTTTCGTGAAGACGCATTTTGGTGTTTGCTTTCGAATTATAGAATATCGTTACTATATACTGTAAATACGGTTAATATGTGTTAGAATGATTAATTGGTCTTCTGAACTCGAATAAATGTTAACGAATTTTTTTTGTGTAGTCAGGTAGTGGTGATAGCTCCGCTTATATCCATAAGTTCAGTATATAAGTAGAATGATGGCTGTTGTATTCTATGGAACACAACTAGAACTTCATTGATAAATGACTAGGCAGGTAACACCTGAAACAAATGCGGCTTACAATTAAAACAGGTGGAAATAAGCTGCCTGTTACCAAGAACATCAGTTTATGCACAAGTAGGCCGGATGATGAGATTAGTAGTCATTATGATGGTTGAGCTCCTTGGCCATGAAAGTACCATGTAAATTTCCAGGAATAAAATCAATGGTCAATCCCACAATGGTCGGTCGCCTCATCGTGGCGTGGGGGTGACACTGGGTGTCGAACTGCGATGCACAGCCTAGTGTATACTCTGGTAGGGCCTCCCAAGCTGTGAAGGAGTTCGAGTTTCCGGTTTCGGCCGGATGCCTAGGTAAGAGCTAAGAACCGGCCATGCCAGATCCCCCGCCGTGTCTGGCTTCTTCTGGTCGCTAGGCGGTCCCTCCCCGCTCCAAGCCCGGGGTCAGCGATCGCCCCGTGGAAATCAAGAGTAGGCCTAGTAAGCCACCTCTTGTAGGGGAAAATTCATATTACTCCTCCAGTTAGAAGATTAGAAAAAAACCCTGCACATCGTATCCCGCATACGGCGCCAGATGGTAGCAAGAACGATGTCAGGGTACTCAGGGCGCCTTTCGGATTGGACAAAAAGACACGTCTGCCCGGACGACACGCCATGGAGACTGCCTCATGCTCTGCACTTACAACGCCAGGACAGTCTCCACAAACGCCGACCTCCACACTCTTCTCGACGCTGCAGAGCACATCAACTACCACATCATCGCTCTGCGAGAAACGAAGTCCAGGAAGAAGGACGTGCGAGATGAGTGATGGAACCCTCATCATTTGTGGTGAAAAGGTTCCATCACAAAACGTGGGAGGCATCGGCTTTGTCGTCCTCCCATCTATCGTCCATCTTGTCGATTCGCACGAGATCCTATCACCTCGACTAGGCATCCTACGACTACGCCCTCCACGTCAGAAGACCATCAGCATCATCAACTGCTACTCGCCAACATCAGCAGCTGACGACTCAGAAATAGATGCTTTCTACGAAGACGTGGAGGAGGTCGTCCGCAACGAAAAGTCCTTCTACAAGTATGTTGTGGGCGACTTCAATGCGAAAATCGGGATGCCACTAGAAAAGAAATATAGGATCGGAAACTTTGGATATGGGCTCCGGAACGAAAACGGCAACCGTCTCGTTGGACTTCTCTCCGCCGCACGACTCTTCCATGGAAACTCCATTTTCATGAAGAAAGAACATCGCCGGTGGACTTGGGAATCGCCCAACGGAACGACTCATGCTGCGATCGACCACATTCTCACCAACCGAAGATGGAGCTTACTCGATATCTCTGTAGTTGCATCCTTCTGTAGTGGCTCCGATCACCGCCTCCTTCGAGCGAAGATACGACTCAGCCGAAGGCTGGAAAAGAAAGTCTGTCATAGTGCCGCGAGAAGGAAGGAAGTCGTTTATGACGGTAACAGGCTGGAAGAGCTCATATCAAGTTGTAACTGGTTAACGAGGAGGACCCAACGTACGACTACGATCGGCTTCTGAAAGGATTGCGAGCCTGCGGAGAATGCGCCTCAGTGACTTCTGAGAAGAACTCGGAACGCATTTCGAAGAACACCAAGGAATTGCTTGAAAGAAGAAGATTTCTGAGACAGGATCCGAATGCAACCCATCTCGAGCGACTGATAGCCAACGCCAGTTACAGAACAGCTTTGCAAGAGGATCTCGAAAGTACAGGCAAGCCAAGATACTTGAAGCAGCCTCAAGAAGACGAAGTCTCAAGAAGTGCCGAAGGGACCTCTGCGAATATCACGTACCGCTGGCTGCACTACTGAACGAAGACGGGACTCCGACTTCTTCCCGATACAAGATGGAATCTATCGCGAAGAACTTTTACACCTACCTCTTCCGCTCATCAGCACCCGTGCAGATGCCCGTTGTTCCCACTGGAGAACTCAGACAATTGCATCGGGAAGTTCGCGGCCTCAAAGCGTGCTACATGGCGCGTCGCGGCCCTTAAAATTTCAGCCGCGCACGTCGCGGCCCATGTATATTTTAACGGGAACGCCGCGGCCGAAGTCAAAATTGGAAAAAGCTTACCGGGAGAGTCGCGGCCCAATCATCTCACTGGGCGTGCCGCGGGCCTTATCAAAGGCCGCACTTCTTACACGCTGTAACTTAAGGCGCAACCCGCGTGAGGTACGCCGCAGTGATGGGGCTACCCTAAGTGTTTGTCGGTCTGGTAATCGCTTCTCGGGTTGAGTTGTGTGACAGTTGAGTTTGTATGCTCACGAAACAAACTTCAGCAATCGGTTGGCTGTTATCGACAACAGTAGATGATGTCGACAGATGAGCTAACAAGTTGCTCAATTTGAACTCAGTCGTTGTCATGAAAGGCAGGCCAAAATTATTTCACTCTTCCTAGGTCTCACAAGCATGCAATCGGGTCAACTATCGGGCGCTTACAGGATGCGCCGCGGTCACTTATCGGGCCCAGTATCGGTTTATACCGGGCAGCTCGCGGCATGGATGATTGGTGGCCGAACAAGCACCCGCCAACTTCCCGATGCAATTGTCTGAGAAGTACCACCACCGATCTACCTGCTGAAGTGCGTATCGCGATACAGACCATGAAGACGTCCACGGCTCCAGGACCAGATCATCTTTCCGTCGAACTTCTGCGAGCCGGAGGACACCGTCTACACGAGATTCTAGCGTCACATTTGACATCTTACCTTCAGAAAGAGAAGATTCCCGACCAGCGGAGAACGTCAAGAACCGTCCTTCTCTTCAAGAAGGGGGAACGGGAGGATCTTCGGAACTATCGTCCAATATGCCTGCTGAGTGTGCTGTACAAGCTTTTCACGAAGATTATCCTCGCTCGCATATCTAGGACACTGGATGAAGCTCAACCCCAAGAACAAGCTGGATTCCGCAAAGGATTCAGCTGCATGGACCACATCCATACCGTTTCGAGGGTCATAGAACTCTGCCGGGAGTACCGACTGCCTTTCGTCTTAACCTTTGTCGACTACGAGAAAGCCTTTGACAGCGTCGAAACCAACGCCATTCTGTCTGCGCTAGTCGATCAAGGAGTGGACCCAGCTTACGTGAGGACGTTAGCCGATTGCTACAAGGACTGTACAACGACGATGCAGCTATTCCATCGCCTCCTGACCATACCAATCGGGAAGGGGTCCGACAAGGCGACACAATCTCGGCGAAGCTGTTCACCGCGGCCTTGCAGTGGGTGATGAAGTCACTGGACTGGGACGAGACATACGAGTTGATGGGAGATTCCTGTCCAACCTTCGTTTTGCGGACGACATCGTTCTCTTCTCGAGCAGTATCACCGGAGCAGAGACGATGCTGAAGGAACTGAACGAAGTAGGGAAGAAGATCGGACTGCGAATAAATCGGAAGAAGACTCAGTTCATGAGGAACGCCCTTTGCGAAGATGAAGAAATGGAATTGGAAGACACCCCTTACGGAGACGTCTTCTTACGTGTATCTCGGACGTTCGATGAACATGGAGAACAACTTGAGGGAAGAACTTAACAGGAGAAGAAGAGCAGCCTGGGCCGCCTTCGGACCTCTGAAGGAAGCCACCGACCAACTGACGGACCTGGAGCTTCGTGCCCACCTGTTCGACTCAACCGTTCTCCCGGCGCTCTGTTACGCAGCTGAGACTTGGGCCGATACTGCAGCCACGTCGGAAGCTTTACGGACCACCCACAGAGCGCTTGAGCGCAGTCTTCAGAAGATGACCCGACGCAAGCAACATCTACTCAGACTTCGCAGCACGGATATGAGAATAATGTCCTGTCTTCGTGACCCAGCGGAATACGTTGCGAAAGCCAAACACCGATGGGCCGGTCACATAATGAGAAGAACAGACGACACTAAGAACATCTGAGTGGATTCCTCGCGAAGCCAAACGTCCTCGAGGAAGACCACCGACGAGATGGGCAGACGTGTTCGTGGAACGGATGGACCAGCTGAGAAATCAGCTGGATACGACTTTCGACCCTGGAACTCGTGGACGCAGCCACCGACGACGGCGAAAAATGGCAACTTCTGTACTGGGGCCCGCATGTCACGTGAGGACGGGTCATCTAAGTATCTAAGTAAGTATATCAATGGTTTGATCGCTAATAGCTCTTTTGTCCAAACAACTGTCTCAGGTTTAAGTACTACATTGGGGGCTGGCCTAAACACAGATTTGCAATATGAAACTCATCACTGATCCCTCTTCATTAATGTAAGATTATGGTGAAAAGAGGTTGGGAGAGGTTAGCCCCAATGAATGCATATATTGCTGCAAAAATTGTTTGAAGCTGGGAACCTTGTATATCAGATTTAGCTGATTCTGTTCTATAATAGAGCGTGTCAGCTTTTTTTTTTCAGAAACAACTAAAATTTGTTTCAACTGAACTGCGCTACGAATATGTACTAAATCAGTAGGTTTAAAAACTCAACAAAAAGTTTAGACATTGTGGATATTGTTTAGAATAGAATTCTCGCTGTCATCTTGCTACAATGAAGAGAGGTAACTTATTCATTTTGTATTGTAGACTTAATTTGAAGCAGCCCTACAGTAACCTAAAGATCGGCGAAAGCTGTTTAGAAAATAGTAGTTATGGTGGTGTGGGTCGTGTTGTCGTGAATGTGTCAAGATAGAGGTTTGCATAGTTTTCAACACTTGGAAACAGAGTAGTACGCTGGTAAAAAAATTTCGCTGTGCCGCTTAGCAATTGAACGACAAAGCTGTAGCTGTTCAATTTCATTCCTCCGTAGTGACCGCGCTAAGAAATGTTTTTTCGCCAGAGACCCCACCAAGACCATAATCCACGTAATTTAGTTACTTCGTCCATGTTGAAGTTATGATTGCTGCGTCTATCTTGCGACTCAGCGCAAAGGGAAAAAATCATGTCTTTTATTTGACCCGAATAGCACACTCGTCACGGGGAGGACTTGTCACAGACACCTGCTATAGGTCAGAAGTCGCCTTCGGTTTGAGATGTTGAACAAAGTCTAACGCACATCTGATTCCAGACCGCTCTTGACTTTCCGGTTTTTATCGAACAAGAAAGATGATCGTACAAAGATAGTGGAGACTCACGAAGAAAAGCAAACTGGTCTACAGCGATCAATTCTTGAGGAAGTTTTGATAAAAGAAAAACAAAAGCCAACTACTTTCACTGGAAAGGCGAGTTTTACTAAATGAAGTATGTCAATCAATTCCAATTTATCAATTTACAACGCACCAGTCTGTACACTTTGATTCAACGAGATTGGCAGCTAGAAGGCGACCGCTAGCGCCCGCGACGCCTTCTGTTCTCTCTCCCAGCGTGCGCTCTGTTCATCCTTTAGCCCTGGTTAGGCCTCGAAGCCACGCCTTCCAGCCGCCAATCCCGTTGATTCAAAGGATACTTGCTTGTCTCATTGAAATTGCTTTTTGAGCATTAACTTTTACATATTCTGCATCCAGTTCGTGAAGCGAGTCGATTCACAAAATTTGTTGCTTTTTGGCTTGCTCTTCTGAAGTGAAATTAGCGTTTGAAGCTAGTGACTGATTGTGCAGCAGCGTCTTTTATGAACATAGAACATAAGTCTTGCATCAATATTCACGAAAATTCATAATTTCCCTCGATCATTGCTGGCAATACAGAAGAATCCTCGGTTTTTTGTGTTATTTCCGAATCCGACTACTATATGCTGGAGGGTCGTTTTGCTATATGACTTTGCTATAAAGCTTATTTTGCTTCATGAGCTACTTTTTGTAAGCAGAAAAATTTGGCCGATCGAATGTTCCTAGGTATAACTCATTTTTTTTTGAGATCAAAGCTCTAGTGTATGATGCTACGGCATATACTATGTTCAGTAAAATAGACATGTTTTGCGCTTTGCGTTTTGTTTTGTTTTTTTTTTCAAAATCAAGAATTGTGTTAGAAAAAACCTTCAGCTTTTTCTAGGTTGCCGAGAAAGCGTCCAATACTTTTCTCTATGCCGCCGTTGCTGCAGCCGTTGGTATGCTAGGCGTTTTCGTTTATTTATTAGCAGGTGAATTTTTCGCTGAGGATAGTCCTCAGAAAATTTATAGCAGGTGAGTGCAAAGTCTGTTAGGTACTACGTCTTTGTCAACCTTATTATAGCGCCCTCGCGTTGGTGAGAGAGGATGCTCGTTGTCAGGATCTGTTCGGTCCCAAGATAGCTGGATTTGGAGAAGAGACTTCTCGGGGTCGTCGTCGTCACGTCGCACATCATAAATATGAGAAGGACGGTAGACAGCGAATACGTGTCCTTTTCCATCTGAAGGTATGGAAAGAAAACTAGTTTGCTTAACTGCCCAAAACTTTTACTGATACCAGGGAGATCGGGACGAAGGCATTGCGCAGGCTGAAATGGAGCAACGAAACGGTGATTGGCAATGGCGCTTTTTATATGTAGAGACAAAACGACGCCCTAAGACTACCCATGTTCTCATTGATAATCGATAAATGAGGTAGATGCATAGTGATGTGATAGGATTTGTTAAGTTGTTAACTTGAGAGATATACACAGCTAATAACACTCGTTGCGTAGCTCATATGTGATCTTGCTTTGAAGATTCTAGGCTGCCACTGTTTTCTACAGAATGCGGGAAGCTTTGTCTGCCTCAGACGAATCATTAGCTATAGTGTCGAGTTTTATGAATATACTAATGAGTAAAGTAATTTCTTTGAAAGTTTTCTGATTGTGACTCTGTCGAGCCGTATATTGCAGTACTAAATCTGTTTACCTGAGTTCAAATGTAAACTTTTAAGATGGAGGATGATGGGTTTAAGGTAGTAAGGAGTAGAAAAGGCAAGTCGAGGTTGAATAAACTTGGGTATGAAGCACCGCAAAGGATTGCTGGTTCTCTTGACGATATCAAAGTGGCATTAGAAAAAGCTAGCGCACAGATGAAGGAGAGTGGACTAAGGCAAGTTTGTTAGCCTCGGCTTCCTTTGTTTTTCTACTAATCTTTAGCTACTTTTCTTCAGCTTGTGGACGGTAGGAAAGCTAAATGATATTCTCGGGAACCGACGGATCACTCGGGTATATTTATTAGGGAACGGTCACTTTGATGCACCATGGGAACCAGGAGCTCATCAGTTCGTCCTTGTGAAGGAGATTTGTGATCATTATGACGCTGAGATGATCTTCCAGGTCAGCGCTTACTTTTTGGCTTAAGTAGATTCTCATTTAGGAAACGATTGGGTCTTGAAAAAGGAAGAGAACACCAACTTAGTGTATCAAATAAACGAACTACGATTATCCATTTCTTGAATGCTTTAAGAAATGGATAATCGAAAAATTTCATTTCAGAAGAGTCGTTCCATACTTGAATGTTTCATTTCATTTTGATATAGTAATTTAGTCATGATTTAGTGTGTGTTTTGAAGGACTTTTGGGTCCTTCTGAAACATGGAACAATAACAATAATTACGTCCACAATCTTGTTTTCTAAGCCTCGGAGTGGCTTGCTGCTCACTGCTTGACCTGTCGAGGGGTAAAGGCGTTCCCTTTGTAATAACGGTATCACATCACTGCTTGATATTCATTTTTTGATAGAAAGGTTCGTAAGCTCTGTTTTTTTCCACCAGATCATTCAAGCAGAAGACCACATCGTTTTTTTTTTGAGATTTGTAAAGGAGAGGATGTTTCATCAGATGGGAGGATAGATCATTTTGGGTAATTCTGTGAGCGATTGGTGTCTCTGCAGTTAGAATTGAATGCCTGATGATCTAAAATGTTCTTTATTCGATTTGATTTTTGAAATAAATTCAGCAGTTACCATTGCTTTTGTTCCCTTAGTGGGACGGAAGTCCGCCACTGCCTAATCTGAATGCATAAGCGGCTGCGGCGGTCGCAGGATTTCGTTCGGGAGGGGGGGGGGGGGGGGAGAGAGAGACTGGTATATGCTTCGCATTTTCATTTGAGAATTTTTTTCCATATTAAGGTGCAGCATCAGCCACGCATTCCGAAAATCATTTTAGGATGCTTCCCAATCTTGCGAGCCCATAACACCGTAATTTTGAGAAGGGATTTTTACAAAGCTGATGTGAATTTTGAAAAATCTGAAAAATTGCAAATTATTTACAATTGAGCAAATCACTCGCACATTTTTGTGTCTATGGTATAAGCGGTTTTCATAAATTTCGCGGCCATTCTCGGGGGGTGAGGGGGGGGGGGAATTCGGTCCGCCACTGATAAGTGGCACCAATTTCTGTGCTAGGGCGTTTTGCTCTCAGGTGTTTCGTTTCTTAACTGTAGACACAGTAATCCTAGAAGCTGACTTACGAAAATTTTGAAGCGCGTAAGAAACTGTTGGGAGCATTTAGTTTTATCAGATTCTCATGCACAAAAAAATTGTATTGTAGGCGGCTGGGAGTTGACCCCCATTATTTCAAGCTCTTCATCGCAACACCCAGCATAAGTAATGTTAAAAGGCAAGAGGAACTTCTTATCATGGACTAGTTGCTACCTTCGTTTTATCTTCTAATCAGTTAGCTTTTTTTCAATTGGAGTGCCTACTTAAAGGCAGCGTCCAGGCAGATCTGGACCCATGGGGCTTTTACGTGGAAAGTACTTTTGGGGCCCTAACTGAGGCACTGCCCAAGCGGCAGCTCAGGTAGTGCTCTAATGGCTGAGATATTCCCCTCGAAACTGGCCCCCGCGAACGTATTCGCATGGATTCATGGCAGTTTCGCGCCAGGATCCACGCTTTGCGCCATGAATCCATGCGAAACACGGTCGCGGGGTCCAGTTTCGAAGGGAATATCTCAGCCATTACAGCACTACCTAAACTGCCGCTTGGGCAGTGCCTTAGTTAGGGCCCCAAAAGTACTTTCCACGTAAAAGCCCCATAGGTTCAGATCTGCCTGGACGCTGCCTTTAATGTTTCTGGACGGTACCATTCAGTTCGATCATTCAGGAGCCGTGCATCACCAGTGATGAGCGAAATTGGCTTTCTAAACAAGAGAAGATTATCATTCGTGATGCGAAGGATACTATGGGTGTGGACTTAACCGAGAAAAATGAAAATGCCGTTCAGCTTGTGATTATTATTCACGGTCTTCATGGCCTTCTGAATGAGTTCCTAAGAACTAATTGGGTACATCACCGATTGCAAAGTATCGTATTTATATGCAACGATTATAGAAATGTTGAACTTCTAAAAGGGCAGTCACAAGAGAAGTCAGACTTTGACGCCATTGCTATGTATTGCAAAATTGCCACCTTTGCTGATCTCCCCGAGTATAGACCTCATCCTTCTTTCTTTCTAAACTCTTCAATTGCTCACCTTTACGATGACATCAGCTTGCCAGATTTATAGCTGTTGCATGTTTAAGTGTATAAATCTTACGGGCTCTTCTATTTGTTGTTTATGTGTGTTGTATCATATACCTGCACTTATCTGTGACATTACTCTTACTTTTGATTGGTATGATAATTTATTCAGTTGCAGATGTGTAAATAATAATACAAAAAATGAACAAGCTGGTACCTGAATTGAGACTTCTGCGAATCGCTTCGCCTGCAGTGCAGGTAATTACAGTAGCAATTTATCAAATTAAATGGAATAAAAAAGAGTGGTACGTATTCTCGCACGAATTTAGGTGGCAAGTAAGCGTTTCCTTCCTGCCAGAGGGACAAAACCTCTTCCTCGTTATCTGTGGGATATGGAGGATCTGAAGAAAAAGACTGGCGGCGAGTACACGCATGAGCCGCTGCAAATTAGAAGGTGAGCTAAATTCATCGCTACGTCTTCACCATCCTTCCTTCCTCTTCCAGAGTCTTTATGTTATGGAAAATTCTTAGGTGGTCTATATGAGTTTCACAATCATGTAAACTGGTTTAAATTGGTTTTCATCGGAAGTCAATAGGATTTCATTGGACTGCAAACTTTCAAAAGCCAGCTTCTTTCTTTCTGACTTTCAGAGTTGTAAGCTTTTGAAGAATCGAGAAACTCGCAATTTTCTCTGGAAATTGTAGCTTCAAGGGATCATATGTACATAAATGTTTCTCCTGTCTTTGTGTTACGATGTCCTTTAAGGAAAATTTGTAGATCAGCTTTGTTATTGTGAATGTTCTTTATTTTAGGCTTGGAGGACGTGATCCTGAGACGGGAAGAAAAGTAAACCAGCATATAGGAGGCGGAGTGAAATTCGACTATTTTATGATAGATTATCACCGGAGGTGAGTAGTTTGTCGTTCAAAAACGTACTCGTTATCTCATGTCGGAAGAATTTTAAGCAAATTTTCACTTAGCATAATTTTATCTATCTCATAAAGTATCATGCAACCTTTAATTTCTTTGCGTTGTATTTCAGAGGACCAGCGGAAGCTGGGAAGACGTACGATGAAAGAGTACTAGAAGTACGACGTGATCCCAACAGGACTTCTTTTATCGCTCTTGTTGCCGGTAAAGATGGCAAGCGATGGATTTTAGCAACCGAGCATATGAAGTAGGGTGTCGATTCCGTGATTTTAATTAACGTTTCAGCAATGCGTTTAGGGCTGGTGATATCATCTCTACTAGCTGTCATATACCGGAAAATCCTGTGATAGGTGTAGAAGGAAATGCTTATCCAGTCGGAGCTCTTGTTGCTGGAACACTGATCAATAGGTTATCAAAATATTATCACCGAATTGATTGCAGCGTTCATCTCGAGATAAAATTCCAGTGTTGAGCGGTATCCAGACCTTCACAATAATCTCGACAGCGATGTATTTGTTGTTAAAGCTGGGACTGCAGCGACTATTGTTCGTCATCAAGGCGACTTCACTGTGATCAGAGTTAGTCAACTCAATCTACCATCTTGCATCATAGCCTTTTTGACATTTTGAACTTACCTGGCTTCTCTGTTCTTAAATCGTCGAGTACAGAAGTAAAGAGAAACTTCCACAAATCGGATCAGGTTCGACCCAGCTCCTGAGTTAAGCAAATTCTTTGAAGGCACCGTCCATCCAAAATTTCGACCTCCATGTTTTTGCCGTTCCAGGGCCTTCTCATATTCCTGATTCCGAATATCAAGATGATAGTCGAATAACCTTCGAATTTACGAAATTTTTCATTCTGTGATGGAATGCACATAAGACCTCGTTGATAAATGGTTCCAGATGCGAAAAGCACCATTTTTATCCTTTAGAATAGTGCGTTTCATAATGAACAAGTAAATGCTGAGTGCAACTTTCAAATCATCTTCCTTGAATTCGGCGTCGCTATAAATGAAGCGCTGTTTGTTTGTGTTTATTTTTTTGCATTCAAAACTTCTTAGGGAAATCTCTCAAGTCCTTTGAGCAATATTTCACAAATTTCGGTAGATGTCGTGCCACAAAAGGTTTTGCAGTTGCCTCACAAGCACGAGTTCTCGCTACATCGTACGTGTATGGCAACAGTCGGACGTTTGTCTCATGCTGATATTGAGAACAAAATCTTTGGATCAGCGCAGATGCACAGACGTTTCGGATATAAAATGGCCAGCGGTCTGTTCCACAAAAAAGATGGTTATTTCGGACGCAAGGTTCGTTGGCCTTATAGTATGCAGTCAGTACTGGATCTAATTGTAGTTTCTAGATCCGGCCGTTACCACCAGTTCGAGTATTGGATCGTCCACCTAGGGATCCGCCTCCAAAATGTCAATTCTCTCTTACTAAAGATGAACTCAGTGGACTTTTTGGGCATGCCAGAGTCCACAACTTATTGCCATCAGGATATAGCACTAGAGATTATGATTACTACAAGCCAGAAAAAGAATAGCTTGTGCACTACCTCACTGATGTTGTTCTGTTATTGGCTTATAAAAATTTTGCGTCTTTGATTCTGCTTCTTTTGATACCAGAGTGTTGAAAAGTTAATATGCGAGTATGAATAATGGACGTCAGTAAAGCGAACTCTGAATGATAAATCAGTTGAAGTTAATTGATGCATGTACTGCTTAGAGTACAAGATAACATTGGAAATTTCTCGTCATAGTGAGGTATCCTTTGCAACAATTTTTGTAAATTTTTGTAAGTTCTGTGTAAACATGCAGTAGATCTATTTATTGGCTCTCCTCAACTCTATATCTTTCAATAAACGAAGTCCAAGTTCTTCTCTGTATGGTGGGACTGCAATTTGTACTCCAACTGGCAATCCGATACAGTCCTGAAATATGTTGGTTACGATGCAGTACACAGATATTATTGATGACATACTTTGGAGTCCGACTTGATGAGTTTGTCCCAAGGGTCGATCTCTGGATAGGATTCCAGTTCTTCTTCATCGGCTTCATTTACTTTGGTGAAGGGTACGACACCTAGAATAAGTTAGATCAAACATGTGCATATGCAGGGGATCTGCAGCAGTGCCGTGATAATGGTAAACGGCTTTCGGAGTCGGTATGTCATTCTGGCCGAGTGGTCTAAGGCGCTGCGTTCAGGTCGCAGTCCTCTTCGGAGGGCGCAGGTTCGAATCCTGCGGATGACAGAGCTTTTTGCTAGTCCTCGAGCTAGTAAGTGGTTCCGTAAAGCGTCGGGTTTACTGGTGCTATAGCAAGACTTCTACTGCGTTTGTTTTTAATTGTCGCACAGTAAGGTGCTAGGTTTTTGGCTCAGGCAAAGATTTCTAGACTTATACTCCGGATTAGCACCAATTATGACTAAATGCAGCGTAGCATTGTAAGGCGCCTTAGCCCCGGATTTTTGAGAACAGGGGCGTGATGGCAGCCACACAGGAAGTTTTTCACGTTACTCAAGTTCGAGAAATAATCATTGAACATTTTTGTAAATAACAGAAAAAGGAGTATGAAAAGTAATAAAGAATGACTTGTATGTCTTCTAGTTATGGGAAGTATTTAAAGTCACGCGAAGAAGTATACCGGTAACTCCGCCAATACCTAGTGGATCTGATGACTAACGAGTGCCTACGCGGTCAGGACAACAGTTGTGGAGAAAAACTTGCCATGCTCACAAAGCTTCATGAGAAACCCATCGCATTAGATTTTGAAGTTTTGCGTTCAGGCTGTTATCACGCACAAATGTTGTCGTCGTCGCAATCGCATTTTACGCGCGACAAACGTAAACACAGATTCGTATTTGCTCAATCATCGTTGATATTCCAAAAGTAATGGGGTGGGTCACGAGCTGCGCATTTTTCTGTTCAAGACTGCTGCCATGATGAAAGATCGCAGAGTTTGCGTTTTCCGTACTCGTCATACCTGCTGCGAAGTCCAGAAGATTGAAAATGGCAGTGTAGCAGCATCCAGCAAACAATCGGTTAGGCATTCCTTGCTTCATGGGATAGACTGCCTAAGAATAACTCTATTAGCAAGCATTCACCATCTGCGTGTTCAATATATATGTATTTATTTATTAATCCAAAAAAGCAGTAATCACCATGGCAGGGCACAGCAGAGCGTCAAGATTGTGCAACATCATCTCGCTGACAAAATCCGAGCGATAACCCTCGATTTTGCCGTAGACATCGCGTAAATCTGAAATTTTTGGGAGCAAGTGATGAGAAATCCTCTCCCCCCCCCCCCCTTCTCTTTTTTATCGCTTCCCCTGTACTGATGACAAACCTTCACAATTATCTGGCAACGACGTCAATAATGTTCGCAATCGTGGATAACTAACAAATCTTGCTATAATACGCTGAATCGAGATCGGAAGCAACATGACTGGATGTACGGAGCATTCGGGCAGTACAATATCCTGTGCGATAGAAATTTTTTGGACATCGGTAATAATTTTTGTAGAAAAAATTGCAGTGGGATACCTGCTTGAGTTTATTACTGAGGTATTTCCCACCATCAGCAGAAACACCTCCAGCGAAAAGACGAAACATTTTCTCTGGTTGTGGAAGTCGGAACGGTACAAGCGTATGACCGAGATCTTCTAGAATTTTCTTTGCCTCCAACACTGCTCGCTAAACATCGAGATTTGAGAGATACAGGGTTAGGAAAGCATTAGAAAGTACCTGATTTGCTGGAGTTGGTGTGATGAAGCCGTCATGAGTGTAAAATCCTGAAATCAACGTTTTGTATTCTCTTGTATTCGCTACCGACAGCCTTTGCGCGTAAAAATGATCATGGACACAAAGTCCTTACTATACATTCAAAGGCAGTGTCCGGGCAAAAAGTCGATCTTGAGATTTTGTGCTTACCCCGCCCTATTGGCTATGCTGGATCCGAAAATCCACCTGGAGAGCGCAAAAACGCGAAAAAGGTCTCTATGGGAGATGAAAATCATAGTAGGCGGTCTTTCCCACTGTGAATTCACGCTCCCAGCTTTCGAAGCGATCTTGCCGGTTCCGATTTCAAGTCAGGCACCGGTGGCGATGTCATTGCGGCTAGCGGAATTGAGAATCGCTCCGGAAGCTGAGGGCGTAAATGCACCGCGGGGAAGACCCCCCCCCCACTAATTTCCCTACTGCGTTAGAGCCCTTTTTTGTGTTTTCGCGCTCTCCAGTGTGGGTTTTCGGATTCAGCATAGCGAGTAGGCTCAGGTAGTACAAAATCTCAAAATGGACTTTTTGCATGGACACTGCCTTTTTCGAGTCATGCTTTCTTTTTCTTATCCAAACTCTTTTTCTTATCTAGACATTTTTGTGCGCTGTTTCTAACCATGGATCTCAGAAGCAAACGTTTGTCAAAAATTCCCGTTTCATGCCTCGAGTGCAGTGAGCGAGTGCTCTGGCTGTCGAAAGCAAGCATGAACACGTTGAGCAGTACGCATCCTATGTTTGCCATGTGAGAACGCGTTGAGAGCTCAGGATCAGAAGCGACAAGGGGTGGGCTGCACACCAGTGTGGGCGGTGCACATGGTTCAACTGATTTGCACCCCAAATTTTCTCAGGCGGTGTTCGGAAACCTCGTTTGCGCACTTGTTCTGGCCTCAGTATTCTTGATTATGGTTGTATCCAAAGATATTCAAATCTGCCCACATGCTGTCTCTGAAGCCAGTGTCCGGACAAGATTAGGGATTTTGGGGTCCCAATGCATGCGGAAATGAGGCGCCTCGGTCACAGCATCGCCTCAAATGCGAAACCATGATGTTTGATCAGAGGCAAGAAAAACGGTCGAAATTCGGGAAATTTACGCCTTAGAGGAAGGCCTCTCTACCTTTGATTTACTGATGTGTGGCAGAGTATGCATAAAGGGTAGGAGAAGGAACTCCGCCAGTTGTACCGCCTTTGCGGACTACTGGTGCTGCAAGCACATGCAACAACATTCCAGAAGGACCAGTTGCCAGCGAAGGCGGCTGAAACTGGCGGAGTTCGTTTTCCTATCCCGCTTACTTCTATGGTTTAATTCATAGGGTCCCGCACTGACTCTGCGTCTCAACCTTGGCGGTAACCGTGCAAATTCATGTCGTATGGCTTTAAGAAGGCATGTTCTCGCCGTTTTTGCGCTTTCTAACGTGAATTTTCGAATTTAACTTGCGAATAACCCCGGTCAAGTGAGCTTGCGAAAAGTCCGGACATGCTTGCGAAGGCTGTGGCTCTGGAAAATCGCGACTGTGGGCTTTTCACATCTACATGATCTTTTGCGCTGGTTCCGGCTGTACTTAAAAGTCAGAAAAGTGCATTTTGGTTTTCCATACTTGGAGATCGCTGAAGGGCTCGGTCGATTCCCGCCAAAAACAACGACTAGCGGCAGAGACTGTAACTCCACCCATTTTGCTGGCACTTGACTGACTCAAGCAGCCAATCGCGACTCAGTTGGCGATCGCTCGCCCATCCCTTCCAGCAATCTCCATGACTGGAAGACTCCATGAAACACTTTTTGACTTTTCAGCGCACCCAAAAAGCCAAGAAGGAATGGAAAGGCAATCGCAAATTTCCCAAGGCATTGCCTTTAATGAGTGTTCGTCACGCGCAGGTGTTGCTGAGGATACAAGCTTAGCACCGCAGGAGAACAACATCACCTACAGAACGACTGGGCTTACCTATTCTTAGCTTCTTCTCAGAATTGAACATCTTATCTTGCCACGTTACTGGAGGAACGAATGGATCAATATTGTAGAGAAATAGGTCCGACCATGCCTAGCAATAAATTTAACATCTTATGGGCTGGCTCAGCTGGAAGAAAAACTCACAATTTTGAGGTACTCAATGCATGTTGTGATGCTCTTAGCCATGGGACCTTCATTTGAGTTTACTAGTTGACGCCCAGGAACGGACGATGTCGTGAAAGTATGAGAGAATCGAATTGAAGACGGCTGAACAATAGTGAAGGGTTATACGCAAGCAACAGGAAACAAAGTTAAACTGTAATTATGCTATTGATGTTAATACACTTCTACTATCGCCAGTAGTACCTTGTTGCCAGTAGGTTTCTGCCTCTAATAATTTGTAATTCACCCAGTACATAATATAGCATTGCATAACTAGGTCATTCCGAAAGTAATTTCGCTCTTTTCAAAAGAGCGTAACATCCCATTTGCGACATCTCATCATAATAGATATCTCGGAAGCTTTTGCGAGCATTTGATGCAGCTTTCATTCTCTTTCAAATTTGTTTCCTCATTTCAGTTTATTCAGCGAGTTCTTTTACCAAAAATTACGACACATGATTTTTGCCATGGTCAAGTTGCGCCGATTTTCTAGCTTTCTGTGGACTATAAGAATTTCTAGTAACATGTGGAGTGAGGTCTATAAAAATAATTTTTTCAACTTCTAACCTGCTTTTCACTCCCAGTTTTTTTAGAATGCTATCAAATTCAATACTTGGTCAACTCATATCTCATGAAACATCAACGGGCGAGGAACTCGGATGTCACATAAAGCAGCTTTTTGTCTATTTCCAAAGGGCTTTTTTGTTTCCCAATCATGAAATCATCGGGGATAAAATCGTCATAAATCTTATTTTTGAGGCACCTCAGGCCGTACCCAGATGATTCAAGATTTGATATTTCGAGCCCGTGAACGCTCACTGTTTCATAAAATCAGTGTTGAACCATAACCTTGGTAAACTTCAAATTCGGAAGATTCATTGCTGTTCGATGATTTGTGTGTAAGATAGGTCTGCCAAAAGTCGGTGGTCACAACAAAAGTCTTATCAAAGAATGATGACGAGTTCTAAAGAAGAGAAAAAGTTGCTTTGTATCCTTAGTGTTTGATCTACCCAATGGTCACTTGAAATGCTCAAGAGGGTGGGTATAAAAGTTTGCAAAATTAGCAAAAGTTGTCTATGGCGAAAACCATGGGTCACAGTTCTTGGTCGTTTTCTAAGAACTCGTTAGTCAAACTAAAAGGCTGAGATGCCGTTCAAAAGAGGAAAAATTCCATTAATTGCATTGGAAAGCTTTCCGATCTTTATTCTGCGCGATGTTACGCTCTTCTAGAAAAGAGCGAAATTAGCGGAACGACCTAATATAATATCAACGGAAAGCTACTTTGCAGTATAGCGTTCACACTATTTTAGCAGCTCCTCATAAAATTCTTATTCATCATCAGGTTTTTGAACTTATTAGAAAATGTTTTGAATGTTCCACTACTTTTTGAAAACTCTGGCAAAGAATCAACGATTTCTTGTGTGCGCAAGTTCAAGCCTTCCTTTATATAATCTCAAAGTCTTGTGAATTAGGCTGATAACTAGTTGCTACATTTTTTAGCACCTGCCAGCAAAGGGTTTGCCTGTAACATCACTTAAGAGCAGTGTCCGGGCAAGTTGGAGGGTTTTGGGATTTCAGTGCCATGCGAGAGTGGCCCCCTCAGGCACAACACCGCGCAAGTCCGACGTCATAACGCTCGACCTAGAGCAAGAAAAACGGCCGGAAAGTACGGGAACTTACGCCTTGGGGCGGGGTTCCGAGCTGTCCGAATTCCTGCTATGCGGCAGAGTAAGCATGCCGCTACAGTTAAAATGTAGGGTCCCGCAGCGACTCTGCGTCTCTGCCTTGGAGACCGTCGAATTTCAAATTGTGCGGCTTTGGGAAACGTATGTTCTCGCCGTTTTTACGTCTTCTAATGTGGATTTTCGGATTCAGCGTTGCGGACCCTCGTTAAGTGGATTTTCTAGAAATCGAGTTTTTGCCCGAATACTGCCTTTAATTAAAATCCCGTGCAAAATGATTTGGCGAAAGTAGAGGAAGACAAATGTGGTGTGCCACAGCCTTTGACGATGAAGAAATCGGTCAGAAATTTTGCAAGCAGTTTGCCAAAATATCCTTGAGCCTCAAAATACGTCTTTTATATTACCCCTCCCCTCCGCCTCTCTTCTATCTCTTCATATTTGTTTTTCCCTGAAGAAATTGACTCCTGTTGGAGCTTACCTTGAAGCCAGCTATGCCACAAAAAGTGCTAGGAATTCTGACTGAGCCTCCTACATCAGTGCCTATACCAAGCAAACTGCCTCCTGTAGCAATGAGAGCGGCTTCGCCTCCGGAGGAGCCTCCAGGAACTCGCTCTGGATTGTACGGGTTTGTGGTTGTGCCTGAACAGAATGCACTTAATGAGCACTTAATGACAATTAGCAGGCTCCGTCTATGCGACAGCTGGTACAGACTATACAATACTAAAAATTCCGCTCTGTGCTAGATCTCCAAGGAGAATCTTAGCAGCTGTGCGTCCACATGTGCCAACCCTTATTTGAATGACCTTACCGTACACAGGATTCGTACACCCATAGCTCACTAGTGACTGTGGAACATTTGTGTGAACGAATGGAACAGCGCCTAATTTTCAATTTATCAACTACTCTTATCTCTTTTAACATCAAATACCTACCATGATGAAGAAGCTGCTCAACAACAACGGCGTTCTTTCTGGATGGGGCTCCTAACTCTTGGACGTAACCCATGGTTGAGCACATGTTTCTCACCTGTGAATAAACTTCAAGTCTTTATAATGACTCAATTTTAACAGAAAATTGGAAACGTAATCTGGGTAAAGTAGCTCATATTACAACATTTTGCCAAAAAAAATTAGCAGTGCATTCAGGGGTCTATTCCCGGATCGAATCTTTTATAAAGTGAATGATAAAAAAGGAATCACCTACCCTTATGTTTTCCTTGATGCTGACTGGCATGCCAAACAATAAAGGCTTCTTATATCCTGGTGTAGCTGCTTGTTCGTCCAATTTCCTTGCAATTTCAATGGCATCCTCAAGTCATAAGTAATTAATTGGTCATCACAACTGAAACCAAAAGTCAAGATCGGACTTCTAAGCCAGGGTGCTTACTTATTTATATCATAACCTTGGCATTGACTTGATATCTACAAGACAAGTTTGGAGCAATCAATTGTTCTCATTGCTATTTCCAGTACTGTTGGATTACCTTACATCGCTTTCACATTGGAATAAAGATTTACTGAAGTAATAAAATTTTTTCGCGTGTATTTGCTGATATTCCCGAATCGCCTGCCAAGATATTTTCAAAATAGCATAAAATATTAGGTTGGCTAAAAAATAATTTTGGTCGTTTCTAACTGTTTAGATAGCAAATTTACGCGTACGTAATATTGGACCATTGGAAAGATCAAATCAGGAAGAATCGGATGGCCAACTCTACTTAAGCGCCAGTCAGTTTTGACAAAGAAATTGTGCAGGAAAGTGCAATAGTTAGATTTAAAATCATGCCCGAACACAACTGGCATCCACACGGCGAATTTTAACTTTCTAACGATTTGCACGACCCTAGATGGTCAAATGCAAGCGGTCTTGATTGCTCAAAAATTGACTTCTAGCAAATGCCTGGAAATTCTCACATTTTTGGCTGCAGAAATTCACAAACAGCAGATCACAATCGCCATTGTAGTTCGCCATGTAACCAAAGACTGTATATACTCAAACACTAAATAGGTCGTCTGTGCACTCACTATAGTCTGAGAACGAAGCTTAGAAAATCAAAAAAGCGGTTCCATAGAAATCTGACCATTCAGGGCATAACTGTCACGCGATGATAAAAATTCTGACTACTTGGTATGTGAGAGTAGAGGCTTGAAGCTACCTCAGCGCAAAGAATCTTAGCTGAATAGCTGCTACTCGATTTGTTATGCAATTTCGTGCAGTCACACCGAACTTGTTTATTAGCCAATCCAATATTTACACCACTTTCATTTCTATTTTTGAGGTCAGAAAATTGTTAGTTTTAAGTGATTTATGATTACCACTTCTATGTAAAATCAATACTGAGCTAAAGGCTTGCGTCGAAACTTCATCGTGAAAAGTTAAAGTTAAGTACGTTTTACTCATTCGAAATTTTAGATTTTACCATTCTTTTTTAAAGGATTGATTGATCCTTTCACAAAAGTTTTTATCCTTAGTTGAGGTATTCTGGGGAAGAAGGCAAGCAAGTGGTGTTTTAGAGTCAATTGCAAGTGGAGTTTCCAGAGTCAATCAAAGAAGTAGGCTAAAACTCACCTCAATAAACATGCATACACAATTAGTCTGCTCGCTTGAAGCAAGTGCGGCTCTTTGATAAGATCGAAGCACATCGGTACAGCTTACTTCACCGTTTTGCAATTTTTCTCAAATCAACACATTCAGAAATAATGACTATATTATTTTTGGCTGAATCACTACCTCGCAACTCATCAAAACTCCAAGAAAGAATTTTTCGCGATTGTTCCGGAGAAATCTTCTCGGCATTACTTCGGGCCGTTTCGAAATTGATCTCCCTGTCCTTGCTGCGCCTTGTCAACTTTCCAGTCAATTCATTTCGACGACGCTGTAAAAGCACATTGTAACACAAAAAGATCCAGCAAGAACGCACCTTTCTGAGCAGCCGAATTCTCATGTAGAATGTTAGCAGAATTGCTAGAATCGTGATGATGATGTAGATCATTTCTTCAGCAGTGTGATGATACGTAGTCGCTTCAAGAGCTCATAGATCCACACAGGCGCTTATCGTGAGAAAAAGCAGATACTTAAGCGGAATGATAAGGGGCTACCTGTGAATCATCCCGATTTCCTTCACATTTCCACGATAACGCTGAAGCATTAGCATGCGTCAGAAAAGCTTTGGACATTGGCACGTTATGTTCAAATAAGTCCGCTTCGCGCATCGGCCCATTTGGAAAGACCAAGAAGATGAAGGATCCTCATCCGTTACAAATATTCAAAATTTGGCTTTACAAGTGAAAGACTGGAAGATACAAGTGTATCAATATTGACTGCCTTGTCTGAATTAGTCATCTATAAGTTTCTTACAATGAAACATTACACTTGTATTGGCAGTGGTCAGAAGATTTGAGACGACTTAAGAGACTAACCTATGGTATGTAAATTCCCCCCCCCCCCCCCCTTTGTTTTTGAGCCGTAGTGGATTCTCTGTGTATCAGTGCGGAAAGACTGCGAAGTAGATGTGAGATAGGTGCGAGTAGCTGGGAAGTCTCTAATGAAAGCCCCCCTCCCTCCCTCCCTTCTTTACGTAACATAGTGCAAATTCAAATTTCGAAGAGCTAGAGCCTCTTAAACATTACTATTTTTTCATTGATAACTGCCATGCTTATGCATGCTTCGCAACTTGAGTTTGAAGCTTTCGCGTATATGCTCTTTGCTAAAGGGAAATACTGATAAAAATCAGAACAAAAACTCTGGATAAATTCATACATAACTTACGATTAGTGTTATAAATGCCGTGGGAAAAACCAGTCCTACCACTTCGTTGCCTCATCATTTTCATGATCGTAATAATTAGGTTGGCTAGTAAATAATTTCGGTCGCTTTTGCAGCTCTTATAGATGCTGCATACGAATTTCATCCAATATTTGGTATTTCGGAAAAGAGCACTTTAATGAGAATTCGAATATAAGCATTGTTTAAATTTAATTTATTTCTCTGTAAAAAAAAGCACAAAGAAGTGAAAATCCCCATTATCACATTGTGCGCAAATGTGCAAAAATTTAAGAGAATTTCGAATTGGCAATTTACGACTTTTATTGTTATTCGCTGAATAGGGAGTTCGATGTATCCATATAGCAAATTACTCATCTCTACCTATTATACATACAAGCATGAAAAACGAAGCTTAGAAAGTCAAAGAAAGAACTGAGCTCTTTGAAAGTTGGCCATATTGGAGCAAAATTGTCCTCTGTGATAACAAAAAATTCCGAATGCTTGGTACGTGATAGTAGAAGCTTTGAGCTAGTTACTTTCGGGATTTCATGGATAAAAAACAAGAAAATTTTTAATGGAGATTTGCATTGAAAAAAACGAAGTTACTTTTTAGCCGACCTAATAATTCGCAACTTACTGTAGCCGAATCATGTTGAAGTAGCGTCTTTCATTCTTTTTTAAAAATAAAATATTTCCTTAACTAATAACTATAACTTAACAATTCGGAAATAGAGTTTAGGCATGGGGCAGTAGTTTACTGTTTGCATTAAATTGGTTGGTCAATATGTAATTTCGGTTAGTTTGGCGGCTCAAAAAAAATTCTGCGTACATACTTTTGTATAATGCTTGCACCACTGGAAAGATTGTTTTAATGAGAAACTGAGGGTACAATCTGTTTGTGTAGAAATTTTTTTTAATGAGAAAAATATTGAAAATAGCAAGCCCAGTATTCGTTGATCAGCAACAAAATAATGATAGCATATCATAATTTGTGGAGATTGTATGTCAAAACCAAGTTTTTTAACCAACTCATACATAGGCTGTCTGACTGAAATGAATGATCTTCAGATTCGTTTGTTTCGTGAATATTTTCCATCTCTCACCCTTTCTACATCTCACTTTTTTTAGCATCTCTCTACTATCTCTTCACCATCCTGACTTCGGTTCTCATGCTGCGCCATCTATTCATTATCAGATGGGTAAGTTATATGAGCCTTTTAATTGCTTGTGGGTACTTCTAATCAGATATGTGCGACAGTATCTGAACGGCAGCGGAAACCTGAGATTACATCAAAGAATTATTGCACACTGCATTTGCCCTTAGTGTAGTCTGTGCCTGGGTCATCATACTGATAAGAGATGTTGTTGGGTGATTGGTGACTCCGATGTGTTTACTACAATTGCATGACGTTTTTCGTCCTTTTAGTTATAAGTCTTAATTCAGCTCAAAATTTCTTAGAATGACATGTATGATTTTGTCTTCAGAATTTTCCGTTTGATGCTTGATCTCATTCCATTCTGCTGAAGCTATTTTAAATGATGTCGAAGAATGTCCTTACTCAGCTAAATAAGGTTTGTGAAAAAGGTTTTTTTTCTAACAGCTACATAGCTGCATCACTGAACTATTTTTTTGCAGATACCATTGCCCAATTCGCTCAAGCGATCTATCGTCAGAAATGAGGATCGTGGAAAAGTTGTGTGCATCATTTTAGTAACTACGCTGCTCACGATCATGCCAGTTGGGTGAGATTTAGGCTAAATTTCGTAACCATAACTAAGCAGACCGAGCGAATCTCCAAAAAGCTGCATCATATGTGTTACGTGAATATATGATCAATGAATGACATGAGGTAATCAGGTGTTTTTAAGTGTCCTCATGTGTAGCAAAACATCTTTCCATGAAAATACTTCAGCTTATGAGTTGTTTCATCTACAGCGTAATGATCAACTACTTCAATTTGTTGGAACTTGATATGATAGAGAGGGAGCTATTTTTTTTGCATGTCGATCTATTTGCCGTAAAAGCTTTGAACGGCTGTGTAAGCTACCGTGATTAAATTTCCACATGGTGGGTCATGCAATGACTGCCATGTGGGACAATGTGACCCACATGGTGGGTCACGGCATAAATTTTTTTGAAATACTATTTAGACCTTCATTATTAAGCAGCTTACCGCAATGTTTTTCTGAAATATATAGTCCACTGGGCAATTATCATTAGCTTTGCATTGTTCGAATGAAATATGATACTAATAAACTTGACGTGGAAATTTTTGCATACCAAATTTACCCAAACTCAGTTTTGGTTGGTGTTTTGTTTCAAAAACGCTGTAGCGGTATGGCCTTATTGGAGTGCTGACAGTAAGATTTCGGAAGCTTAATAAAGCCCTGGATTGTATGTATCTCTAAATTTATCCAAATCCCGCAATCCTTATAGTTAATCTCTGCCAAAGATTTTCAGAAATGTATAACATGCTTTTATGATTTCGCATGATTAGTCGAAAAAATTCAACAGAGTATTCGGCTAGCTGTGTAACTTGGATGACATATCCGACAGTATTGCTTTTATCGGTGTACTTCCTCATAATTGTCGATTGAAATTTTTGAATCTGTTGTTTTGGCATTGTGTGGCTTAAGCAAATCTCAATATTTCCATTTTGAAGTCTGAGAAAATCAAACGAAGAAAATTGGAGCAAACCTGGTTTACAAATTTTCCTCGGTCTTCCGAAATTGATCTTTCGGGTTTTGAAATAATTTTACCAGAAAGCCTTTTTGAAAAGTATCCTCTTCCGAAGATGCATCAAACAAATCTTTGGAATTCAAAAGCTTTGGAGGAAATCTAGATTTATCTAGATTTCCGCTTTAAAACACCTTGATTTATGTTTTTTAGTCAGAGCTTTGCGCAGCTATGGAAATTTATCGGCAAACACTTAAGCTTCAAAATCTCCGCGATTTTAACAGTTGTGGAATTCGCTTGGAGAATGAGATTTTGAGAAGAGGAAGAAAACGTCGGTTACTGAGCACTTGTCTGGCATTATTTTATGTGATTTCAGTATAGATCTAAAAAAAATGTTAAGCTCACCTCAATTTTCATTCATCCTGGTACGTATTAAAGACTGCTGTTCGATCTCAATGATCATTAGAGATTCTTCCCTAGTTAATTTACGATGATCAAACACAGCGGACTAAAAGAAATAAAAGTTCAGTAATAGCAAGCATATAATTGATTTTTCCAGGTATCACATGGTTGTTCTGAATGTTCCGGCAGCAGTGATACAGCGCTCAATCAACGAAAGCTTGTACAACACCTTCGGCGCAGCTCTATCCTCGGGTTCATCAGCACTTCTTTGGTTGGTTAGCGTTCGGTACGCATCAGTACAGACAGAGCTTGTCGCTGTTGGTACCCGTGGCTGGGATGAATGTGCACATCTGAGTTTAGGTCCATAATCGTTTCTTGTCAGAGCATAGGAGCCTTGCTTGGCTGTGTCATGGTCACACCTATTCTGAATCGTTGTGGAGTGAAAAGCGCTCTGATGCTTTTCAATAATATAATTTTGGTGATTGGATCAATTCTCATGTGAGTCGGGTAGCATTGACCTTGGTCATTTGTTTGTGTTTAATTTTTGATGAGATTTCAATTTTTGGTGGGCTGCATTTCTCTTCAACTTCACCCCTCTTCTCATCATCGGGCGACTGTTCACAGGAGTTTTCACAGGCATAGCATGTGCTCTGCTACCACTCTTCATCCAACAGATTGCACCGAAACAAATCAAGGTAGCTAATTCTACTACTATTTAATTAAGATTTAAATTTACATTTAAAATTTAAAATTCTCTTGTAGGGCTCATTGAGCTGTTTTCTACATATTGCTGTTTGTTTTGGATCAGCTATTGGAGCAATCCTTTCTCTGGATTTTATGCTGGGAGGAGAATCAACGTGGGGTTATCTCCTACTCGCTCCTGGAATACTTAGTTAGTGTTACTTTCTGCAAATGCTTCTTCTCCTTTTTCAAAGCACATTGAACATTTGATTTGATTCAATTATTTTAATTTTTGTACTCGAGGCGCATAAAATAAAATAATGATACATCAAGCCTAAAGTTCTCTCCCTTTTCTCGATCTAAGTTAGAGTGAAAATGTGAGTGAAAATTTTCAAAAAAATTAGTAAACTGCATGGTAAATACCATGGGTACATGAATCGCCAGTTATTCTAGGGACCACATAAGTAACCAGTTTAGAGGCAAAAGTGCTGAAATGAAGCAGAAAAACTGCGTGGAAGTTTTCAGAGCGTTTACATACGTTAATTGACGTGGTAATAACTTGAAACACTGTGTAGTTTTCGGAGCGACTTATTAGAAAGACATATTGTTACATCGACAAAGCTATATGTTCACCTCAGAAATTAGCGTCTCGTTTGACTGTCACTGAAATTAGTGAAGATTCGTGAGAACATCCAAAATACCAATAGCAGCCCGAAGATGTGACGGGTTTTTTTGAATTTTTTTCACATGAGAAGGCTGGTAAGGCCTACGATAATCAAGGCTACGCGAATTTTTGGATTGTCTCGATAATTTTCAACTCCTCTACGCCACGTGCAAATTTTCACCGCTAGATTAAACTTAAAAAGCTCGTATTAATATTTATTTTTCAGGTGTGCTTCTAATCGTGGCAGCTTTTATGATACCAGAAACTCCTAATTTCTATCTACAAAATGGATCCTATATCCAAGCAATTCAATCAATAGAGTGGGTTATTGTTTACAGTCATCTTCACTCCCGCGGTTCGCTTTGTGCAATTGCACCACTTTTCGCTCTGCTCTAGAACGAACTGATAGTGTTGAAGCCATTATCATGCTTGAAAAAAGCAGTATCAAATAATGATAGAGCGAGAAAATTGCACAAGAAAAAGGACCCCGTACTTTGACATGTCCAGTTCAGAGAGTTGTGCAATTACACAATGCGGCTGTTGAAAATGATGGCTACTGTAATTCACCTCTCGTTCAAAATCATTTACAGTTTTTACTACGGTATCTCTTACGACGATGATGATGAGGCCATCAGGGAATATTGGGATATGGTTCCCGAAGTAAGCCTAAGCATTAATTTTTTGATATTGTGCACAATATTCTGTTGTTTTTAGATGCCATCTCAAATTTGCTTCTCTGAAGCAGTTATGAATCCGACAATTTTGAAAGGAATATTTCTGGGAATGATAGTCAGCGCAAGTCAGATATTTTCGGGAAGCATGGCTTCTGTATCGTACTCAACTAGGTAGGACAATTTTTATCTCTTTTTGTGTTCCGGTTCATTTATGAGGACTATTTTAGCATGTTCTCAGCTGTGTCTTTTGACGAATCATTCATTCCATTCTTGCCTGCGCTGGGAGCACTTGTCTCTATAGCACTGACTTTACCTGCTCTGAGATTGGTATGAATTTTATCTCCTATTATAGATCTTTACAAATTTTATTCAAAAAATACTTTCAGGTCGAGACCACAACTCGGCGCTCACTCCTGCTCAGCACACTTTTGCTATGCCTTTTTGCAGATTGTCTACTTTTACTCTTCTCACTTCTCTCCATGGGTGTGTTTTATGTTCTCACACCCAAAAAGAAAGGGAACAGTTTCTACTTGCTTTTACCCTTTCCTTTCTGTCTCAATTCATTTCCGAAATTTCCAGTTAGGATCCCAAAGCTCTTCCTTTGATCTATAAAACAGCAATTCACATACTGTTCGATTTTCAAAATGGCACTGATTTCAGACGAATGGTGGGCTTCATGGCTCTATCTAATCAGCTTTTTCATTTATGGGATAGGCTACAACCTTGGCACCGGTCCAGTGGCTTACTTCATTCCCGCTGAACTAGTGCCTGCAGAAGCAGCCAGTGTATCTCTGGGTAAGATAAATTCTTCCTACCTGCTTTCGCCCTTTTCTTTTCAGCGGTTTCTTTCTTTTAGGAGCTGCTGTGGCCGTCAATTGGATAAGTTCTATGGTAACTACTTTGCTATACTACCCATTAAATGAATCTGTACAGGGCTGGAGTTATCTCATATTCATCATCCCTACGTGAGTGAATCCTTGAAACTTCAGAATTTGAAAGTAACCCATTAATTCTAGGTCTCTATTCTTAATAATCCTGTTCTTCTTCCTTCCTGAGACGAGGTTTCACTACCGGTCAGATACCATCGACAGTCGGTTACTAGCGGACCTAGGACAGCCGTCTCCTTATGGGACTTTTGAAGACGATGAAATTGATTTATTTTGATACTGACGCGATCTTTGTCCTTCGTGTGTTTGATTGTATAAAAGCTTAATTTTTTATATGTCATTATGCTTCTGAGATAATGGAATGAGGAGAGACCAGTGTGGAAAGCAATTGACCAAGCAACCCATCCCGAATACCCTGAGATCTAGCACACAAGCCCTACCAGCAGACGAAACCCCTGTGGTATGTCCGCCCTACAAATAAGCCCATCGGTAGATAAGACTCAGTGACAACGCGCATTCTGCTGCTTTCTTAAGATAAAACGGAATTACTTGCAAATGGCATGCTATATGTGGTAAGATTCTCTGAAAAAAAAGACTTATTGGCTAGTTTTAGGGTAATTTGTTTGCTGATCTCTTGGTAAATTCCCGCTTATCTCAAAACCAACGAGCTTAGAATTTTAACTGCAAGTTCTCAGAACAAGTGAAGACGAGCTCTGAAATTCAAAGTGTTTAGACAAATGCCTTCATCCTTAAATTTCAAAGCATACGATACTAAGCCGCAGATAAAATCGCTTCGATAGAATGATTCATATTGATGCCGCAACGATGCTTCAAAAGTTCGGGTTCCGGAAATAGAAACGATAATCTAACGAATAAGGAATTCTGGCTCACTGTCCTTTCCTTCTGCCCACCCCCTCTTTCCCTTTCATTTCTCGCTCCTTTTATTAGTTATCACCCGAAGTTTACATCGTCATTCCTAGATTTTGAGCACGCGTGAAAAGTGAAGACAAAAGTGCGTTAACCGTAATATCATCTTCTATACCTGAACTGTCCGCTACTGGACAAGGTGTTCGGATTCCCTTTTTGATTGTAATGAAAGGCACCACTTTCAATCTTACCATCTGCACTCCAATTTATTTGAGAGAAAAGGGCAGGTGAGGCAACAATCTCGTCATAGCATGAATACTGCAAATATAAATTTGATGCTTCCTGAAAGTATTTCAAGCAGATGTGATGTTTAAACCCTGTTTTCTGGCATTCGATACCACATGATACAAAAAGTATAGCTTAATACCCTTTGTGTCAATTGTGTACTCCCTTTCCCATCGAAAACGCTACGCTACAGCTTCGCGTCACGTTCTCGCGCGATGTTTTGGGCATTTAGATTGACGTCATGGTTGGAGTAGCAGACGAGGCCCGTGCGCTGCGGATGCGTAGTTCCTGCGCAGCAGGGAAACGATTCGACATCAACTGTAGATGTGACGTTGAAGTCCTTGAGGTTACTTGCACATATGGTCATGAAGCGCAGAGTAAATGTGTGTTCTACGGCTTTCGAACGTGCAGATCGTCGACATTACGAGCATGGCGATTTCTTCAAGCGTAAGCGGCGTCGGTATCCCAGTTGCACCATTCGATTGTCAGATGTTCTAATCTGTGTCATCCTGTACGAAATGATTTTCAAGATTATCGATGTGACCGTTACAATAAAATACAAAAAATCTTTATTAAAAGGATTAGCTGCTAATTTGTAATGTATGGATCTGAAGGAGTGATGCCAGTGGGAGAATACGGTCGGATGCTAAAATCACGCGGACTTCGACGAGGTGTGGTTCGGCGTATCGAACGAGTGGAAGAGCTTCTCAGATACTGAGCCAGGGCACAGTCGTGCGTTTCGCGGAACTTCCGGTACTTTACATGGTAAAAGTCCGCAAAGATAAAGAAGAAAACGGCTGCCACGAATTTGTCCAAAGACAAACGGCCCGGGTCAACTTCGCATTTACCACCCTCGTCGATTACCTGAAGTTAAAATTATACAGAGAAATCGTGGAGTGTTTGAAAAGAGGTAAAGGTTACTCGTCGACGACTCTCCGACTCGTGCACTTACACCACCTTGGGCATGCCTTATTGAGGCCTTTCCAGCTTGACAGTACACTGCAGCGCGCGGGAACTTGGTAGCTCTCACATCACCGTCCTTTCCCTGTCCTGTCCTGTCCTACTGTCATGCTGGAAAGGCTCCAAAAAGCACGCCCACGATGGTGTAATTGCACTAGTTGGGGCAGTTGTATCCTTTAGTAGCGGAACCCTATATAACTTACATTTTGTGCTGTGAAACAGAGAATGAGGCAGAAAACCAACTGGTACACTTGCGCTAAAAAATTGGTATTTCACTTTTGCTGTGCCTGTTACAAAGCTGCTTTACTTACTAAAAGCAACAAATAGCCAACATGGAGCAATGCCAAACTTTTTTGGACTCAAATAGGAGTATAGTATTACATGCGAAAAAAGATTGATGAATACGAACCATCTAAATGATGCTTACACGTTGTTTTTGTACACCTATTTTGAGCAACACTCTATGACTTTATCTTATTGTCAGACAATGCCGCAGCGGCGATGGGGTCAACGCCTCTGAAGCGCACAGAGAGAATGTGAACTGTAGAGACGCAGACAGTTCGATACGCTTCGCCTCTGTGTTGTTTGCGTCCCGCCTTTACTCAACAAATAGCGTGGCCCAGCTTTCCTATAGTTTTTTGTAATTCCCAAAAGCACCCACATACCTGCCAAGAGAATGATGGTGCGAATAGCTATGCCATGTAAAGAGGAGTGTGATGATATGATGGAAAATATGGATTAGAAGAGGCTGACGACCTTCCAGTATAATAAGCACTGTCTCAGCTAGGTCAAGAAGCTTAGAAAACACGAACAGAAACATAACAGTGCCGCTTATGGCTCCTGAAATGGATTGCAAGTGGAGAATCTCATTAATGCTGGTCAAAGTACAAAGTTTTGGTCAGACATAACAATGGGTTGCTTAAAGGCAGTGTCCCACTAGACTGGGGGTATCTGGCTCTCGTAAAAATGTAATAGTAGACCCCCTACCTAATCGATGTCTGAAGTTCGGAGCGAAAGAGGGGGTCTACCAAGCCTGAAATTTGCTCCGAAATTGGCCCGAATCTTACGGTAGGGCAGAATGCCGCCCACACAGCAATATCGATTGCAAGGCCAGAGTGCGCATAGCGCACACAGTCATGAGCGCAGGTCCCGCAACGACTCTACGTCTCTACCTTGCATCCATCTCGTACTCGCCCGAGGCCTACTGTAAGATTCGGGCCACTTTCGGAGCAAATTTCGGGCTTGGTAGACCCCCTTTTCGCTCCAAACTTCAGTCATCGCTTAGGTATGGGGTCTTACTATTACATTACTACGAGCCAGATACCCCCAGTCTAATGGGACACTACCATTAAGTAACTCTCAGGCTGCGTTTAGAGCTGCCGGTGCCAGCAATGTGTCGGAAGCGCCCTGCAGCAGTTTATCAAAGTTTCAGCACGACGCTAGCACGGCGCTGGCACAGCCCATCATATGGGCAATCGAAGGGCTAAAAATGGCGTATAGTCCAGAAAATATATTCTGTGGAAGGCGTTGTGCCATGCAAGGACTGTCAGCCAACAACAACCGTCCAGGCGTAAATGCTCGGGCCGCGCCCTTAGACTGCTCTACAAAATGATTTAAGGAGTTTTCTCTGCCCAAAGCGATAGAAAGCCGTCATACTAGAGTTGTTTCGAAATGTAACGTACCATTGTAAAGCGAATGGTTGCTGCATACTGAATCTCTCCATCCTGCTGTCAATGATAAAAGCACTTGCGGAAGAAATGCCACCAAAAGACAAAGCTGCATCAGACCATTGTAATAGTACCTAAACAATTCTAATCAGGCACCGTCCACATTTGTCGTGCGCTGCGGTAGCACGTGCCAGTATCGAGCCATTGATTTGCTAGCGCTGTGTATAACCAACATAAACGTGCTTTATTGATCAATCGACGCACCCGCATGGGTTTAGGCGCTAGCACAGTGCTGGCACGGCGCTGGCACGGGCAACTTTGTGCGCAGAATTGAGGCTAGAGCTAGCTCATTGTACCATTGTGGCAATAATCCGTGCTTCATAACGACTTTTCCAGGTGCCGTGAGTACGAAGCCGAGGTAGCACGCTGAGATCAGCCAGACATGGGGAGTGTGATCGACCGTCCACTTCCTGGCATCTTCGGCCGGGAACGTGTCAAACATACTGCCAGCACCAGGTCGAGTTAGTGTATACAATGATCCATACTTGGAAATGAGCCCTTTCATCTCCTGACAACAACAACTTTTTCAACCTCCAAAAGTAATGTTTGTGTGTAAACATGCTTCCCATTTTAGGATTTTCGATCCGAAATAAGGCAGTCAGGAAAGGGATTTGATTGTGATTGTCTCAATGAGAAAAATTCGTAAAGCGCGCACTTCAGAGATGCTCACTCAGACAATAGAAGGGATACCTCCGGAGAGGAAATGGGAGGGTCCCGGGCTCTGCCCAGCGGAGGTCTGCTCGTGCTCCGGAGCCCTCCCATTTCACGCGTTTTGGTGCTCCGGGGCTCCTCCAAATTTGGGCGCACCCCGGAGCAGAGATTTGCAAGCCCGTGACGTCACAAGAAGGCGAATGGAACCCCTCCCCCGGGCTTGCAAATCTCTGCTCCGGGGATGCGCCAGATTTGGAGGAGCCCCGGAGCACCAAAACGCGTGAAAAGGGAGGGCTCCGGAGCACGAAGTGGCAGACCCCCGCCATTTGCCCTCCGAGGTCCCTCCTTCGACTGTCTGAGCAAGTATTAGGCTGTCCGGAAATTAATGTCCGTTTTGAATTTCAACAGCAATAAGTCATACACTTCTCATTTCTGAATGGGTTGCAAAGTACCATTCGATAGAGCAAAGCAAGCTCTATAAGAAGGCCATCTTGCTTTTGCAACGGCTCTGATCCACCTCGAGTTTTGAGCCAAAAACTGAAAAGATTCAGCAGCCCGAAAAATCAAAAAAAATCGTAACTCATTTAAAAAAATCCTACAAAAATTCTTACTTGCTCACGTAAACACTATCCACATATAACATCTATATAGGCCTTTGCCATATTTTTTCCTCTGTCAGAAATTAAGAAAACGGAAATTTTCGTGCATTTGCCAAAGTGATGCTGTGCCGTCCCCACATAGGTAGTTGTATACTACAAACCTGTAGAAGTATAAACGTAAATTTTCAGCTCTCTACAAGCTTTAGTTCTCGAGAAATTTGAATTTTAGTTTGGGCTACCTAGCTAGGAAAAGCTTTATTTGGTATTTTTCGAGAACTAAAGCTTGTAGAGAGCTGAAAATTTGAGTCTGTACTTCTACAGGCTTGTGGTACACGACTACCTATGTGGGGACGGCACAGCATCACTTTGGCAAATGCACGAAAATTTCCGTATTCTTAATTTCTAACGGAGGAATAAATATGGAAAAAGCGTACATAGATGTTCTATGTGGATTGTGTTTACGTGAGCAAGTTAGAATTTTTGTAGGATATTTATAAACAAAGTTACGATTTTTTTCGATTTTTCGGGCTGCTAAGTCTTTTTAGTTTTTGGCTCGAAACTCGAGGTGGGTGAGAGCTGTTGCAAAAGCAGCATGGCCATCTTGTAAAGCTTGCTTTGTCCTATCGAATGGTACTTTGCAACCCATTTAGAAGTAAGAAGTGTACGACTTATTGCGGTTGAAATTCAAAACGGGCATTAATTTCCGGACAACCTAATATTTTTTGCAGTCTCTGTATCTTCTTTAATTTTCGCGATGATTCTAAGATAATGGCTCAAAAGCTAGTTCTAATCTTGATTTGCTTGAATTGGAGTAGCTCGCGCGATCCGAATGAGTTTCCGGATCAGTTCAAGTCTCCTAATAAGGAGTGGCGAAAGCCAACGGAAAACCTTCTTCACCTTGAGTTTGTGTTCAAATGGTAAACAAAATCGGAATAGGGAGCGTCAACTTTTGTAGTCAATGCAAGCTCGCTTTGTTAAATTGAGATTGACTTGGCCAATTTTACCTTCATAGGTGAAAGTGCCCTTGAGTCAAACAATTTTGATTCTTTGTGCTGCTGTCAAAAACAAGTGAGGTGACGGACGCCATTATCCGAAAAGAACACAAACCTTTCCAAGATTAACCTAAAAAATTATTTGAGGTTTCCAAACATACTTGCATTTTTGAAAAATTGGGTTTTTCACGAAAGTAATATACAAGTGCTACTCGTACAAACAGCGTCACACCTTAATACGTCAAGTCTAAAAATCACTTTACAAACTAAATTACGGATTGTTTAGCGTGCATATTAGCATCGATAGGCACAAATCGGTGCCCGGAGATGTGACGTAAAAGTTCGCTCCAACAAAGTTGATTTGCTCGCTGTTTCGAAATATGAATATGAAAACTGCTATTTGCAAGCGCATGGTATTTCCCAGGGCCCGGCAGGAGGTGGCATTTCAGAATTTTGAAAACGATATCCCCTTTGAAGCCAAAATTTCTTACGACTTCCCCTTTGCCTATTTTTGACCAACGTAAGTCCCTGACAAACAGATATACACAAATAATAAGATGGGCGGCCTCAGCGTTTATTATAGTAGTACTACCTGGCTTTCCTGGTCCAGCCCGGGTCATCGTTTGAGGGGATGGCCAAAAACCACGCTTTGTCCTTCTACCTTCCCGTCCTTTTGGGCCATATTCTCCACCCCTTTTTTGCAGTATCAATACTGCACTGCAGCCCTCTCCTTTACCCTCCTGCAAGAGCTTACCCCAAAAAGGCTTATCGGAGTGATTGCACCTTCTAATTCTAAAGTGGAAATGAACTTCACTGCATTGTTCACACCAAAATGTGCGAGCAGTTTGTTAGCGGCTGGTAAGTGTTCGCTTTCCTTGCAAGGTGCCAAAAATCATTAAATCGATAGAAGAATTCCACGAATTGCTTCGAAGGTTAGCTTAAAACCACCTACCGAGGCCGAAAACATATGTTTTCAAGGTTTCAGCTCAATGGGTTCATCCGCAAAGGAATCTATAAAGAAACATAGGGTCAAGATTTGCACAAACTTTGACGTTTATATATCTACGATACTACTCATTTATTAGTCAGGTGCGAAACTTTACAATTTACAATAACCGATTGCGATTGGAGCGCGCTTTCCGAGGCCGATCATAACGCTGTGAACCCTATTTGGTGCTGTATCGAAGCGGTGCCTTGGTGGTTTTGGAAGCGGATTTAAACATACAGTAGTACTACCTAGTCCACATTTATGTAAAGAAATCCGAAATTATGTGAAGGGAAGCAGGGAGCCACCCCAGTTTGCTCCCAGGTGGCGCGAGAGCCACCTAATTTCGAAAAACACCTTTTTAAATTCACATAAGTTTCTCATAATTCTTCACACTTTTTTTGTGCTCATGGTCCTCCAACTATACAGCAAATTTGGTGCCATATCGTTACCTGTGCATTGAAAACGAGCCTGTTTTGTTATTTTCCTCTTACAAGGATTGCGATTTGAATTCCCGCCTGCGGGCAAGCTAGCGATCGGAGCACAGAATCTTCACATTGCTGGAATCTAAGTTCCATAGACAGTAGCATCAACAAGGCATGATGACTAAAGAATGATATGTGCATTGTTTATCGGTAAACAAAGGGGAAGTCGTATTTTGGGGTCCGGGGCTCCGCCCCGAACCCCAAAATACGACTTCCCCTTTGCTTTTTTGGGCCAAAAACGATATCCAGCTTGTGAAAGCGCCACCCCCGCCGGGCCCTGGTATTTCCCATGAATCACGTTTTACCTTCGAAAACAGAATCTTTGATTACTTTCACTTTTACATAGTTTTGGTTGCAGAATTTTATGATCAGTATGGATTTCTTCCAAATGACTAGACTATAACATGTGGATACATGGATGAATGGTGTTCACAATAAAATTTACCAAAATTGAGTGCTGACAATTTCCCCTTATCAAGAAAAACCAATCAAACTTGACTTTTAAAAAGTGAGGCTTTCTTTTCATTGCGCTCAGGCAAAGATCAACTCGATGGAACTTAATAAGAGACTTGCGCAACCTCCGCAATTATTACAGTATTCTAAATAGCTATGACAACCTGTGATTAGATCAAAAAACCTGCAATCATATCACAAGCATTCTGCGTGACTAATTATTTCTCAGTGTAAGACGCTAAAGAGAGCCTATGTGAACCTTCATCGTTTTCGTGCTTCATGCGAAGCCAGCGACATTTTTGCGTACTTCACTCCCGCATATGATAATTTCAGCAGGATTTCTACCAAATAAAGTTATTCGCCAATTTTTCAACCGGTTTTCAAACCGAATAAGGCAATTCTTCAGTGGCTTTGATTAGATAACTGCCTCTTCTTCGATGGAATTTGTTCGTTCCAGCAAATTCCGATGCATCTTTCAGGGCTACTTCGTGCATACATTATCCAGTGTTTTTAAAGAATTTGACTTCGCATACTATAAAAAGCGTTTACAGAGGGACAAGTCGGCTATGTTCGTTCATCCATCTGGACGGAAACCGAACCACACAGTCACAAGTGAAATTGTACTCGGTTAGTTACAGCAAATTTTAAGTGGAAGATTATGAACTTTATCTGAAAAAACTTGCGAGGCTGAAAGTTACCAAAACTAGCGTCTAAGCATTTTGGATCTGAATCTTTTTGAGAAAAACCATGCCTTATTGTGACTGTTTTCTCTTTAAATGCTGTTTTGTAGCGCGCAACGGAAATTCGATTTCATTTAAAGCTATCCCAAACAGAGCTGATTCTGGTGTAAAAAAGCCCCTTCTTACACAGATTGGTTTTCCTATCGAAGGGGCTTTGAAATCATTTCAAACTACATAGGCTATACGAATCTTGCGTCAAAAGGCTAAGAATTTCTGACACCCCGCATTAGAAGAAGAAGTAAGCTGCTTCAGACGAGATGGTAACATGCAACTAAATGGTAATTCAAAATGTATTTTTTTCTACGTCTCGGTTAAAAAGCAAGAACAAGTTTGTGGCGGAAGTACGTCACCTAATCGATTGACAAGAATTCGTATCTAGGAACGCAACTGGAAATGATCATTTTCATCAGCATTTCTCATCCTTAACAGCCAAAATGACTAAGTTAAAATCTCTTATTTGCTTACTCAATCAATATTATACTGATGAATCAAAAGTGAGAAGGTGAACATGGTGGTCCAGAAGCAGATTTTCAGATAAATCGTGCCAGACAGCGAAGATTGCTTAGCCTACCATAGCTTTGAACATCTACAGTTGTAGCGGTGAATCCGGCTAAAAAAAAATGCGGGATTTAATTATAACTTCTTCCAAAACAACTTTATTTGGAATCTGCTAGGATTTGGCTTCAGCTCGATGAGACGAATCTTTTAGTATCATTATCCCCGTTTTCCATGGTGATACGGTAGACATATGATACTACTTTGTTATTTTCAGAAATTGTTCGTATGAGCAGCAATACATGCTGATAATCTCATAACATATGCCAATACAATAGCCATGGAAAACAGGCATAATATATATCAAAAGATTCGTCTCATCAAGCTGAAGCCAAATCTTCTAGCAGATTCCAAATAAACTTGTTTTAGAAGAAGTTATAACTAAATCACGCAAGTCCCGCAAATCCCGCAAATTCCGTAACTTTGGCCGGATTCCACCGCAACAACTGTATGTTACAGCAGAGCAATTAGCTGAAAGGCCATAAATTTCAGGCCACAAGAAAAATGAAGTTTTGCGCTAACGTTATCAAAGCTGTAAATCTCATCTTTTCCAAATACTGTGAAGCTTTGCGCCCATGAATTGAATTTGGCCTTATAAAAAGGATCGAGGGAGGCTTTGCGCCTTTTCGATACTTTTTATAAGGCTAAATTAGGTTTTCAAAAATTCGAAAAATTTCAATTATTTACAAGTATATACAAGTCACTTGCACACTTTAAAACTCGTGTAAGTAATTTTCAAAAACTTCGCGACCCATTCTAGGGGCCACCGACTTCTGCATATACGTTTTTCATATATTACGCTCTTATGCAACTTCATTTTCAGGCATTGACAGGCCCGCATCACTTCCTCTACCCACACCTGCGCCTCCTTCAACGGACACTTTCTTCTGGCTTTGGTATTCAGCATCCATGTTCCTGGCCACTCTTACTTTAATACTGAATGCTATGCTCGGTATCTGCATCTTCTGCGAAAGGCACAAGACGTTTAGGGTTAGTCCCCACTGCAGTTGATTGTATGTAGTCGAAAAAGTTCACCGTTCAAGCTAATCTGAAGACCTCAGAAGTCGAAAATTTTGCCAGCTCATTTGATCAAGCTGACATCGATACTTGTCCAGTTAGATGTTTTCAATAAAATCAGTATTTCTCGCCTAAGAGATAGAGAAATTGTACAAGAGATTATTAAGAGCAAATGCTTCATAAACCTTTCGAAGAATTGACGTCACCGTGGTCTTTCCACGTGAGGCGTATATGGAATGACTTGCCTCAGAAAGCCGATCACAAATTTACGTTTGCTAGTTGCATAGCAATTTCTGGGAAATGTGGATGTTTTTTCGGAGGCAAAATTGTAGTATGGGTGGTCATAATTGAGCTGCAAGACTTCCTTGCTTATTAGTTGATAAAAGTGGAAACAATGGCGATTGACATTGATGTTTCTCACAAGGAAGAGACACTTGGTCAAAGTGAGGTTTTCATACGAGGTGTACGCTATTTTATAGAGCATGGAACGCTAATTCCAAATTTGCCTTCTTTATCTTCAAAGCGCTTTTGGAGGAGGAGTTATGGAAATTTTTTAGGTAAAATGTAATGTTTTGGCTGAGGTAAAAACATTTTCCGGAGCTTGAAAGGAGTAATAACTAGCATAATTTTATTAAGCTCAAGGTATTGATTGTATGGAGCATTCGCAGTGATCATGACCCATTTTGAGCTCACGGACTACACTTTCGGATGATTGTATCGCAGCCGCGCGCTCAAATTTTTGTTCAATAAAAATTTCCATAACTCTCCACCCTGTCGAAAGCAGATTTGGAATCAGCGTTTCGTGCACAATAAGATGGTACATATTTCATATGGAAATTCTACTTTGAACAAGTATCCTTGCTTTGTCAGTAGCATAACGCCAGTAACTTAGCCAGCACTGAAGGTCCAAATCTTATTAAAAAGATGTTCACAACTCCTTCCAAAAATCTGTTTGCGAATAGTGAACACTGCTTCGAAATAAGAGCTCCGAAACAGTCTTATATCGGCCATTCATGACCGCAGAACCGGCTGTGAGTGCGGCGCAGGCGCGACTTAAAGATTGTGAGAGCACGCTTTGTACTGTGGATTCCAATCTGAGTGTCAGTCGGCGCGACTCGGATTCTCGCGAGCCGCTTCGCTTGAGTCTCTCGCTCACCCTCAGCGGATACGGAATCTTTCAGTGCTTGAGGAGCATTGATGGCTGGCTAGCCGAGGAAAATGCCCGAGGACACGTTTGCGAACGCGTTAAAGGCAGTGTCCGGGCAGAAACTCGACTTTTAAAAAATCAACTTATCTGGGGTTATCCGCAACGCTGAATCCGAAAATCCATATCAGAAAGCACGAAAACGGCAAGAACATGCATTTTCCAAGCCCTTACATTTCGAAATTTGAGGATCCCCGCCAGGCTAAGACGCAGAGTTGCAAAGAGCGCACGGTTTTTAACTGTGGCGGCATACGTACTCTGCCGTCTGGCAGGAATTCAAACAGCTCGGAGGGCCCCGCCCCGAGGCGTAAGTTTCCCCACTTTGCAATTATTTTTCTTGCTTTAGGTCGAACGTTTTATGCTCGCAGTTGCGCGATGTTGTGTCTCAGGGGGGCCAGTCTCACATGGCAGAGAAATCTCAAAACCCCCATCTTGCCCGGACACTGCCTTTAAGTGGCCCAAGCGATGCGGTTGGAGAGGAACCGAGCGCGTTGACCGTGGCACTCAGATTATAAACCTCTATACGACTGCGATTTAACTAGGACAAACATTTAACCGCGCTTCGCGTGAATTGCCTTTACATCTCATACGATAAGGCCATGGTTACGCCCTCCTGCTCTAAGAATCGCAAGATCTTTTATACGGAAAGTGAGAGAAGTTGTGGGCACTGCCCCTCTTGGAATGTAAGCACCTTACAGGTTTATTACAACGTTGGATTTATTCTGTACGCCTCAACGAGTTCAAAATTACTGGCCAGGTTCAAAGAAAAAAGGAGCCCAACAATCATTACAAGACTTTCACTGCCCTTCTATCAACTAATTTTAGAGTTCGTTCTACACTATAATTGTTGTATTCGTGGTGACTATGGTAGTCAACAGCTTGAGTCAACTCTTCGATCTAATCGGCGTTGTGCTTCTGGGCCTAAACTCACCGGGCGCCAGCAGTGCGTCAATGCTGGCCGATCTGACCATCTCCTACTTTTCCACGGTCCTTATGTTCTTTCTGGGACTGAACCGCTTTGCTGCCTTTTCTGCTCCACATCTTTACGATACAATCATGAATTTGCAAGTTTTACTTTTGATGCTAAACAGGGGATGCCTTATGGTCCAGAATCATAATCATTCAGAAAGACTCTACGCTTGATTCTCGTCGGATCTTTTGTTGGATCCGTTGTCATCAGCTTCGTGATATTTTACGCGAGCGGTTGTGAGCGAATATTTGAGGGTGACAAAATGGTAGACTATGTGGAACACATTGCATACATTCAGGTGGGTTTCGTATGCTCACATTTATGTTTTTTTCCTGAGAAGCAAGCATGGCCTATATAATTGAATTTTTAGGTTTCCAACTACGTATTCTATGCAATTCCTCTCATATCGTCAGTGTTCTATTTGGGTGTGTTCAATTCGCTGCGACTCAAGCGAGCTGATGCAATCAGCAGACAGACGAAGGCAATGCTGGACAGAGCAGAGAAATGCAATTTGAAACAAGGCATTATGATACTTATCACTTATCTGGTAAGTAGCAAGATCTTGAAATGCTTTGTCAAAAATTCAACAGAAATGAACACCGAACTCATTGTGAGCGAATCGATAAGGCTACAAATAAGATGTTCAGGAGGAAAAGAACGTTTGTGTAGGGAATGCCTTTTGATTAAGAGGCATTGTCCTTAGCTCTATCCAACTGATTGACACACTTCTCAGCAGATTTTTCCAGCCTCTTTACAAGCCTACCACATACAGTGGTAAGAAAGAATTTGGCGAAGCTTATAGAACTATGTATGAGAGGATACAGATATATAAGAGTACAAAATTATACAGCGACATACACGAACACGACTACAGCCAAAGGAAAATACTTTCAGAGAGAAGATTTATTATACATGATAGATATGCTTCTCGATAACAGTTACTTGAGCTTCGCAGGTATAATTTATAAACAGGAGAGAGGCTTACCACAAGGGGCAGCGTGCAGCCCTCAAATGGCAGATTTGACTTTAGCCTACATGGAATTTGAATATATGAGGAGGCGAGCCATAAGTAGTGACGTTACGAATAAATACGCTTTCAACAACACATACAGATACACTGATGATATCCTACATATCTCGAAAGAAATCAAAGAGTTTGAGGAGGCTCTAAAGCAGATTTACCACAAGGAATTAGTGATAGAGAAGACCAATGCTAGCGATACCGAAACTAATTTTTTGGATCTCAGTGTTCATATAGTAGATAATTCAGTAAAGCTTAGTCTATATAATAAAACAGATGCATATGATTTTGATGTTTTGAGGTATCCAAAGTGGGCTTCAAACGTACCTAGATACATTATTTTCAACACTTTCAAATCAGAAATACTGAGAATTTATAGGAACTGTACAGAGTACACTGCTTTTAAAACTAGAATTATCCAACTTTGTAAAATTAGTAAAGACAACGGATGGGAAGAAAGCATACTACTTCGAGTTTTATGTTTGACATTTAAGGACCCTTTCATCTTACGTAAGTATGGCTTTTACGTAGCTTTACATCTTCCATTGGTACATGACATACGGGAACTTTGGAAAGCACCTTCTGTTTGATATTTTAGATCTTGCACGGTCTTTTCTGAGAGAACAATTGAACAGATACCATGGCACATGGATGAATTTGGCCAACCTCTCCTTTAGTTTTTTGAATTCGAGCGGGAGAGTGCACGTTCTGTCAAAAGATACATTATACATCTCATTCTCAGTCATTGGACTTCCTCTATTTCATCATGCTTGGACTTCATTCTTACAATTATGATGTGTAGGGCTCCAGTACCTCACTAGAAATTTAGCATCATTTGCACTTTTACACTTCCTCGGGAACTACTGAAGATGGGGCACCGAGGAAGTCACATACCCGGTCTAGTTCTTAGCCCCGAAACCGGTTATGTGGAAAATTATTTACTTCAATAATCTAACATCATAGATGCATTTCTATTACTTCCTTCAACTGACCACCCCCTTTTTTGTTTTATGCTTTTGGACAAGATATTCCCTCAAAATTTTAGAGCACATAAAAAATATTTTGAATCCGAACACTTCTTTGAGTAGAAAAAAAGCAGATTTATAACATTGGCACAGAAGTTCCGTCGCATCACATGCTAGCCATGAAAGGGTGAACAGCAAAAAGATGACCGAGCAGTGTTTGATAAAAGGCCAGCTATACAAGATGGTCGTTGAGCATTCATAGAATCCCTGATCCAAGGATCATAGCCCAATATCTATCGAGGTGTCCCATGACTTTTTTCACCGTTTCCAGTTTCTCCAATAACTCATATTGTTCTTGTTTCTCAAATAGATTTTGCAGTGCCATTGAACAGAGCAAAGCAAGCTCTTCAAGATCGGATGCATGTTCAAATTTCGTTACACATAAAGCTCGAAGCCGAAATCCAAGAAGAACTGAATGCCCGAAAAGTCGAGAAAAAATCATATCTCCGTACCAAAATTTCCTGTAGACTTCCTACTTGCTCAGGCAGTACTCTCCAGATCCGATACTCATCTGTAAACTCGCTTATTTTTCCATGACTAGAACTCCAGTTACACACGTACACTAAAATCGGCCAAATACGAAAAAGTCGTCTTTTTGGGAAATTTTTGCGTTAGTTTGATATTTCTCGAAAACTATCATCTGGAATGAGCCAAACATTCAGTTTACTTCCAAAGGTTCATACTATAAAATAACCGGTGTGGGAGCAGACCAGCTCAGCTGTGGCAAAACATTTGAAAAATTTTTCTCCCTTTCGAGCCAGGAATGAATTAACCTACAAGTAAAAACCCGATCTGAAGGGTACATGCCGGAACAAGAGGAAGTTGTAGGAATTTTTGAACGGAGTTACGATTTTATCTTGACATTCCGTTATTCTTGTATTTCGGATTGGAAACGTAGAACACATTTTGAGCTAATATTTGGGTGCTTTCTTGTAGAGCTTGCTTTGCTCTTTCAAATGATACCGCTGAGTCTACTTAAGAAGAATAATAGTATGTGGAAGAAATTGAAAACGTTAAAAAATTATGAGACACCCTTATAGAAGTATTCACCCTAGAAAATACTCTGTCCAAAAATGTATCTCTTTCCAAAAACTTCAAACGAGGCTCTAACTTGTCGTCGTATAGTAGAAACATATTCACCTTTATGCGTGCACTCGCTTTCCCAGCTTAAGACTGAGAAACACAAACCCTTTCACTAAAAAGTATTGGGGAACTCGGAAATGCTATATGCCGTCTAAGGAAAGGAACAAAGTGGAGCTAGGATAATTTTTGATATCTCACCCAAAATACATATCAATTACGTAATACTCTACTTCCATGCATTTCTATTTCTAGTGTAAATTCTCGAGGGTTTGATAGCATATGATTGACTTACTTATGGTTTCAGATATGCCTACTCATGCACGTGGCTTTGCAAATTTCCCCTCCTGATGGATTTTCGCACATGCTGCTCTCCGCACTGCAGGAGATCACAGCAACAGCGCCTCAGCTGGCAATTCCTATTTCTGTTTTGGGTTGTTCGCGAGATGCTCGAGCAGCGACCAGGAGATGCTACTGCACATCCTTGAAGCAGAACATCTCGTCGACCTTCGGCTTTTCGAAGATCACCAGAACTGGATCAGCATCTTCGAGAATACTGCCAATCATTACAAAGGAGAGCAAGACTTGAATGTTCGTCACTGCCTGATGAATCAAATGTTGAGTCTTCGCAGTAGTGTTTGTTTGGGATCTTGAAGTATCTGGTTTATCGAAGTAGTCGCGATCGGAGCATTATGTTGTTGTGCTTACTTGCTACTTTTAAGGATAATTTTTTTCGGATTGAAATTGTTTTCTACCTCTTTACACTAAGTTGTAGATAAATTTTCTCTGTTAAATTGCCTTTTTATTTAGTATCAAACTTTATGAGAGAAAAAAAAATCACTGCATCGCATGACAGCTTACATACAAGATGTCCCAAAGAAGTTTCTCGTGTCAATCGTTAACAACTCTCTTACTTCAGTGTCTTTCTCTGCTTTTGAAATATCATTCCGTGGAGCAGGCTTCAACATAGATTCTCTTCACTGTAGAGTGACATAGGAACTATGAAGAAGGTTTTGAGTAATCATCAGCCATGTGACTCTAAGGCCCGTATGCACGTACATCCCCGCGGGGAGGGGATGTGCGCTTAACCATTGAAATGATCCCCGCTGGGGCTCCCCTGCCTTCCCCACGCGAATTCCCGTATGCACAAAGACAATAACGGGGAAGGGATCCCCTGGGAATAGGGGAAGGGAATCCCCTTATGCAGAAGGGGGGATCGAGCGGGGAAATCACTTCGCTTCAGCTTTTTTGTGGTAATTATTCCTCTTTTCTTATGTTTTGATAGCTACTCGCCTCCAGCGTGTCATCTGCAATACTTTAGTTGTTGGGGAATGCCGTCTGCCGTGATTGCGCTCGGCGCACCAAAAATATTTCCTACGCACAATATACTCCTGCTGTTTTCATGGATGTTGCTCACTTTCGCTAATGCTGCCCGTTTCACGTAACAGTGTTCAACATTAGAAGTCATGATGTCTCTGCAGTGATCGCGTAGAAGATGTTATGCTGCCGAAAAAAAGGGGGGTGCCGCGGACATTCAAACGGGTGTATGCCAAGATGAACGATAGCTGGAAATAAGCATACTGTACTCGTGCGGTTGTCAATATGCCGCGCCTAAAGCCTTATCTTTGAAGCGATATGTTCTTCACTGGGTTGAAAATGGTGTCGAACAGTAAGAATAAGGCGGTACCGAGCTTCTAGCGTTTTTTCCAAAATTTTAGATATCACCATAGCGTAAGTATAGAATCCAGAAAATATTTGACCTAGGCAACGCATATGGCTGGCACAATCTATCGTTCATGTTGGCTGCTCCCCCCCCCCATTCAAACCAGCATTTCTAACATAGTAGAAGCTGCAAATCGTGCCAGCTCTTCATGGAGACTGTGCTATTAGCGATATACCGTCCATTCCCCCAAGGGAATGATCGCCAGCGGCCATCCCTGCTATGCACGAGGGCAACGCTGGAGTGGATGACTCCCCTGGGGATCTCTACTCAGAAATAGCCAAATCTGCTATTTTCTAGTTTTTTTTTCGAGGCAGCTTATGTTAAAATGACAAGATAAAGGCAACATGTCCTGAAATATGAAAGTTACAATGTGTTTAATTAGCCTAATGGCCAAAATTATCATGTCATATAAAAAATGCGCAATTTTCGTGAATGGTCAAGAACTCCAACGAATATTCAAAATTGGCAGCCATTATAAGCTCAGGTTTTTTTTCAAGAAGCGAACATAGAACAAGGAGATAAGATTGCAAGCTGCAGGTCGCCGAGAGAGGAACCCAACTTTTGAAGAAAATCCTTTCATCAAATGGAACGAAAGGCTTTGCAATATCTGATTGAAGCCAGAGTATTCGCTCTCTGGCATGACCTACACCATCGAACCCCTACTCCATCGTAGGGGATGTCGTTCCCCTCCCCCGCGTCTTCGAGCTACATTCGTGCATACGGGGAGGGGAAGGGAAGGGATCCCCACCGGGGTTCGTCCGATCGATACCTTTGAAATCAAGTACAGAATCTGAGGTAGCGAAAGGGTATCACACACACTGGTAAACGTTGGAAAAAACCACAAAAACTACAAAAGGCCACACACTCACGACTTCTTTTGCAGGAAAAGTGCAGCCATAACATGATTGCGAGAAAATCATTTCATGGACTGCTATATAGGCTCACACCGCTTCAAAAATCGTCATTATCACTACTGACAGCACGTAGTCTTAGAACCAGTGATATGGAAAAGAGAGAGAGAAGGAGAGAGATGTAAAGGGAGGGGTGAATGGAAAAGTGTGAGAAAGGGACGAAGGCACGCGAAATTAGTAGTCTTGTACATTTTGTTTCAAAAGCCATTCTGGTGCACAAGAATTGACCAAAAACAACTTTTTTGAGAGGCACTGAAGTAGCTGTGGGGTAGAAGCGACTAGCGCAATCACACCATCCCCGCTATAGGTGATCGCTCCCCTCCCCTCTTGCATAGCGAGGTTCAGTGAAGGGGATCGTTCCCCTGGGGATCCAGCTCCCCTCCCCTCCCCAGCGGGGATGTACGTGCATACGGGCCTAAAAAGACATCAGCTGGTCAAGCATGGGGTGCACGCCACATCCACCTTCCGTAGCACCCACTTAGCGCTTGAATTGGCAGGTGGGGTTTGGGTTACGGTGTACTTAGGGGATCTACTACCCAACACCATCAAAAACCAAGAAAAGCCTATTTTGCCAATCCACTATCGTTAAGCTGGATATTCCTCCTGAAACTTTACTAGAAGCATAGTAAGCTTTATAAAAGCTGTACATTCTCAAAAATGAGGCGTTTTTCGCTGTTTGTTCGTTTTGTTGAAAGGTGACAGGCTATTCTCTTACTCTAGCAATGTTTCTTCACTCACCAAGCTTTGGCACACGTTTACGTGTATGAGATAAAGATAAAGATAAAGTTTTCTAATCGTAAAAACTCGCGTGCTAGTAATATGGTTTTGCACACGAAAGCAACTCGAAGGAAGTTTCTTTAATTTTTTCTGACATCCGACGAGTGATCAACCTACACCGATTATAATTTTTGCACGAAATAGGCCAAGATTATACAATTAGTAGCCTTTGGTTCGCTGTAAGTGAGTGACAAAGGGACTTCTGATATTATTCCAATCACAGTAGAAACATCACAACGGATACCAGAGTTACAAAAATGTAGGAACCAGCAATTGAGAAGATCTTCTTCAGAAGAAACTCTCTGGTCCATCCATCTGCAAGTGAAAATATTGTTACCAGATATCTAACCAACAGTGATGCTCCACAGTTACCTAGTGTCGCCGGAAACTTGGTCTTGATGGAAGGCTGACGTTGCAACCTTCGTCGAACTTCTTGCACAGTGACAAATATAAATCCGAATGCAGACAAGAATAGTTGAACGATCAAAAATTGCACTGAAAATCATAATATAAAAAATGGCCATTTAGGGCTTTTCAAAAAGTTGGACACAGCCAGAAAATAAGATCAGTTTGGATTTACATTTGCGGTATCTATACATTCGTGATTTGCTTCATACAATATGAGATAAAGTTACGTTTAGGTTGATGGTATGAAAACAGTTATTTACAGATCTTCTCTGGAAGTAAATGCGATGATATTGATGAGCTCGAAAATAAAACTCACAAATTTTTGGTAATGAGTTGTAATACAAAGGAATCCTGTCGACAAAGTCTCTTATGAAGAGACCTTGAAATAAGAGACAAACGAGGAACAGAAACATTGAATGAGCAGAATCTTGCATGAGAGCACCTGAAAAATGGAGCGTAGCATGGCATCCAAAGGATATTCATCGCACGCAGAGACAGGACGCCATGGCGGACTTGGCGTCTCTAGTATCAAACTCTTTCATTCCTTTAACCGCCTGCCGTCTCTCGCTAACACGAACTATCTTGATCATGCGCATGGCATTCAGGAATGGAGGGCTATGTGTCGCGAAAGGCGTAGCCGCGCGGACATCTGCAACAAAGCGCGCAGCTCCTCACACCGCAGGCGTACAGATTTGTACCAGCTGCCCGCGCGGGGTAGAGCATATCGGGGATACATAGTCCCCCACCAGGCGTCCAGTTCCCGCGTGCGATATAGCCTATACAATGCAATTTTAATTCATTCAATACCTGCAATGTTGAAAGCGGCAAAAATCATAGCTGGTATCGTTTGTGTGTAGAAAAAAGCTGGCTCATGCCGAGTAAAGTACACTGACTGTACTGCTACTGTACTGAAAATTTTTACAGTAAGCAAATCATGAAAAGTTAAGGAAGAATCTTATCCACTTACATAGAAAACATGTCAGCTTTTGTGGTGCTGATGTTGCTAAAGTCATAGTAACTGATGCGTGATGTTACGTTAGTAATTTCCCATCCACTTATTCTTGGACGAGTGTCATTCCTTGTTAGCACATGACCTTAACAAATCACTTATAGAATTTATATTTGACTCGAGGAAAAGGTCAAAAGATTACGCAGGTTCACTGACAAATCCTTGTTAACTTGGAGACGACGGCCAGCGTAGAACACGACGTTTTTCTGATCTTTAGCAGCCATGATGAACGAGCAGACATGCTTGTCTCGCGGATAATTTGTCATATCTGGTGAGGACATTTTTAGCTAAGTACAGCTCATAGTATAAAATTCTCCCAAAATCCTCCCAGAATTCACGTCTCCTCGATAAGCACCAAAACAAGTATAGATACTCACAAAAGGGTTGTTTTCAGTGCCTAGTTTGGTTTTTCTACTTCAGATACCGACAAAAAAAAATCTGCAAATACTATTGTTGATGATCTTTGCAGTTGGGAAGCTCGAGTGAGGAAAGTGGTATGAGAGATCGCGATTTTTCCTACTTAAGTTGATATCAAACAACACATTATTAGAGTTGATATCAAACAACACATTATTAGTATTCCATAGTTTTTCAGAGTATCAAGAATTTTAAGGGGACTCTCGGGAAAAATTGGAACATGGATGTTGTAGGTCAAAAAGTCATGAGAATGCAACTGACGGTAGTTTTGTGTATTTTTAACTAGATTCCAGCGTAAGCGAAAGCCTCAACCTGAGCAGAAGTCAGTTGGAGGTACCCCAAATTTTCGAGTTCTGTGGAACTGAGCTAAAGTATTGAACTAGTGACACTGGGAGATATCACGCTTCATGAACACCCTTCTTTTAGAGACCATGCCTTACTCTTAAAGGCACCGTCCACCCAAAGTGAGGGTTCACGAGATTCAATGGCATGCTAATGTGGGCCCCCACACTAGGCCAACCCCCAAGTTTTCCCGCAAAAGATTGTTTCCGGAGCGAGAAATCCGCTCTAGAAGTTACGTGATACGTGATCCAGAGGTGGTCACTCCGCCCATTTTGCAGCTTTGGGGGCTGCGGCGCTGATATACGCCGGGCGATAACCGCGCCGCAGCCCTGCAAACTGCACTTCCACCCGTCCCGCTTTCTCCAAAATAGGGGTTTTTGGGATTCTCGACTTCATATTGGAAATCAGGGCCTTCAGAAGGCCCGGAAGCGACAAAAACATGGAAGTCGAGAATTTGGGTGGACGGTGCCTTTAAGTTCGAAGTCTTTGAGGGCAGTGTCCCGACAGAATTCCTTCTTCCAATCTTTCACCTTTTCGGAGCCTATTCGACCTGAGGAATCCATATGTGGGCTTTTTAGGGCTTGAAAGTGGCGGAAATGAGCTTTTTTTAAAAGCTTTCGAGGTCCGCAATTAATGGAGAAAAACTGTAGGTGGGCGGGTCGTGAAAGACTTCTTGCATCTTCACTAATTGCGGAGACCTAAAAAGCTTCGGAGAAAGCTCATTTTCGCCATTTTCATGAGCTGAAAAACCCAGATAGGATTCTTCATGGCGAGAAGGCTCCAAAAATGTGAAAAACTGGAAAACGAAATTTTGCCGAGACAGTGCCCATCCACTGACCATACACTCAACATAATTTCTAATGCTGCAGACCATTGCCCCTCTGGTGCTTGACATGCTATTCTGACATGCACATACCAGATCCCCACTGTTTTTACTTCTAATCTCATATCCAGGCACTCTCACATTGGACATTTTTGCAAGACTAACCCAAATAACATCCCACTCGACCGGTATATCTTGGACAGCTGATTACGTAGGCTGGCTCCTAAACAATTTTAGACATTGGATGGTCAAAGTCACATATTCTGCAAGCCGCTAGCATACGTTGGCTCTGAATGGTGGGACAAATAGTTTGATCCTCGTCACGGGTGCGTCGAGATGACTGTAGACACCAGAGAGGCTGAAAAGTTTTGTACATCAAACTGAGTCAGCATTAAGTATACAAAGTTTATGGGTATTTGTAGCGGAATTAATTTCTTGAATAGTAATCGGTAACTCAGAATTTTGCCGAATTCGGTCGCAAGTGTGAAAACTTTCTGATTGAGATTTCATAGGTTTTACGATAAAAGTGTGAGCCATGCGTGTCCGGTACGTTTGAACAAATCAGAGCTACTTCTCCTCCACAACAAAGAGGTGCTGAAATTGTCTGCTCAGGTAGTAAAGATTTTACAAGCAATGATTGTTAATTTCGCAAAATATGTCGTTGTATTGAACGAAACCCATGGTTGTATTGGTCAAGGCAATGGTTCAATTCAAAACATCAAAATTTAACACTAAAAAACTTTTATTCGACCGCAAGGCAGTCGTCTGTTATGTACAAAGTGCCCTAAATGATAACTCTCTTGCTTCAGTGCTTTCCGCCGTTTTAAGTGCTATTCTATAGAGCATGTCAACTTAATTTTATAGAGTGGACCGAATGTCTAACTTTTGGTCACAGTAGGATTACGGACTTCTGAACTGTAACTCTAAGTCGAAACCAGCATTAGAGAATGGTACCCGATTGGGAGAATGAATTGAAGCGGGAGATTCAAGAATGAACAAACAGGTGTGCAGATTTTTTGGGATACTGTGTGTAAAATTTTCACAAAATTTTGATGAAACTGTCTAAAACTTGCCGCGCTTAGAGCAGTTATTGAAAGCCGCCTATAGACTCAAATGAAATCACAAGCAATCCGAATCAATCAAATTAAATTGTATTCAAAAATGACGCAATTTTACCTTTGAATTGAGCTGCTAGGAAAGAAAAATCAGCTACAGTGTGCATTTGGAGTAACCTTCAATTGGGTTTTTCGGCTGTTTTGCGAGTTTTGATCCACTTGCATTAAGTAACAAAACAAAAACCTTTAGTGGAATCTAATCAACGCTTTTTGCTATGGATTTCTGCGATGGTTTTCTGCGAACCTGCATATTGCATATAAAGCTCAAAACCGAAGTTGAAATCATTACCCATTCAATACGGTAACCCTGGGAGTCCAAACGTCATAGGATCCGACATGCAAGGTGTCGAGGTTATTGTATTTTGCAGGGTCCCAAGTGATGTGGGGGTCGCGCCAGATCTAAAAAAAATGTCAATATGTATATCTTACTCCACACCGTCTCAAAAAGGATCCACCATGCAATAGCGCCCGGAAATCGACATCACTTGCTCTTTTTCGTTGATTGTCACATGATCAACACTGTGGAAGATGAACTGCACGTCTGTCTAAAGCATATCTTGTCTGTTTGCAGAAAGTTTTTACCTTCTAAAAAGTTGAAGTGCACGACATCCGAAAAGCATTATTTATGAACAGCTTGTCGTTAATTCTCTCTTCCCACTGATAAGGAATGCGCTTTTGCCTGAAGTAACATTTCGGGATGATTTCTATACCATTTTGTAGGAAATTAGACGCTAAATTCAAATCTGCCCTTGTTATCTGCTGCTCGCGTTTGTAAGCCGAGTTATGCGCGGTTTTCAATCGAAAAATGAACGCATACTTCTGATAAAATCAGTGGGGCCCTCCAGCGCTGAAGCAGACAGTGGCGAGAGCGGGAAAACTAGTCAAAAAAATCCTTGGCATAAAGTGCCCAAATACTCAACGGTCCTTTTGAGCAGTGTTTAGTGATTCTGCTTTGGTTGGGTGTTTATAACTCGGCCTCCAGAGGAACACAGCAGATAGCGAAGGCAGATTTGGAAAGCACTCACTGCTCTCCAAAAAAGCATATAGAATTCATTTGAAAGGGCCACTTCGACCAAAATCACTTTCCTTGTAATTCTTTTGTCGAACTCTGGATAACAATCTGTAGAGCTGGCTTCAACTTAGAGTGATAGTGTAGAGCGAACGACCGAGCGTTGTTATTACAGTCTCAACACTTGAGTTTTTGGTTGTAAAAACTATCCGATAAAAATTAGCAAAGAACACGAAAATTTTCATGCTTTTTTGTGCGTTTTTACACTATCCGGCTTCGGAGCCTATTAGTAAGAATCACGCGGTAGCTCTACTTCCTCGGTACCCCTCGTCAGTAGTTCCCAGGGAAGCTTCAGCAGAAATTAAAAGATGAGGTGTAGGTTACGAGAAAATAGATGACGGTGTATGATTACAATAAGAACTTTTAGCACACTGCACCATTATAAGATGCCAGTCGTTTCAGAGAGAGTTTTTGAAAATCTGCACAGCTTTATAAACAGGGCTTCCAAGCTCGCTGATATCACTCTGACTGAAGGAGTCTGGGAAACGTCTTAAATGGGCTAACCACACCGAAAACTTTGGAAAACAGTATTTTGATAAATATGTATCACCTGCCAAAATGCATTATTTCAAAATACAACTTTGAAACAGCGATTTTGATTAACCCGGTAAGAAATTTTGAGATGTTCGATACCTTATTAGATAGAATATGGCCTCAGTAGCTCAAACCCTTTTTTATATCTCCTACCGTAGTCCTACATAATTAATAATCAGTGATTCGACAGTAAATCTAAGTACCTGACTGTCGGCAAGAGGCCTTGTGGAAAGAGAGATAACGAACAAACTGTGCATACACACTTTCGGGGACAGCCTTTATTTTGCGAAGAAACCAACCTGCTGATTATCTGGCGCAATCTTATAAGATACCTTGCCCAGTACATCTTTCTCAATTTTTCGTACCCAGTTATGATAAGAGATGTTTCTGTCTGAAATAATTGTTGTCATGCAGTGTATACACAGTTCATGGAATACCTTAGACTATTGCTTTGGAGAAAAATTAGGCTGCAAGCCAACCAACAACTTTTCTAATTTTCAGTAAAATGACTTGAGTGGCATCAGACAATGTTTTGGCTCCATGCAAATCTGCACTAATTCAGTTGTTACAGTATAAACATTAATCTGTCTATAGCTTGCACTAGCTAAAGAGATGAATTCGAAATGTTGCAAGCTGGAAAAACCAATTTGACAAAAGTAGAAATCAGTGCTTTTCTAGTAAAGCCAACCGGCGCAACAAGATAACTGTCAAAAAAATGCATGAAACATCTCGGAATCACAAAACTCTATGACCAAAAAAAGGCTTAAACGAGATTAAATCCAAACAATAACGCACAGTTCACCCGGCTCAACGTCATGTTACAATTAGGGTTTTATTAAGGCACCATGGTGATACATATTGAGCATATGATAGGCGACTGACAGAACGAATGACAAACTCTTTTGCAGCAGCTATCCTAACTCACCTCTTTGCTTCGTCTCCTCATCGTCGACAGGATCATCATAGTAATGAATTTCTTCCTTTTGACCTAGTATAGTAGATAGTTGAAGAAGAACGATGAGAGCTGAAGCTACAAACATGTCAAGTTTGCAAGTTCTGTTTACGTTTCCAGAAATTTGATAGCCACACCGCTAGCGAACCTTATAGTCGAATAAACACATAGGACCATGGATGTTATGTATACGCATGATTAGCACTCATTGAAATTGAACACTTGCGAAAAACTTCAGAATTTTTTAACAGAAGATCTGATATAGACCCACACTGAGAAACGGTAGCTTCCAAATAAATTTTCTAAAAACTTTTGCTTGCTGAATTTTTTGCTCAACTGTGAGCAGTTGAGCATATTGTTGATCACAGTAATGCTGTAACATCCTATAACAACAAGCTGCCTTTCCTCTGAGGATTTCCTTAATATTGGAGAAAATGCGAATCTTCTGGTATCGAAGCTCTGGCGTTGGAGACCTACGTTACGCACCACCTTGCTCAAGAATGAATTATGAGAGCTATAAGCACAAATATGATGAAACATTACGTTTCTAAATATTTCTTATGCCGCACAGGTTGGTGTGGTGGAACTTTATTGACCTAACGTTTCGAACAAATCGTCTTCGTCGGAGGTCTTCGGTCCACCAAAGAGTTAGTAGTCCGCACTAGATCAGTGTGACGGACATCACAGACACTAGATAGTGCGGACTATTAACTCTTTGGTGGACCGAAGACCTCCGACGAAGACGAGTTGTTCGAAACGTTAGGTCAATAAAGTTCCACCATACCAACCTGTGCGGCATAAGAAATATTAGAACATCAATTTACAGTCAAAGATGCCCAGGTTTCAAGACGAGAACACATGAAAACATTACGTTTCTTTTGATGGTACGATTCTCTCTCATTTTTCTGAGAATTCCTTTCTTTTCGATTCGGACTAATTAGATCTAACCTAAACTTCAGTCGACGTTTTGCTTTCGGAACGGTGTGACTGACAACATAGTTATTGCTTCGGAGACTGGCTCAAAATATAAGAACTTTTGGTTATTGTTCATTCTTGCAGGTTAGCGTGTTCAAATGATATAGTTGCGCTCATACATTTGATAGTCTAGAGACAGGGCGTCAAAAGTGAAGGTTGTTTGAACATCTGACGTCATAAACAGTGAAGGTTGTTTGAAGAAGATCAGAGAAGAGATTATGAGGTAAAACAGATATAAAAAGCGAAAGAAACTGCTGAAAACCGGATAAAAACGCTGCAAAGAGGTCTGAAATCTTTCATTTGGCGGCTTTTCAAAGTGCAAATTTTCGCTCCAGGACCAGCAATTCGCAACACGGGGTTTTGAATTTTGATGCGTCCTTTAAATTTTTACCCCCGCATTGACGTTCCTGTTTTCTGGGACGTTGTCTGGATTGTTGCGCTTATTGTTCTGAGCGATAATCGCCCAAGCTGGAGAAAAATCGATGCGAAAGCACTGAAACAGAACAAGGTAAAGAAAAACGCACTTTTTACGAATTTCGCAAAAAAATCCACCATAATCAAAGAGGTAAGGGCTGGGTGGTTGTCTGCATTATGAACAGAAGCAAGATCTATAGAATGCACGAAAAAACCGCGTGAAAATAGTTAAACTAGGAGAAAAACAAGAGATTTTCGAAAACAAGGTTTTTGCCGGATTTCTCGATCATATCAAAAAATATGGTTCTGGGACGTTGTCAGCTTGAAAATAGAGATCAAGAGCTTCAAAATGATATATAGCTTGCTAAAATTGGGTTCGTAGCGAAGAAAAAAGTACCAGAGCCAAATGCCCCGCGCCCCGCGTTTGGGGTAGCGAGGTAGCGCGCAGCGCGCGGAGACGCAGACGAGCAGCGGAGACAGACCAGAGCCGACGGGGCATTTGGCTCTGGTCGTAGATCTCCGCGGAGTCTCAATGAAACCCTGCAACATTATATATCATTCTGATCGTCATGACACGACAAGGAGAACTGACAACGTCCCAGGCTTTGAAAATCACTCATTAACGAGATAGATCAGCATTTCCGTGCGCGACTCTCTGCGCAAGATTTAAGCGCAGTTTCTCGTTTTTATCAAACTCCAATAGCTTTCCTAAACTTCTGAAACTCGATTTTATTCAAATGAGAAAATAACTAGGAAATTTTGTCTTGAATTCGGGCGAAGATTCCACAGAAACCTTCTTTGTAAGGTAAAAAAGGCCATAAAAACGCAAATTCTCGGTTTCTGAAATAACCTAAAGATATTATTTCCTATATTTGTTTCATTAACGTTCGTTCTGACATAATCAGGATAATAACATCCGCTTTGCCCCGGATGACTTCTTTTTTTTTCAGGTGAAGGTTGTGTCCACCCATAGCCCTCAAAGTGAAGGTTACCAGAGTACGTGGCTCTAGGTATCGAGTGTATGGTTGCGCTCAACAAGGGAACTTCATGAATCTCAAAATACAAAGGGTACTTCGTTTCCACAAGGACGAAGCACGGCGCTGCATACGGGTATCCGCAAGCGTAGTCGTTAGAGGGCGCGGAAATGTTGAAGGTTGTGTTCGAACCACTTCGCGCCTCGAAAGTGTGCTTCCTGCGGAAACAGGTTTCGAGTGTCGCTCTAGTTGGATGGCGACTCAAAAAAAAAAACTCAGTGTTATATAGGGTGTCCCAAAAATGCGTCTACTGTTTGGTTTTCAATAACTCTCTTGTCATCAAGTCTTTAGGGATGCTTTAGGTACCGTTTTATAGAGCTGCCTATAATTTAAATTTTCAGTATGGAGCGAATCACCGACTCCTCTCCAGTACTATAGGATTACGGTAAGAACTTCGGAAGGGGTCTCAAGCCATGGAAGTCCAGGCCATATTTTGACTGGAAAGGGCTCAGACCTGAAAGCTACCACACTAGGCTGGTTACTTACAAGCTACTGATTCTAAATATGAGATTGGTATCTTATCATAATGCTTCGTAGGAAAGAGATCGTAGATAAGCAATAGCAGCCGTTTTTTCTTTTGATATTTCTGAAAAATATGGCCATACCGTTTAGAAAGCTTCACAATCTCGTATAGAGCTGAGAAGCAAGCTCAGCGTCCATGAAAACCGTATGACACAAGTTCCCAAATTTTTCTTGAGACAAAACAGCAGCTTTTCTGGAGTGACACCACATGTCGAAGGATCCTATAGTAGGCGTCATCCGTCTAGTCACCTCGGTGCGATGTGTGTTACTGCACACAATTTCAAAATTCCGGAAGAGGTGCTGGGCTCCCGCCGTGCCGTACTTGCACCAAGTGCGCATACGGCTAAAATTCGACGCCAAACTGCCCGATTTTCTTATTTTGATGTTTTTTTTTGTTTTTAGGTGCACGGACGGTCTAGTTTTCAATGATTTCTTACCTTTATACTCGTGCATTGCCGTTTTAGATCAAATATCTCAAAATTTATAATCTGCTTTCAGGTCAGGGAGGAGATAAGCAATCTTGCAAGATCTTGAAGAAAGTCGCTATCCTCACTACTGTCGTATGTAGAAAGAGTAGAGTATCTCTTAAACAGTACGAGTTTTTGCTTAAACCAATCCCACTATAAACTTAGAAGAAGTTTTCCAATAGGAGCTCGGTACAAAACGATTTCAGTGAGAAGGAAGTTGGAACTCGTATTGTCTACGAGATACTCTATTCTTTCTACATACGAGTATACCGAAAAACTTACTTCACAATCCTGCAAGATTGTCCATGCGCCTGCCTTACCTGAAAGCCGAAGTGATAAATTTGAAGATATCCGATCTAAAACGGCAATGCACGAGTATAGAAGTAACAAGTCGTTGAGAACTAGACCATGCCTGCAGAAAAAGTGCTCAAAACGAAAAAAACAACATCAAAATTAGAAAATCGGGCAGTTTGGCGTCGAATTTTAGCCGTATGCGCACTTGGTGCAAGTGCGGCATGGCGGGAGCCCAGCACCTCATCCGGAATTTCAAAATTGTGTGCGATAACACACATCGCACCGAGGTGACTAGACGGATGACGTCTACTATACCATAATCTTATAGTATAATCAGAAACAATCGAATATTGGCTCCATGTTGAAAAATCTAATTGTGAGTTAAAGCCAACTCTACAAAGTGGTACTTAAAGCTTTTCCAAAGAGTTTATGAGAGAATTATCAATCAAAGGGTAGGGACTTTTTTTGAGAAACCCTGTAGTTATGTGTTTGAATTCACACACAAATGCAGGGTTAGTTTCAAATGCATGCCATCCAATGCATTAAAACCAAGTCTGAACCAAAGAATAACCTAACAACCTGATGTATTATAGTTAATTGGTGGGTAAGCTTTGCGAAAGCCGCAATATAGCTTCTATACATATGATTCATCACTTAGGTGCGACAGTATGCAGTAGAGTGTGGAGTGTTTACTGGACTTTTATTACTCGTACACAAAAGATCAGTTCAACTGTACAAAAGTGACTAGAAACAAGCTGTACAAGACAAATTCAAAGTCATCCCGCAAAGCAAGAATAGTACAGCGAATATCGAGAGGTAATAGTAGATGCACTTTGATAACAAACAGAAGCAAAGATTACTCAGACTTTGATTTCCTGAGTAAAGTTTCCCTTAGAGGGAACAAAAATATAGCCATATGGCCAACAGTGGTTGAAAGTGAGCCTATCAGTGCAAATGATGAAAAACCAAATGTGTCCAAGATAGTTCCTGCGATTGCCGGGGCAAACGTTCGAACCAGGGAGTTGAAGGAGGTGGCAATGCCGAGCACCAGACCCTAAATAATAATTCTTACAATCAGGAAGCGAACAGTGCTACTGAGGGAATTCGTAACGGATACCTGTTCATTTTCAGCTACAAGTGCGGTGAGAAGACTGTCAGCGACTGTGGCGACAAGGCTCATTCCAAATGAGATAAACGGCATGATGACCACTATCATCCATAACCGGTGGAAGAAGAAGAATAGGAGAAAAGCGGCAGACTAAAAAAACGGAACAGAGATCAAGATTCATAAGGGATCTTTGCTCGGACTTCCGCTTTGAAATGGAATTTGGCAACCTCACACTTGGAAGCAGTAAATTTTTTTAGAAAAGATGAGAAATGATGTGAGCGAGACTAGCCAAGATGCACATTCAATCAAGCTGTTATTTTTGAGAGACATTGTAAGATAACTTTACATAAATCCTACAGTTATGAGAAAATTATTTGAAAAGAAATTTTGCCGATTTTGAACTGAAGAATGTGTTTTCAGCCGTGGTTGGTTGTGGAAGTATGTATATTCCGGACTTCAACAAAATCGCGTCAACAAAGAACCATAAATTACTCGCGAAAAAGTTATTACTTCCATTCACTCATCGTCCTAAGTTTTCCTTCAATTTACTCATCTCCTTTATGAAGGAGATGAGGAAATTGAAGGAAAACTTTAGGACTTCAGCAAAGTCTCATATTGAGTATGAAGGGCACGAAGCGCCATTCAATGGCGTCATTCTTACACTGAACGGCATGAATTACAGTAATCTTGTTATGCTACGACCCAATCTCTTCTGATGTCAAATTAAAGCAAAATAAATTCGTTGCTTTCAGACAGTGCCACTTCTTTCAACGTCTATGTTCATGGACTTATTTCCACGTATGCATGTTGCGAAAAGCAAACTTCATTTGTAAACTGATACAAGAATACAAACTTACGAAGAAAATCATTCCTATGAGGAGTAGAGTCTGTTCTGTAAACCTTCTCCGCATCCAGATAACACCAAAACCGTTACTGCACATTATGCATATGCCTATATACGATCTGGTTAATCCAGTTATTACCAGGCACCAAGGAATTTCTGAGATAGAGAGGACAGGGCACTTACCTGTCATCATCTGTATTAGTTGTCCAGTTTGGGCATCAGCATTAAATTGATCGATGAGGTAAAGCTGAACGACTATATTTAAATACCGCCGTCCAATTATATTCATGCGAAATTACCTGCATGATAGAGAATATAAGAAGCATAGGAACAATAGGAGCATTTTTCTTGAACATAATATTTAGCACTCCGGGTCGATTTAGAATACGAATAACATTAGTGATGCTCATATGGTTACTAGATTCTTCGGTGACTTCCAGTTGGTGCTAAATAAAAAAAAATAGTTGAGTTAATGCTTTCGGCCATTAAAAAATATCACCTCCTCGTAAGACCTTTTATCCAGCAGGTATTCCAGTACGGCAACGGGAACGATGCAAAGAATAGCAGAAAGTATTATTGGAGCGCTTTCATTCAACATCTTTGTGGCGATGATAGAAAGTAATGGGGTTATGAGGAAACCGAGACCTGAAAATGTCTTGAAGGAATACTTTCGTTTACCAAGGAAGCTAACCGAAGGTGAGCCCCATCCTTCCAAACGCATTAGTTCGCTCCTTTCCTGGCGTAGTCATGGCAGAAAGCAATGTCTGATGCGCTTGCTGACCATGCATAAAGATGCACGGAATTCGACTCAAGAGTACTGTTGGAAGATCCTGAAGGTACTTCATCTATATTTATATTTATTCCAACCTATATTCTTGGCACTTTTGCTGATAAAGAATAGCACTCCATGGTCGCAACCCACATAGGAAAAATAGAGGAGAAATCCCGAAAGCATTGTAGACCCGTAGCAGATAAGCAATGACTTGCGAATCCCAAATTTTTGTATGACATAGCCGAATAGCGGTCCCCCACACATTTGTAGCAAGCCAAATGCTGTCTGTACATAGCCTGCAAACAATATCAATTGAATCAAGGTCTCGATGTTTACAAAATTTTCTACTTCACTCCGAATTACATATAACCGCCATAACTACAGTTTCTCTTCATTTTTTGCTTTACTAACAACAAGTTGGACTTTGGAACCAACAAATCATCTCACCATTTTCAGTATCCGAAATTCCCAGTGATTTCAGAAAATATGGCATACAAAAGAATTGCATAAAAAATGTGACGTTGTAAAGTATGGAAAGCAAATAAGCCAAGGCAATGGGTATTGGTAGTGTTACGGACAGATAAGTCACAGTACCAAACGGATTCTTCTCCGTCGACGTTTCACCCATAGCTGCCTGAAAATTGTCAGTGAAAAAAGGTTTCATGACTTTCTCCACCAAAGAGATGCAATTGTGTTAACAAATGGTCATGCTCGTACATATTTAATTGAACAACTGGGAATTGCCTTCAAATATTTGCATGAAAAAAGAATTGATCTTTATAGAGTTTCAAATGCTGAATGATTTCAGCTGCTGAACTTCGAATCATTCATTTTGACTTCTAAAAGCACATTACAATATATGTGTATAGCAGTGGCGGCCTGGAATTTTTTGGGAGAAGGAGCACAAAAGGGCGCGAGGAGGGAGCATTCAATATTTGAAATTCGGAAATTTTTTCAGTTGTTCACAAAAGCATCCGAGTAAAAGCATGAAAACATTTGAAAGTTTTGTGCAAGTGACTAGTTTTTACTTGAAATCAAATTGGCTGATCCCATCCAACCTTTCCTTTCCTTGAAATTTCTGAGTTACGGGCCCGCAAAAAATAATCTTAAAATATTTTTCTCCCCGCGAAAGAATTTTTCGGACCGCCACTGTTGAATAGTTGTTATATAGAACAGATCATGAGGACTAGTCTGAGCACTCATCGAAAAAAGTAGGTTTGTGTTTTATTGATTTTTTTGCTCGACCCTAAACAGTATATGGTAATACTAAACTGCATAATGGTGGAGAGCCATCCGCTAAAAAACGCTGAATAGAATCCGCTGATATGAACGAGTGTTGGAAATTTTAGGGCAAATTTTTGTGGTATGCTTTCAGTACCAATATAAAACGGTAAAAAATGACATGACATGACAAAATGACTTGCGTTGCATCACAATTATTTGTGATGCAACGCAAGTGGACATATATAACAATGCTCTCAAATGTAAACAAATATCCCTTATTGAATTTCAAACATGGTGTACCTTCAAGATGCAATGCAAAGAAAGGAGGCAGCAAAAGATCCGTCGGTAATGTCATTTAGTTCGGGAAAATTTCGGATTTCCACTTGAAAAATGGGTTGCAATGACTTTTCCATTCAATTCTTTATATCTCCTTTCTTCACTTTCTTTCGCGCTAACATCTTAATTTTGTGAAGAGCAGTGAAATAGCATCGGACCCTATGGAGCTAGGAATTGTCCCAGAGCAAAGGCTGATGCAATCAGAAAAAGCTTCTAGGAGAATCATTGTCAGATAATGTGAATGCTGAGAGAAACATTACTACAAAGTGAAAACCTAGCGACATTAAACGATAATTTTAGTATCACTGTATCTTATTTTCTTAAATCTCCATAGAACTATACCAAAATGCTAGCGGTAAAAAAACGGTTTAGCAGGGGTCTAGCAAAAGGTCGACAACTACTGATATCTTATCACTTATTGGCGCTGACTAGAAATCATCCCGTCTGTTTTCGTTATTTACAGCTCTATAACGCGAAGCACTTACTTTGGAAAATAGAGAGAGGAATAGTTACGGCTTGCCTTCACTTCAAAACTTCGGGTCTGGCATGAATTGGTTTCGAGCGCTTTCAAGTAAAGAATCCTGCAAGTCCGCAAAATTCTTATAAACTCGCATTCAAAGTAAGGTGGTCCCAAAATCACTGACGCTAAAATTGAATTGTTCGGATTTTGGAAGAGAGGAATAGAAACAAGCTTCTTCAAACTCGAACGGCAAGCCTGATCTATCTTATAAAAAGACAAGAGAATCAACGAAGTTTTTTGGAAGAGATTGTCAGTAAATAAGCCTAAAAGAGCTGTCCAAGAAGATAACTGCAGCAGGGTGCTTTGATGCATTGTTTGAACGGCTTAGAAGGGTTGAGTAGTGTTTCTACTCATGCAATTTGAGTGCTCAATTTGTTCAGTACACCTGAGTTGACGTAAGCGCGACCAAGATCATTTAAGAGTTCATTCTCCTAAAATTTTAGACCAACACCTTCAACAAAGACTCTAGAATTATTATGAAAATCTACTCCCACTTGCAAAAGAAATTCCTAGAAGAAAGTTAATTCGCTTGCTCGGTAAAAATTCCAAAACAAATTTTGCGAAAAATCGGCACAGTTCCTAATCACAGGCTATTCACAGGCAGATTAAAGTTACTGATCGTTATTAATTTATAGATTTTCCAAGCAAACTTTGATTAACGCCTGGGAGTTGATACAGAAAGAGGGAAGAGGGGGGGGGTGAATGAGCATGCCGACAACGGCAATTTCGTCTGCGTGATTAATAGCGCGCCACGCCCCCCCCCCCCGATTCTTCAAAAGTACCAAACAAAGTGCATTGGCTTACTATCTGTCTTAGGTTACCACTTGCTGAGTTTGGTGGCTTTTGCTGGAAAACGGACCGAACTACCTAAGAAATTGTTCCTAATTGCATTTTCATGGGTTTTTTACCCTTCAAAATTGCTGTTTGAAACTGTTTTCAAGATAGCAAGATTGAGTAACCCATTCAACTCTCTAATATATCTCCTTTTAAGATATGAATACTTTTGGAGTGTTATAAGATACTTATTACCTATTTGTTGTCCATCTGGCAATAAATTCGCGCCTCTTAACATACCCCCCTTCTCCATCAGCTTTTTGCGAGAATCAGGATCACAAGCTCAAAAAATGGAAGCACGAGAGGGGAGGGGAGGAGGAGGGGCAGGGGAGGAGGAGAGAGAGGGGAAGGGCAACCCCACTCCCCTCTTCGAATTTCTGCGGAAAAATCGCTGCATATCCAACGCCATTATCAGCTCACTTGCACGTAGGATAATGACAGAACGTTGGGTTAATTGAAGCATACTTTCTATTTGAGATCAGCATGGTCACTCGCACGTGTGAAAAATTTGCAGTGCCAGCGCATAAAATGCTAAACTACTTGGAATAGACTCATTGATTTACAACCAAAAGCAGCCTAGGTTCTTCCCATCGGAATCGGTCCAAACTAAAATGATGCATGTCAAGAACATATGTATGTCGTGGAAGATGAACCCTCCCATCAAATCATTCTCTTGCCAGATTGTGACGTATGAAACAAAGCCAAAAAGTGTTCTCGGTGGTTTCCCGGAGAAAGTCATCACAGTCAGGCGCCGTACTTGATCCACTTCATCCACTTCGCTGTCAAATCAATGAGTTGACCAATAGCGAAAAGGATGTATAATACTAACACTTGATCTACTTCGCTATTGGTCAGTTCAGTATTTGACCAATGAGATGGATCAGGTGGATCAAGCAGATCAAGTGGATCAAATGTGGCGTGTGCCACACTCAGCAGTGGCAACGCCGAATATAAGCAGCACTTCATTCAATCTTTTCTAAAGACTCATAAAGAACTGAATCATAGTTCTAAGTTGGAGGACGCATATAAAACTGAAATATAGTTCTAAATTAGAGAACGCCGATGGGCTCCACTCGCGAGGATAGCTGGCGCGAGCTTCTGGAGGTGCGTTTGGAAATTTTATCTGCCGGGGAAAAAGCACCCGGCCGTGTTCATAAAAGACTGTGTTCTCTTCATCCATCATTCATGAGCAGCGCTTTTCGAATGCACATGTATAAAGCTTTGCCAGACCATGAATGTGCTGTTGATCGCGGATGCTCACGCAGTACGCCCAAAGGTGGTAAATCACGAAAACTGAAGAGGTCCCCATACTTCTCAAAATCGTTATGCTGAACGGAAGCTAATATCTGGTGGCCGGAAAGCATCTTACATGAGAAAGAAAACTGATGTGAGAAAATTTCGTTGAAGTACAACGTGAGCAGTAGCCGCAACCGCTACGACCGGGTAGGGGAACGAAAGCCGCCAGTTTGGGCCGCCTCCGCGGACTGCTGGTCATGGAACGACATGAAACAACGCTGCGAAAGGACCAGTTGGCCTCGAAAGACGTCTCAAACTGGCGGCTTTCGTTCCCCTACCCGCTACGACCTAGTATGTCCTACAGTCTGCCCCAATCCCAATCAGGCCAGAATTGGCATGGCGGGATCCGCGTCGCTACGTCGTCGCCGTCGTCGTCGCTAGGTTTTGCCTCGCACATACGGCCTGTTTGCCCGCTCTCTATTCGGCCGCGCGCATACGCAGCGCAAATTACTGGCGCTGCGTGCGCGCAAATTTAGCAAACGGTTCAGCCTCATCTCAAATGGGGCAGACAGTCTGACATTCGGTGCGTGCGGCGCGCGCTTGTTAATGGCCAGCAGTGCGGCCCGCGCGCCTAGATTTACGGGCGGGCTCATGTACCGTGCGGCCCGCGCGCCTTGTATCCTTAGGTAGGTATCAGAGTAAGCGAATATTTTGTTCACGTTGGGGTCCGGCGCAGAATTGACGTCACTTGGATTGACGCCAGCATGATGAGTGACGTCCATTCTGCGCGGGACCCCAACCTGAACAAAATATTCGCTTACTCTGGCACCTACCTTAGCGTACGGCCCGCGCGCAATATATTCTCCCCGTGCCGCCCGCGCGCTTTTAATTCTCACACGCTATAAGCGTAATAGGTACCCGCGTGAGGTACGGCGCTATGATTGGGCTGCTCCATCACTGTGGAGCTGACTTACAAGGGAAGTTCACTTAGTCGAAGTGGCGATTCGGAAGGAGATCTACACCAGTGGAAAGAGCTTATAAAGCTGATCTCAGATATACCTTCTATATCTGCGATGCGTTGTTCTGAAAAAAGTTATGAGCTTTTCTAAACCTAAATTTTCGTGCATTTTGAGTCGCAAAATCAAGATAATCGTTACACAGAAGTGTGCAAGCTTGAGCAAACCACCTAGTAAGCATTGAAGGTCTTATTCGAGCTCACCCGAACGCTTTCGAGTGTTTTTCGACCATGTTGTTCAACCACAGGTCGTCATTTCATTCCTAGATCACACTTTCATTATGTATACAAAAAAGCCCCATAATCTCCATCTAGAAAAACGTGTCGCGTCGGAAACTTTTTGGAAACAACCGATGAATAGAACGTAAAACGATGTTCTCAAATATATCTTCAATATCTGCAACGCGCTTTTATAGATGGAGGTTATGGTTTTTTTGTATATATAATGGAAGTGTGATCTAGGAAGGATATGACGGCCTGTGAATAAACAATATGGTAGGAAGACATTCGAAAACGTTCGGATGGACTCGAATTAGACCTACAATGGTTACTAGGTGGTTTGCTTAAGCTTGCACACTTTTGTGTAGAGATTATTATAATTTTGCGACTCAAAATGCACTAAAATTTGGCTTTAGAAAAGCGCATAACTTTTTTCAGAACAACGCATCGCAGATATAGAAGGTATATCTGAGATCAGCTTTTTAAGCTCTATCCACTGGCATAGATCTCCTTCCGAATCGCCACTTCGACTAAGTGAACTTCCCTTGTTAGGTATCATTCCTTGGCATTTGAGTAATCGCAGGAACATAAGAAGTTTTTTACTTCTACGGAGGTTACCCCTCGACAGCGTCCCAAATGGGTGCTGAATCTGAATTTTGAATTCTGTGAATTCAAATTCAAATTCTCGAATTTTTTGAATTCGGAATTTTTTGGACTTTGAAGTTGAGAATGCTCACGGCATGACGAAAGAAGAAAAAGAAGATCTATGAAAGAGACTTATTCTCTAGTAGCTTGCGGACGGAGCGCTTTCGATACCGTGTGGCCCGCGCGCATTCACCGTTCGGCCCTCGCGCATTCACCGTTCGGTCGCATTCACCGTTCAACAGCTGTTCCGAAACCCACTGGGTTCGTTGATGAATACGGCCACTGGTTTAACCGTTCGTGAGGTTCTTTCGCTATTCGTCAGATCAATGAATTCACCAATGACAAGTGGGGTGAACCAGGTGAAACGGTTGAACCGGATGAGTCTGGCACCTTCCATAGTCCTAGATTCCTGGTGTTGCAGATGCGATCCACGCCAACGTTTTCAATTGAGTAGGCTGAACCAAGTGAAACGGTTGAACCGGATGAGTCTGGCGCTTTCCATCTCCTAGATCTCAGGTGTTGCAGATGCGATCCACGCCAGCGTTTTCAACCGATCTCGAGTGCGACAAAGTGTGTGCTACACTGGATGCGCCTGCATTTGGGAAATGATGACTTTGTACATGTCATCGGCTTCACGATTTAGAGGCGGAGTCGTGGTGGCTCAAAGCGTTGCGGTTTTTGATAGCGTGAGAGTACGAAGAACAAAGCTATAACGTGGGAATTTTAACAAGTTTATCCTTATCAGGGATGGGAATTCTAAGAAATCCTTATTCAGGGGAAGACCGCAATCCGCCTCCATACGAATCTTGGAGCCGATCATGTTTTGGTTACGAAAGACAGCGTATTACAGGGCACTCAAATTCCTGATGATGCCGGGACCGCGCGCGACGCGCACGCACCTCCATTTCCTGGTTTCTATCTCTATTTGAATGATTTTCTGCTTACATGCGATAGTATTTAGACACTTGAAGTGACTGAGCTGAACGATGAAGTGACGTCTGTTTGTATGGGGGGGGGGGGGGGTTTAAGCTCATGCGTGTGCAAAGACCGCAGTCAAACTCGTCGTCACGATTGTAAAAATGAACCTTACTTCTGATGGAGGATCCAGCTCGGTATCACAGAGGGTCATACAACTAGGAAGATGATGAGGGAAGAAACCACTCTCAGTATATGGTCTACAAAAATTCGGTGAAGTTGGAGAGCCGTGCAGCGCTGGCTCTGAGAGTCAGTGTAACGAATGTGCACATCTACTAAAAGATATATTGAGATGGAAAGTAAATTTACAAAGCAGTAATCGAACAATTTCTGAAAAAATTAGTAAATTTTATGCTCCAACTGTCCAAAAGACAAAGCCTCATCGCGGAATTACGCATCTATCAACTCGTCCAATAACGTGCGTGAAGGTAATCGCTTTACGAAAGAGTTCAACCTTTCCGGTGAAAAACCGAAGTAAGATTTGAGAATCAGAAGCAGTATTTGTTGCGGATTTTCAATGTGTTTGATCTAATTGCTCGACAGCTCGAGTACTGCTCAACAATGCCCTATTTTACTCAAACTTATTTTCAACCAATCCATCACCGCTCGCCATCTGGCCGAGTTGTTCCTTCGAGCTTTTTGAAAAACAGCTGGTCTTCTGGTTTTTTTTTTCGTAGTCAAGGTTCTCACTGTTCTCAACTAAATCGCATCTTTCAAATGTAATGTCTAATGTTTGAATTTAGGAGAATCACTGAGAACTTAATTTATCCAATTGACTCCACTTTAATATGAGCGGTGGCATCTACGGCGGAGGTTAGTTTTTATGTAGAGTTTGTTTCAAATTATTTTCTTTTGCTTCACCTTCCTCCTTTTATATCATATTCTTGCATATTCTCAATTACAGATGAGGTCAGTGGTGTTGTTTTCGACGCTGGATCTCATAGCTTTCGTGTTGGTTTTGCTGGGGAAGAGTACCCAAAGGTGGGCATTTTGAGTGCTCATATGTTTATATAGTTTGTAAACTTATCTGTTGTTTCTGGAAACATTTTCAGGGCGACATTCCGTCCTACATGGCAGTGCAAGAGGTGGAAGCAGATGGTGATGTGGAAATGAAAGAAGGCGCGCAACCTGATACAAACATCAAAAAGAAGAGAAACGTCTTCATTGGAACTACGAAAATAGTTGTTCCGAGGCCTAAAACGACCATTGAAACATTCATGAAAGATGGGATGAGTGAGTTTGTGTTTATAATAACATATAGGGTTTTGTTATATACCTTACACTTTTTAGTTGAGGACTGGGAGATGTTCGAAAATCTTCTTGATTATTCTTACAACGAAGTATTGTACAGTGAAGCACAATATCATCCAGCATTATTTACAGAAAGCGCGGTCAGTTTATTGGTCGATGCGTTTGTCGTTCATTCGAACAAACCATACATATCATTAATTTCAGTGGAATGACAAAGCGAAAAGGGAACGTTTGACTGAGCTTGCTTTTGAGAAGTACAATATTCCGGCCTTTTTCTTGGTGAAAAATGCAGTGCTAACAGCGTGAGTTTTCATTGATTCCGAAACCGTGTATCAATTCGATTTTGCATACATTATTCTCATGCTTGAGGTTTTCTAGTACATTCTTGCCGTTTTCAAAAAAACGATTTAGTTTGCTAATCGATTTACTGTTTACTACTTGCCCTATATGTATATATGCAAAACACCTCAGAAACTGGCTAGTCATTGGAACTGAAATGGTGGGCTAGTCTTGCAACATTTGGCGTTCATGTCGCTTTGTTAATAATCGCCTGACTGAGTAGAAATTTTCCGCTTGGAGTGGACATCGCCTTGGGTCATACTAGGTTGAAAACATGTCCGCACTTTGGCGGCGAATCTTTGCACATCAGTATGGGTACTAATTGGGACATGTATGCCGTTTGGTAGAGTGAAGTGCCTAAAAGCTGGTCCTTATCCTGAACCTGCAAATAATCAGTTTGCATAAAGGCGGTAGGTAAAGATGCAAAAGAATCTCACTCAGTGAGATTCCTCTTACCAAAAACCTGCGCATTCTGTCGATCAAAACATGGGAAATTTTCCGTATTTATCTGATCCTACTCCGAACATGTCAATATATTATATACAGACGAGTACGCGCACATTTACTTGTACATTTTCTAGATCTTCGTCAACTTTAGCGTAAAATCTGTCGTAGTTATAATTTAGTTTTGCTAATGGTCGAACAAGTGGATTGGTTGTTGACAGTGGCGCTACTCAAACTTCGGCAGTTCCTGTTTACGATGGATATGCTGTCACTCATGGTATGACCGTCTTCCGTCGCGTTTTGTTTTGATACAAACGTTTGCATTTTTAGCTGTGGTACGCTCTCCCATTGGAGGTGATGTCATATCAGAGCAACTGCAATATATGCTTGACGAACAGAAAATAGAGTTGGTGCCCACGTACTTGATAGGTGGAAAGGCAAGTCTTGTGCATGAATGCTGTGCGTGACTAAAATCTCAATATTCTCGTATGTCAGGATGAAGTGCTGGAAAATGAAGCGCCAAGGTGGACGAAAAAGAAAAACTTACCAGAAGTGACTGAAAGCTACGATAAGTTCATGAGGAAACAGGTATGACATCATTAGCGCTTCTACCTCTTAAAAACTTAAAAATGAATTTTAATACTGATTATATTCAACTAACATGTAACTTCCTTATGTAGATCTTGGAAGATATGGCTGTCTCAATTTTGCAACTTTGCGATACTCCATTGGACGCAGAATACGCAGAAAAGTTGCCTTCGGCTCCATATTCTTTCCCAAATGGATTCACGAAGGTGAGGAATTTTCTATGTTTGGCCATATCGATTCTGTCAGCTTTTATATCTTTTTTTAAAACTTTGTTTCGTTTTACTGATCTTACATTATGTTCCGATATGGTTGCAAGTTGATTTTTTGGAGCTAGGGTTAATCATTTCGCAGATTGTATTTTGAGTGTCATACTGCCTGCGCTTCACTTGCTTCTTTTTACCGTATCTAAATTCTCACTTCTCTCACTTTATACACCTTCCAGCAACGTCAAAAATGCCACCAAAAATATATTTAACAAAAATTATCAAAAATGCCTTGTTGGGGTAAAAGAAGGAATGTCTGTAGAAGGTTATAACGGTTAAAACGATGTCATTCTTAAGATTGATTTTGTGCCGAATGCGAATTTCCAGCGGTTCATAATTATACGAACACCTCGCGAAGCTCCTTTCTTCAGTCAAAACCGCGATAGGTCAAGTCAAAATTTTTTGAAGTTATAGTAACAAAGTTTGAGATTTCTGCTACATACTATACCCAGCGCATGAAAAGAAGACCATTACTCTTCTCAAACGGCCAAAATGCTCTTGGATGCTATCGGTCTAACAAGTCTGTTTTTCTGTGGAAGCACTGTAATTAGCTTCTAACGATGTTGTCTAGTAAATTCAGCCTTTTCGATAGATATTATGTATGACGCTTGGGTAATCTTCGTGATCTTTTTGCGTTTTCCAACCACGTTCCAACCTTACCCTAATAATGAGAACGATTTCGATCTAGATCTCAGTTTCTGTAATCCTAAGCGAGGATAAAATAAGATAAGCAAGCTAAGCATAAGATAAGCTAAGCACACATTCTGTACAAGTTTGTAAACTTTTGTATTTGGCCGGAAAAGTTCTGCAATTCTGAGTGTTGTTTTGGCCACGCAGACGTCATCTTGCACAAATAGCTGTTCCTATTGCAATCAGCCTTCTAATAGCCATTCAGCTCCAAATTCTCAAGATTAGCTTACGAAAAATCCAAATACTTCAGCACAGACACAACAGCATACAAGCAGTGCACTCAATACAAGCACTGCACTAGCAATACGAGCACTTTCTCATCGCAACTCTTAGCGCAAGATAGAAACTGACTATTGTGGCTCGAAATTGCGCTCACTCTAGGGTAAGGTTGGGATCTATTTGAAAACGCGAAAACAAGAACACGGGGATTTTCCAAGAGTTGGACTAATCTATCGCAAAAACTTACATTTCTTCAAAGCATCGTTAGAAGCTAATTAGTGTGCTTCAACCATGAAACCGGCATTTTTGAATCGCACTGACTCGAAAACCATTTTGAGCCCTTTGAGAAAAGTAACGGTTCTCTTCTCAAACTACTCTGGATACAGTGTGTAGCGGATATCTCAGACTTTTTTTAATGTAACTTTAGAAGAAATTTTGAAGGGTTGCAGTTTTGACTAAAGAAAGGAACTTCGCTTGAGGTGTTTGTATATTTATAAACCGCTGCAAAGTCACATTCAGCGCAAAATCATTCATAAGAATGACACCGGTTTCCATTCTTGTCCGCATATACTACTTTCGGCTTTGCTCTTTACGTAGTAGCGATGGTTCTTTGAGTCTCTTGCAAAAAGTCTCGAAACTTAAAATGTGGGTGTTCGTATAAGTATGAACCGCACTTTATCTCAGTCATATCCTTGTTTTTGTTATTTGGTTCCTCGTATGAAGTCTCATTTTTGGGCCAACCCGAAGTTAGTGTCATCCATTTGTGACCATTGTCTTCGACACTCAATGCTCTTAATCTAAGAGTTTTTATTGAAACAAGTTTTTTTTTTCTTGAGGACTGCGGAGTCCTTATTTTTTCTCAATTCTCAGGAGTTCCTTGCCGAGCGGATAAAAGTCCCGGAAGCATTGTTCGATCTCAAATACCTTCGCAACATGCCAGCTACGCAATCCACAATGTTAAATGTAACGCAGATCGCAACAACGGCAGCGGGAATGTGTGACATAGATATCCGACCAGTAAGCTTTGTTATTATTGCTTCGTATGGTTCCCTGATTGTCTTCGTTTAGACTTTGTACAGTGGGTTGATGGTGACTGGAGGTAACTCGTTGATTCTTGGTTTTACGGAGAGGCTCAATCATGATCTGGCCCACAAGTGCCCACCGGTACGAGCTTTTGGTCTTTTGACTCAACTGCTCGCGTCTCTCTCCTTGAATAAGTTATACTAATTCTGCATTTTCAAGACGATCAAGCTGAGAGTTTCTGCTGCGCCCACCCCCATGGAGAGGCGGTTTGGAGCTTGGATCGGTGGCTCGATTTTGGGGTCTTTGGTAAGTATCACGACGCAGCATGCAAGGAACGAATTATACGGTTTTAAAACAAATATTACAGGGATCGTTCCAGCAGATGTGGATTGCCAAGTCGGAATATGAGGAAACTGGCCGAACCATCGTCGAAAATCGCTGTCCTTAATGTTCCTTTCTTGTGAATCCGTTTCAGTTGGTTGTTTTTCTTTGAATGGTAGAACTACGGATTGCCTTTCAAATTTGGACTACTACCTTCCATGTTATATTTTTGTTTGTGAGAGCTGTTGTGAAAGAGCAGCGCGATTTGCTTGTAAGAATTGATCTCCTTTGCACTTGACTGAATACAGTAAACTCCCCACTTGCATATTTATACTTCCCATTTCCGCATGTCTATTGGAAATGAATTCTCAAAAAATTAACACCCCTAGTTTCAAGGTTTAGTCCTGTATCTTTTCTTCTATACTGTCTGGAATCCTGCTGTAGCTTCACTCGGTTGAGATGTGGTTACTAAATTTGCTTCTCCGGAAGGTGAATGCAAGCACGAAGGATGAAATCTTTTTTGTCTCAATGGAAGAGCATTCTAAGCCTCTTTCGCAAGAATGCTCCTGGATGAGCTCGTTGAAAGGATTTAAGAGACTAGAAGGTTGCTTTTTCTTTCAACGGTGATTTCAAATAAATCACGCCGATTTAGGGCCAAGGTTTCCTGATGGTTCTATAAATTGGCAGTGCCCTTGTATGGCTGGTGGGTCACTCGTTGCACACAGGTATGTGGCGCTGTGCGTGGAGTCAGACGCTTATGTTGACAAATCGTTGTTATACGATTTGTCAGCATCAGTCGTGACTAGGGGAGGGCATGGATTTGGACTTACCGTTAGCTTTTTTTTGCGAAGATTGTAAGGCTCAAGCCTTTCAGCAGAACTTCATCCTTTTTTCTTGGGCTCTCTATCTGCAAATCATCCGAAGGCACAATCTTTACTCATTCAGAAGGAGCAGGTATTAGAAACAATACCGGTTGCTCCGATTTTTGTCGCAAGTTTTAGATTTTTTGCGACCAAACAGAAAAAGAGAATTTCATTAATCTTCTTCTACCGCTTCTACCCGTACAATTTGAGGCCATTAGAAAGCCGTTAAATTGTTATCACGAAGAGATGTACTGTATTGTACTCATGATGTACTATTTCTAACAAGAAAGGGACCAAGCATCGGTTGGAGAAATCCGAATTTTTAAGTGGTGCGATAGAATCTTTGTACCAACCTAGTAGTTCTCGAGACAAAAAAATGTCAGCTTGTTTCATGCAGTCTCAAGCTTTCTTGCTGTAGTAACAAATGTGATCGTCACCATCGTCTATCTTCAAGTTTCAGATTTCTCTTATTGCTCAATTTGAAGCCAAAAAATATCTACCTATGTAAACCCAACTGTGTAATGGTCATCGTTCCTTGGGAACTACCTATTAGTATAATTATTACCACCACGCAGCCCAGTCCTCGAGTTAGAACGAAAGCACCAAAATCGAATGTAGATCAGCGGGTCTCTGCACGAGTCAAGTCTGGCCGGTTTTTTTTTTTGAAACGGAATCTCCTTTTACAGGGTGCGTCAAAAATCTGGGAGCCTAGTACTATTTCACACAAAATGAGAAGGGAAATACCTAGAAACGAAAAATTTAGCGCACACATAATTCGAACCATTACAGATACAGCTCAGTTTTTGAATGTCAACATTAACTCTTTACGCTTCCACACGGCCCTACAAAATCTTGGCAAGTCCACCTGTCATGGCACGCAGGTTCGTATCGGAATTCGCCCCAGGCCTTCAAAATGATTGCTTCTTTCCCTTAGCAAATGTGCAGCGTGATAGAACAAGCTTTTGTCTACAAATACTTCCAAAGAATTTTTTTGCATTGCATAGGAATAAAAATATCGAATTTTTAATTAGAAGCGTATGTACGTCGCATACCGGAAATCTGGCTATAACTGCGCGAAGGAAAGCGAAAAATTATCTTTCAAAAAGTATGAAAAGTGTTCCCTTGACCGAATTTCAGCAGATTCTTATCCAGAAGACGTATGCAAAGAATATAGCTTGGTCTCAGTGCCTGTTGCGCTTCTATAGATTTTAAACTTGTTCCGAAGACGGATGGCCACTGGCACGTAGGTAAAATTTGCAAACTTTTATTTCCGCCTAGCAAGAACAGCTTCTGGCATAAGCAAAACTACGATTCGATAGCGCAAAGCCTTTTCTATATTGTATGCATTAAAGTGTTGCAAAATACTGACAGCATCTCGAGCTATAGCAAAAATTGTAATTACTGAAAATTCTGGTTTTTTCGCTCTGTGTGCCGATGTAAACGGCACCTCTCTTTGTAGCCTATCACTCTTTCGCCAGATTACCGTAAAGGTCATGCCATAAGCATGACCTGCTGTGATACGAGTGTGTTTATAGCCCAGATATTTGTTATGATACTTTGCCACGCCTTTAATCGTCAGCATTCTACCACTGTCCCAATGCGGACAAGTCGTCTGACTCAATAAATCTGCCAGGCTAGTGTATTGTCCACACCTGCAGATATTCCTACAAGGCGACAACTACGCCTAAGGCTACGTCAACGTACGTTAGCCAATACATTTCTGGTGCATCGGCTAAACAAGACCGATACCATGCTCCGCTTCCAAGGACAAGATAGAAGCCACAATGGAGCAATTCCGACTTTACATCACCATATGGAGGATGTGAGAATACACGCCAAAAGACTCGCGGAACTACTACGAAAGTACGCGAGCTATGGTGAGAAAACATTATTTCCAGACGATGAACAGGAGCGACGAAAAGTTTGCGTCGACAAACTGCACGTACTACCAAAGTGCATCTTCGACATCATCCTGGGCTCACAACTGGCACGATCGAAGACCGAGTTGCTCAAGAAACTGTACAAAAGCGAGAAGTGCAGATTTACGAGGCAGCGGATCGCAGAAGATTTGGATTCGCTCAACAGAGAGATAAGTCAAATCACTAATGATGCCGAAATGTTTATTTACACACTAGAAGAATGTGAGTCAAAGGCAAAGATTGAACTGTCCAGACTGGAACGTAAAAAATCGTTCAGTTTCAACAGAGACGAGCATTTTTTGGAACCAGATACCAAAGAAGATAATTATAACGTGTCCTTATCCACTAGGAAATTCTCTGCCACAGATAGCTCACCTGCTTACGACGAAACAGAACAGAAATGTGCTACAGCGGACATCCCAATTATCGATGAGGGTGGCCTCAGCTGTGCGACAGTGAAAACGGAAGAATCACCAAAAACCGAGCTGCAGATAGTCGATGGCAACGATGATCAATCCACGGACGCAACCTTTCTCGTCCACGCTGTGGCATCTCGCAGGGTCATGGCACTTCAAGTAACAGAAGAAGCAAATACAGCCTTCTCCAATGATAAGCAAATTCCCGCTCCGTTTCCATACAAGACTGCTGTGCACATTGACGATATCTCTAAGCCCAATTCCTTATCATCCTATTGTGTTGAGTATAATAATCACAAAAATTTCATCATCTGGTTATTCCAACCATCTGCCTTCTGTCGTCGCCACGTCCGCTCACACTTCGCGGATCTCAAGACAGTTACTGTACGCGCCACTCAACAACGACCACTGCTCTATCCAGACAAAAAGAAGAAAGTGCGAAATGGAGTAGATTATTTGATGTGTTTTTATCATGTCCTCTTCTTCTTCCCTCTTCTGCTTCATACATGGCCGGCCGCAGTGTGCCGATGTAAACGGCACCTCTCTTTGTAGCCTATCACTCTTTCGCCAGATTACCGTAAAGGTCATGCCATAAGCATGACCTGCTGTGATACGAGTGTGTTTATAGCCCAGATATTTGTTATGATACTTTGCCACGCCTTTAATCGTCAGCATTCTACCACTGTCCCAATGCGGACAAGTCGTCTGACTCAATAAATCTGCCAGGCTAGTGTATTGTCCACACCTGCAGATATTCCTACAAGGCGACAACTACGCCTAAGGCTACGTCAACGTACGTTAGCCAATACATTTCTGACAGAAATGTGAGGCTGACGTACGTTGACGTAGCCTTAGGCGTAGTTGTCGCCTTGGTAGGATTATCTGCAGGTGTGGACAATGCACTAGCCTGGCAGATTTATTGAGACAGTCGACATGCTCTCATGGGAGCAGTGGTAGAATGCTAACATAAACAGGCGTGGCACAGTCACTCGACAATGTCTGGGCAATAAAGATACATATATCACAGCAGGTCATGCTCAAGCGTGACCTTTACGGTACTCTGGCAACAGAAAATAGGCTACAAAGAGAGGTGCCGATTAGAGCGGCACACTCCGGCCAGCCAAAGGAACGAAAAAGGAAAGTAAGCACAACATAAGCATTACATCATCTGATAACTGTTAACGGCGCCATTTATCCGGGTACCGTAGTGGACGTTGCTTCAGCGGCAGACATTTGAAGTTGGAACTCTGATAGGCGTAGACGATGGGACAGCTGCTCTGTCGTGTAGAAGTTGATCGAGTAACATCTGGATGCTGAATTGATTGTACACTCATTTCTTTTGAAGTTGAAATAGAATAGTGATCCAGCATCATCAGAGTTTCTTTGATGCGGCTGAAGTTTAGATTAGGTGAACGTCTCTCGTTGTTGATATCGTCCACTGCGTTTGCCTGCGGCACAAATGATCCAGTGACCTGTGTCAAGGTCACCCTCCCGTCTGCAGCAGCTTGTTGATTGCCACTGATGTTTCCACCATCAAACCTGCACTCGCTAACAACAATTTTAGTTGTTTGATTCTTGTCATCTTTTAACGTTCCATGACTGCTATATTTGCTTTCTGAAGTAGTTGCAAGTCGATGATGTCTATACAAAGTTTGTCCAATGCTGCTAGAAGTTGATGTGGCGAACTTTCTCCTGCGCTGTATTGCTGCCAGTTCTATCTCAATATCCGTCGTTAGCATTTGTAACTCAAAAACAAAAACCTGAGCATTGCCAATTGTTTGGAAAAATCTTATCTGTTCTTTAAGTGCGTCCAACTTCTTTGCCATGACTATTCGCATCATTTTGGAGCTTTCCTTGTAGAACATATTCATGATGTCAATTTTCGATTGTAGCTCTTGTTTGCCGGCTCTGACTTCCTCGATGCAGGTTGGTATTAGGTCCAGATGGTGTGAGCAGATCTTCTGCCGCTCTTCTTCATCATCTGGAAGAATAATTTCCTCACCATAGTGCTCATACTTCTGCAGTATTTCCTCGAGCTTATTGGTATATGTCCTCAGATCGTCTATGATGAGTTGGAGACTTGTATCGCTCCTTTGTAGTATCCGCTGTCCTCCTTGGAAGAGCATGGTATCGGTCGTGTTTGGCCGATGCACCAGAAATGTGAGGCTGACGTACGTTGACGTAGCCTTAGGCGTAGTTGTCGCCTTGGTAGGATTATCTGCAGGTGTGGACAATGCACTAGCCTGGCAGATTTATTGAGACAGTCGACATGCTCTCATGGGAGCAGTGGTAGAATGCTAACATAAACAGGCGTGGCACAGTCACTCGACAATGTCTGGGCAATAAAGATACATATATCACAGCAGGTCATGCTCAAGCGTGACCTTTACGGTACTCTGGCAACAGAAAATAGGCTACAAAGAGAGGTGCCGATTAGAGCGGCACACTCTGCAAAACTACTAGTTTGGTAATTTCCAATCTTACAAAAACATATGCAGCCATTTCCAGCTGAGTAAAGTATATTTTGCAGTGGATGACCGCAGCATCATGTGGCGTAAAACTGAAATCAAAACCATCGGTATCTTTGTAATTGCAGTACTGCAAAGTTAGGCTCCCAGACTTTTGACGCACCCTGTACTTTGCAAAAATGATACGACATCTTCTGCGACACGCTTATGAATGAATGAAACATAGATATCAAAGAAGTAGAACAGAGAGCAAAAACAATATCAAACAGACGATAAAAACTGATATGTTCATATCTGCCAACTTGACGGCGTACTGTCGAGCAGCATTGCCGTCGCCATTCAGAACTATGGAGGGGTGTCACACTAGGCGACGAGGAGTTCAAAAACTAGGTTGTAGGGTTTTGAATGTAGGTTAAGGTTATGTAAAGAATATGAAAAAATTGTGTGAAGAGAGGGAAATTTATATTCTTTTCTCTGATGCACCTCAGTACCTGAGAAGCCTAGCTATGAAAAAAGGTTTGCCACGTCTTTAGTTCACATGGTATGCGCTAGCGTAGAGTATATTGGAGCGGGAATTTGTTGGGTTTCCGAGAATAGGATCGGTAGGTTAGTGATGAGCACTTGCGACGTCTTTAGAAGATGAAAAAGCGGAATAAAGGGGGGGGGGGGAAGGAACTCGAGAGTGTGTTTGTGAGTGACTCCGATGACAATAGCGATGTGATAAGTTCTGTTTGTCAAGAGGGTGAAGTGGGACAACTCTTCGAAGTATTTCTGTTTGATTTATAGGTTGAAGTTGCTCACGTCCAGGCTTGTATGCCTTCCGATATAGCACAGTATAGATTTTCGGGCCACTACCCTAGGTCTCGGGGCGATTCCGTCATACAAGCTCTCTTAATGTAAGCGTCTTTGGTTCGTCGCGGCCGCCTCGCTTGGGCCTTGCACCGCGTGCGCGGGCATATGGGAGACTATCAAGAGGCGCGATTTTCCGACAGTCACCAAATCAAAACTCCAGTTTAGTGTTATGCGAGTCTTCTAAAAGTACCAGACAATGTGCGTTAGCTTACTAGCTGTCTGAGATCGACAGCTGCTAAGTTTGGTGGCTTTTGCTGGAAAACGAACCGGAATATTTACGTGTTCTTAATTACATTTTCATGGGTTTTTGACCTTCACAATTGCTGTTTCGAATTAATTCTAAGGTATTAATATTGAACAACCCACGCATCTGTCTTATACATCTCCTTCTAGATTTCAAATGTAGTCTGAAAGTTATGAAACACTTATTTGCTAATTGGTGTCCATCTGGCAGAAGAAATTTTGCAAACTTACAGCCAGTCGCTCAAGTCATATCACTCTTGGTTGCAAGCGTTTTTGTTGAATGAAGAGTGAAAAACATACAAACAAAATCAGATTCCTTTCATAATGGCTGCAACTTCTGCAGCTCGTGGCTGCCACTCCATTCTAGCCGGATAAAAAAGTGCTGATCGAGGCAGAGCTGGTACTGGAGTCGATCTTAAAGGCAGTGTCCGGGTAAAAACTCGATTTTGAGATTTTGCGCTTATACGGGCCTATTCGCCATGCTGAATCCGAAAATCCACATTGGGAAGCGCGAAAACGGCGAAAAAGGGCTCTAATATAGGAGGGAAATCAGCAGGTGGGCGGGGCTTTCCCCAGTGCGATTTCACGCTCCCAACTCCCGGAGCGATTTTCTCGATTCCGCTAGCCGTCCTAACATCGCTACCGGTCAAGTGCATTGACTGAATGATTGACTTGAAACCGGAAGCGAGAAGGTCGCTCCTGAAGCCGGGAACGTGAATTCGCAGGGGGGAGGGCCCCGCCCACCTGCTCATTTCCCTCCTGTGTTAGAGCCGTTTTTCGCCTTTTCGCGCTCTACAATGTGCATTTTCGAATTCAGCGTAGCGAATAGGCCCAAGTAAGCACAAAATCTCAAAATCGAGTTTTTGCCCGGACACTGCCTTTAAAGGCAGTGGCTCGGCAAATCTCGACCTAGTCAAATTTTCGCTTACCTGGGGTTATCCAATACGCTGATTTCGAAAATCCACTTCTACGAGCTTGAAAACGGCGAAAACGAGCGTTTTTCAACGCCCTTCCCTTCGGAATTGGACGAGTAGAACAAGGCTAATGATACTGGATCGTTGCGGGACCCAATGGTTATAGCATTGCAGCGGGCAGCCTCCAATAGTGAGGAGGAAATTGCCAACTCATCCGGGAGCGTGTAAGATTGGCTTGCGCGTGTAAGTTTGAGAGCCATGTTCTTGGCAGGGAAGGCATACTGTGCAACCAGGATTGCACTGTTTTCATACTTGGGCGATAAAGAACCTATCGCGTTAAAGTCCTGAGTTGTTGAATTTTGCCGATCGCTTTTAAACGAGCTGATTTGTGGGCTAAGAATTGAAACATCAATAATTACGAGAAAATGATCAAAGAAAATAGAAGACGAGTGAGAAGACGGCAGAGATGATACGCGCGAAAGCGGCGCAAGGCCCGAGCGAGCCGGCCGCGACGATCCGAGCTGCGAAACTCTAGCACTCTTTGGGATGCCTTGTAGCTGAGAAGGAAGTTGGCCATAATGTTGCCCAATCGCATCGCACCACGACTGTCTCAAATGCTTTCTTCGGGCGACTTGATGCTACGCACTCTGGTGCGATTTTGGCTGTCTCTCGCTCGCTCGCAAGAAAAAAAAATCGATCCACGTGAAGTTTGGAAGCAAAATTTGAAAGCTAGAGGTCGTGAAAAATCAGAATCGGTTCAAAAAACCCCTGACATTCTAACTTCTAGTTTGTCATGCATATGCTGTCAACTCAGATATACGGAAGTTGCTGTATTTTTGATGTTTAGAAATCGAGAGACAGAAACATATCAGTAATACGAAAATGTCGCTGCGGCTCTTCTAGTTTATCATGCTGGTTTTGACATTTCGCGTCAACTATAGTTTATAGGCTCAAAATTCATGATTATACTTGTAATTGTTCATAATATGGAATTACTTAGTGGAATCAGCACTGTTTTTAATAACATTCCGAATTTCGTCTCCTCTATAAATCTAGCTGAATATTCAGCAATTCTAAATATGAATGTACGATGTGATCGCTTTATGCCTGACCAAGTGAGGTCCACGAGATCTTTTCTGGATCGAGATCTAAAATTTGATCTTCTAAAATTTGCCACCTGCTTGTTTGCTTGTTGGTCGCGTTATTGAGGAAACTATTCAGGATTTAAAATTTTTTGCTTTTCTTTTGCGCGAACATTGTGAAGATTGCGATGTTGTGAAGTGTGGAACAGATTTTCTTACAATTTGCAGATGTGGTCATTACTTTCGGAAATTGTATGTTTGTATGTCGGCAGATGAGGAACAAGACGTAACCATCAGATGTCCTGAGCAGTTCGTAGACTGGGCAGCTTGCATGCAGAACATGACAGGTCAGTTAGATTGTTGAAACTGAACACCGCCTCTTGCACTGATGCTTTTAGAAGAACGGCGTATGCAAATGAGAGAGCACCTTCTCGAAGCTGCTGATGAAAAGAAGATTACATGATATTTCTTCTACTTGGTACTGTCATTAGGTTATCAAAGATGAATTAAAATAAAAGTCCCATGTGTAATTTTTGGCTTTAATCACGAAGTGACCGCCTAGAATAATTCTCTGTCTATCCGTTAAATGCGATTGTAATGTGACTGTCTTTTGAGGAAGAATGGACGACAAGCATGTTATTTATTTCATTAGTCAAGAGGAGCTACGGAAGCCGCTGTCCAGCGATCTAAAACATCTTCTCGATCCAAGAAAAGATGAACCAAGTGTGTCTTGAGCTGGACTATTCGTGTCGCATTGATGCTGGTGGTTATCGTTTAGCAGCGTTTCTTGAAGATGGACGAATTAATGAAGAATGCACTTGTTTACACTCTGCCTTGGCTCATCGATGCGGTCATCTGATGCGGGAGGCTATACGGTCAGTGCAGTCCAGATCGAATGCATATATTCAGAAGCAGTGCTAGGGGTAGTGAGGGGCTTTGAAGCAGCCGTGACGCCTTATGAATGGAAATCCAATACTCTGTCTGAGAGAAAACCCAAAACCGAGATGGGTTTGCGCCAGACTATACATATTTTCGACTTCAGGTAACATAGTGGAAGGACAGGCAAAGTTTATCAGTAGCAACCGATCATGACTCAATACACTATAAATTGACCTTGGCACTTGGGCTATGACGCCAAAAAAGGGGGGGGGGCTACGTCTCTATAACAGCTCTAACTTTCCCTTTACCTGTGCATTGATCCTGTGCTTTTGAGCGGTAATGCATGTCAGTCAAAGAGAGAATTCAGTCTGTACAGTATGCTAAAAGGCAAAACCATCATTAAAGTTTATTCTAGCTGTTTCAACTCGTCCACCAAAACCCCAAGAGGCACCGAATGCGAAGAGGAGTTCAAAGCGCAAGCACTTTGCGTAAGGAAGTATGGAGGAGAGAAGGAATCTTGGCATAATGAGCCGCGAATATAGAGTTTGCCGTGTTAGACATAATTGGACCATCAATCAGACCAGCCAAATTTTTGATAAATATTTTTGTTTGCTTTCTATATATTAATGGGATGTGTTTTGGTGATAAAGATTCTGGCTTCCATCAGACATATAAATGCACGTTTTGATCATGGTTAACATTCACGCGTGCTCTTTTGATGGTCTGTGTTTATCCTCCTCCCACTGACTTACCACTATACTTGGGTAATTCGATAATTTTTCATCGAATGAATGAATATCGAATAAATTCGAAAATAAAAAATCTCGAATAAACGAATATCGAATAAATTCGTAAAATCAAAAATATCGAATGAATGAATTTAGAATAAATTCGGAAAATCAAAAATATCGAATGAATGAATTTCGAATAAATTCGGAAAATCAAAAATATCGAATGAATGAATATCGAATATATTCGAACATTGGAAGTCGAATTTCGAATAAATATTCGAATGATTTATCGAATAACTAAAGCAATCACATCTCAAACTTGCCGACATATCTGGCCAAAGCCGATCCAATTATAATCGGCCCCCTAGTATCCCCTATACTAACTCCTAGCTCAAGATTTTTCAAAAATTGGTGAAATCAATGATAAATTTTATTTTTAATCAGCGTCCTCATTTACCCCTCTACCAACTCCCAGCCCCGCAGCTCAAACTTCTCCAAAAATCGATAAAATCGATAAAGTAAGTTTTTATCCATAATCCGTGAAGGTGCACGAGCCAGCTTTGAGCGGTCGCGCGCGTCGTGTAAGCGGCTGCACTTCGTGATCCTTGCGCGTTATGCACCGCACGGGTAAGAACCGCATTTATACACCTTGATCCTGCGGCTTTGTTCGACAGCAGACCTTATTTGTCAGGCTTCCACTGGATTTCAAAGACGTTTAGCAGAGTAAAGATAAAATTGGCTGGAGCTAAAATCTAAAAATGAGAAACATTGCAACTTGATGTAAGCACCTAACGAGTTGTTCGGATTCATAGATCTAGGTGTGCGATCTTTTGAAGCAATAAGGTGGCCACATATGTACTTAAATTCCACAAATGCTACGATACATTGCTTGTTCATCGGAGACTTTCGTTTTGTATGGTATACGCTAGTCGTAGACGAAGGCATGTGGTTTTCTCCACGAAGCGAGCACGAATGCTTCTATAACCCCGGGCATACTGCAGGCATTTCAGTGGTGACGTTGTATGGCAATACTCAAATTGTCCAAAACCTATTCTGAAAGTACAGAATGCAGGGCATCTATCATTTTAGTATGTTGTACACGCTAAACATTTGTGGTAAACTGCCATTACATCTGAAGACATCTCGTAACTGGCAAATCGCGTACGGCGATCTAAACCGTCTAATCCTGCACCACAACTGCGATGTTCTTTACTCAGTATACACCAATTCGCAAGAAACTCTAAGGTAACGAATAGGCAGTTTTGAAATTATTCATGCGAGCAAGATTGCTCACTAGTGTGGGCTTTGCGTACCGCAAGCATGAGCAATGCAAAAAAACAGAAGAACAGCCATTTCAATTCAGTATGAACTCAGAACATGAGCTTGAATTTGATATCTTCTTTGCTGATTTGGTGCCAATAGCAGTGCGAACAATCTCACTGATCGAAAAAACATCAATTAAACGTATGATTTTTTTTACTGTCGCAAGCAGCCGGAAGAATGCGACTCTCCATACAGTTTAAAGGTATGCCGGTGGCAAAAAATGCATTACCGAGTTTTGCGAAAAAAAAAAACGCGGACGAAGTGAGCTTGATACCCAGCATTTGTCTCTGCAACAAAGTCGAATAATCTGAATACGGAGTACATTCGAATACGAATTCGAATAAACATTCGAATAAAACATTCGAATAAAATCTATTCGAAACCCCGTTTTTTGATTATTCGAGTTTTCGAATAATATTCGAAACCTCGTTTTTTGATTATTCGAGTTTTCGAATAATATTCGAAACCCTGTTTTTTGATTATTCGAGTTTCGAATTTTACTCGAAATCCCGCTTTCTCAATTATTCGAGCTTCGAATATTATTCGAAACTGGAAGAACTCCGAATATCGAATTTCGAATACGAATATATTCGAATGTTTTATTCGAATGATCGAACTTCTATTCGATTCGGACCCAAGTATACTTACCACCATCCACTCGAAACTGGGCTTGGTGAAGTTTGGATGCAGTATGTACAATAGCGAAGCCGCTGACCAAGTATCGTTGATTCGTTAACCGCACGGACTGTATAGTTGGAATCGAATATCCGTATTCAAGTAATTTGTTCGAAATGTTCAACTATTCGAATATTCGAGAGTCTATTTAGTCGACCATTCGAGTAGTCGAACAAATGGAAAAGGCCTGTATTTGTAATAATTTGTTCTTTCGACTACATGGAAAAACGACATTTGAATATTCGAATGTTCAAGGAAATTCAAAGACACATTCGAATATTCGAGGAGTTTCGAAAAACATTTTTTCGAATATTCGAATATTGCATTGAACACTCGAATATTTATTTATTTAGATAGTCAAATATTCGTTCAGATTCGGTTATTCGAAAGTTCTAATTTTCTAGTGTGCCCGTATTCGAATACTCAATTCGAATAATATGAAAATCGGAAATCGAACAATATTCCTTCTTCGGAAATTTTACGAAAATCAATTACTCGATATTCATTCGTTCGACATTTTCTCGGAACAAAATTATCCGATATTCATTTATTCGACAATTCATCAAAATTCAATTATTCAGATTCGTTCATTCGATAAAAATTTCCGTTCTTTACAACTATAACAGACTGGACATCACTGCGGAGCAGGCGCCGCGAGGTAGAACGCTTGCCCCAGTACAAATCGTCATTGTATTACATGTGGTGCTCTCGCAAAAATTCAGCCGCGCTGCGCGTGAAGCGCAACGTTTGAGCAGTCCGTGCGGTCAATGAATCGACAATACATGTCCATATTTTCTTGGGTTATTTTAAAGCGAGGAAACGCTCTAGAAGGTGAGTGCTGCTTGAATTGCCAAGACAACGTGAGTGGCCTAAAGTGCGGTAGTATCATTCCTTCTCTGACTAAGAGACGCGAGCGCACTTTGCCTACATTGATCAACAAGTTCATGAATGAGTTTTAACGCGATTTGGCCAATTATTAGTAGGTATTCGTGAAAGAACGTGCTCGAGCCAGCGCGGTTTAACAAGAATAAACGTGCTCTTCTACGAATTCGTGGGTGTACCCTCGATATCATCCCATATGTCTTCCCTCAACATGACGTGGATTACGTGGCTTGATAAGGCGCCGCCTCGCCTCGGGCTTGCGCCACGTTGCGTGCGCATTATCGGCGTGATGTGGCAACAAGAAGAACGAGGAAAAGCCTGCGCCACGTTGTGTTGAGCGCCACGTCGCGCCAAATGATGCGCTCGCAACGTGGCGCGAGCCGAGGCGAGGCGGCGCCTCATCAAGCCACGTAATCCACGTCATGTTGAGGGAAGACATATGGGATGATATCGAGGGTATGTCGAAACGCGCGCGTTTCGGCAATCGTCACTGCCAAGCTGGATTGATACTCCACAAAGAAAAGGTTCCAGACTACAAGACTTTTGTTAATGTATCAGAAAGCGTAGCCGATGGTCACGCAGTTGAAATTCGAGACAAACAGGAAAAATCTGAACTCATTTCCAGCTTCTCTTAGTTAGGGGCAGCTGATCAATGCGCGCCATTCGACCGTTTCACCGAATTTCCTGGTAGAAAATCAACCAGAACGTGTTCAACTCATTCATGAACTTGTTAATGAAGTGTGCGCAAAGCGTGCTCGCGCCTCTTGATCAAAGAATGAATGGTACCTGGAAGTGTCGAAAGCGTCTTTCATTGTGGAAGGTAGATTTTACGACATTTAAATAAAATGATTCCATTCTTAGACTTTCCAGATTATACACGTTGGTATCCCAGCAGCGGTCACCACGCTCACCAGCGAATCTCTTAGAGCGGCTTTCTCGCTTTGGTATAGACCTTTGGCGGCGGGACCTTGCCAATTACCTACTAATTATGGACGCCACTATTGTACAGTATCAAAATCATACCAACTTCAGATTTGAGTGACTGGTACTTTTAAGGGAGGGGATTTCCCCTTGTGTGAACCCGAACTCGGAAACTCGTTGAACTGCAAGCAGTCAAAAGACTGGTGGTTTTAGATTACTCAAAAAAATCATGAACACCTGTGATCTCAGATTAAGGAACATAGCCTCTACGATCTTCTTTTCTTTGCTCAGGTTCAAAAAATCCGGTCCGGAGCCGATCCGGAGATTTTTAGGGGGCACTATAGACAAGGCTTTAGGCCAGCACAACATTTGCGTACTGTCGTGGTATCAACAACACCTTCGGATCATACACGCCTTATCAACGGCAGTGTCGGGTGCACCAGGATCTCCGCTCCCGCGCCGGATTCTGCACCTCTTCCGCGAACATGCTCTTCAATTATTTGCAATCGAATGGCTCCGTCTTTCCCATGCTCGCAGTGGGAAAGTGATCACAGGGCATGTTCGCGAAAGAGGCGCGGGGTGCAGACGAGGCGGCCGCGCAGGAGAGGAGAGCTGGTGCACCCGACACTGCAGTTGGTAAGACCTGTACATGCATTGCTTTCGTGCTGACGAACTTATAGGGGCCTGCAGGATCGCGAGAGTCGGACTTGCGTACGGCCATTGCGCCGCGCTCGTCAGATGCGCGTCCGACGACTCAGGTAGGTGCCAGACTTATCCTGTTGAAAACAGGTTCATTCGGTTCACTACCTTTGCTGTTGGACAGTATAGTGATTTGACCTATGAACGAACAAACCGGCTGAAGCGGATGAGTCTGGCACCTGCCTTAGTGACATCGGACGTGCGCGGCGCAATGGCCGTACGTACGTCCGACTGTCACGATCCTGCAGGCCTCTATACCAATGATTTTGGTGGTGACACTAACTGTGCGACTGATTTATAGTAGTGGGGATAACGATAAGAATTTTGTGGGGATAACGTACAACATCCGAAACTTGTAGAAGAAATGGGTGTCCCCAAAAAATGTGCCTACTTTTGATTGTTAATAACTCTCTTGTCACGAAGTTTTTCGAAAAGCTTTAGGTACCATTTTGTAGAGCTGGCTTCAACTTAGGCTTACAGTATGGACCGCATCACCGCGCTCTTCATTACTATAGGATTACGGCATGAACTTCTGGCGTATGGAGTCGTTGATTGCTACAAGACAAGTGTTACGAGTTCATTGCATGCCTTCTTGTATTTTGGTTGTGATAGTTGGTCACGATGAATCGTGTTGGAAAACTATCACAGCCGAAACGCAAGAAGATCGGCATGCAATGAACTCGTAACACTTGTCTTGTAGCAATTGAATCGCGACGATCAAATCGCGTGAACTCTGCTCGAGGCCAGAGATGATTCGCTCTACACTGAAATTTAAGGTGAAGCCAGCTCTACAAATTGGTACCTAAAACTTCTCTAAAGACCTCATGAAAAGAGAGTTATTAACAAGCAAACAATGGGCACATTTTTTGGGACGCCCTGTATGTGAATTAGATGGTTTAACGAATAATGCTGCAAATTGGAGACGAGACGGGATTCGCACAAGTTTTCTACCATCCATTGCCAACTTGTGCTCATAATATTATAGCTTTTGAAGTTTATTTTGAGTTGCTGACAATTGGTGCTTCCTACTGGTTGGATTATTTCATATCCTCAAGTCTTCAGACAAATTTCAGATTGGCTTTCGAACGGGATGTATGACAAGAGATCATTCTGAATTTTGGAATTTTGACATTGACGTCTTCAGTCGATGACTTTGTACAGTTATGCCCAGCAAATTACCAACGCAAATTAGATAACTATTCAGAGTATGGAGAATACAAACGAGGCATGGAAAATCTTGTCTGAAGGTTTGCAGATAGACAAATGTGTGTACAAAAAACATACGCATGGACACAAAGCTGTTGAAATGTTTATCATCAGACTCATTCTTTTTTCTCTTTTCTAACTACACGCATACACCTGCGGACTGCTAAAGATGTTAATTTGTAGGTAATAAATAAAATAATAATAGCTGCAGATAGTAAGGCACCTATCACATCTAATGAGAAATACTGGAAAAAGTTAAGATTGTTTCCGGCTGGAGTAAGGTTATCTAGTGTTTGAAACTCTGCTAGGAATTCGGTCCACTTCACAAGCAGCTGGCCAGGACTGACTGGCTTTTTCCTTACCATCAGTGAGAGTCGCTTGGCGTTTTGAGAGTATCTGGAAAAATTCGCTTTTGATCCCAACTTTTTGATAACTAATATTTACGGTAACTGCACTGATGAAATTTATCACTGTAGATGTGGTATGTGTTAATATTAATTTCACAAAAACCTGCTTCTCGTGTGCGCATGAGTAAAAAACAAAGTGCTTACTTTTCATTGGTGAGCACTTCATTAAGGGCCGCCACGATTGATGCTTCGTCTACTTGTCCCTTTCTAAGGTTGAACGCAAATCCGTGCTTCTCTGCTATTCTCGCATTCTTATATTGATCGCCGAATAGAGCTATGGTGATCAGTGGAACTCCGGAACTGATGGATTCCTGAATTTGTTTATTTCGAATGTGCTGAATTCGTTATGAACTAAATAGAGGGAGATCTGAATCAGTTTCGACCATTCATAGAGATATAAATAGAGTGCACCTATGAATGCTGTTTCAGTATTCGTCTTTCCGGAAACTTTTTTTGAAGTTACGATACTTTTTCGAGAATGATCGGCAAAGTTGCTGAGGACCAGAGGTCATTGACACTACTTTCCCCAACGAATTCAGAGGAATCGGTCGTGACGCTCTCATGTCTTTACCTAATAGGCAGTGTCCGGACAAGGTTGGGATTTACGACATTTCATTGTCATGCAAAAGTGGGACGTTTGACATTTCATTGTCATGCGAAAGTGGGACGTTTGACCTGAAGCAAGAATTCGGGAAGTTGGGAGACTTGGGGAGCCTCCCCGCTGTGGCATCCCTGCTATACTTGGGTAATTCGATAATTTTTCATCGAATGAATGAATATCGAATAAATTCGAAAATAAAAAATTTCGAATAAACGAATATTGAATAAATTCGGAGAATCAAAAATATCGAATGAATGAATTTCGAATAAATTCGGAAAATCAAAAATATCGAATGAATGAATTTCGAATATATTCGGAAAATCAAAAATATCGAATGAATGAATATCGAATATATTCGAACATTGGAAGTCGAATTTCGAATAAATATTCGAATGATTTATCGAATAACTAAAGCAATCACATCTCAAACTTGCCGACATATCTGGCTAAAGCCGATCCAGTTATAACCAGCCCCCTAGTATCCCCTATACCAACTCCTAGCTCAAGATTTTTCAAAAATCGGTGAATTCGATGGTAAATTTTATTTTTAATCAGCGCCCTCATTTACCCCTCTACCAACTCCCAGCCCCGCAGCTCAAACTTCTCCAAAAATCGATAAAATCGATAAAGTAAATTGTTATCCGTAATCCGTGAAGGTGCACCAGCCAGCTTTGAGCGGTCGCGCGCGTCGTGTAAGCGGCCGCACTTCGTGATCCTTGCGCGTTATGCACCGCACGGGTAAGAACCGCATTTATACACCTTGATCCTGCGGCTTTGTTCGACAGCAGACCTTATTTGTCAGGCTTCCACTGGATTTCAAAGACGTTTAGCAGAGTAAAGATAAAATTGGCTGGAGCTAAAATCTAAAAATGAGAATCATTGCAACTTGGTGTAAGCACCTAACGAGCTGTTCGGATTCATAGCGTTAGGTGTGCGATCTTTTGAAGCAATAAGGTGGCCACATATGTACTCAAATTCCACAAATGCTACGATACATTGCCTGTTCATCGGAGACTTTCGTCTTGTGTGGTATACGCTAGTCGTAGACGAAGGCATGTGGTTTCCTCCGCGAAGCGAGCACGAATGCCCCTATAACCCCGGGCATACTGCAGGCATTTCAGTGGCGACGTAGTATGGCAATACTCAAATTGTCCAAAACCTATTCTGAAAGTACAGAATGCAGGGCATCTATCATCTTAGTATGTTGTACACGCTAAACATTTGTGGTAAACTGCCATTACATCTGAAGACATCTCGTAACTGGCAAATCGCGTACGGCGATCTAAACCGTCTAATCCTGCACTACAACTGCGATATCCTTTACTCAATATACACCAATTCGCAAAAAATTCCAAAGTAACGAATAGGCAGTTTTGAAATAATTTATGCGAGCAAGAGTGCTCACTAGTGTGGGCTTTGCGTACCGCAAGCATGAGCAATGCAAAAAAAGAAGAACAGCCATTTCAATTTAGTATGAACTCGGAACATGAGCTTGAATTTGATATCTTCTTTGCTGATTTGGTGCCAATAGCAGTGCGAACAATCTCACTGATCGAAAAAACATCAATTAAACTTATGATTTTTTTTACTGTTGCAAGCAGTCGGAAGGATGCGACTCTCCATACAGCTCAAAGGTATACCGGTTGCAAAAGATGCATTACCGAGTTTTGCGAAAAAAAAAACGCGGACGAAGTGAGCTTGATACTCAGCATTTGTCTCTGCAACAAAGTCGAATAATCTGAATACGGAGTACATTCGAATACGAATTCGAATAAACATTCGAATAAAACATTCGAATAAAATCTATTCGAAGCCCCGTTTTTTCATTATTCGAGTTTTCGAATAATATTCGAAACCTCGTTTTTTGATTATTCGAGTTTTCGAATAATATTCGAAACCCTGTTTTTTGATTATTCGAGTTTCGAATTTTATTCGAAACCCCGTTTTCTCAATTATTCGAGTTTCGAATATTATTCGAAAATGGAAGAACTCCGAATATCGAATTTCGAATACAAATGTATTCGAATGTTTTATTCGAATGATCGAATTTCTATTCGATTCGGACCCAAGTATAATCCCTGCTATGCGGCAGAGCAGGCACACCTGCACAGTTCAAGTTGTAGATTTTCGGTGACTCTGCGTCTTAGCTTTGGCGGGGTCGTTCCACTTGTTAAAACTCAAATTGTAAGGTTTGGAAATTGGCTGTTTTGGCCTTTCATACTCAGCGTCGCGGATAACCCAGATAAGGAATTTTCTGGAGAAAGAGATTTTGCGGGGATACTGCTTCTCAGACGCTGCCTAAAGGCAGCGTCACACATCTACCTTTAGTAGCTACAAAGAGGAGGACTTGCACTGTCTTGTAGGCAGACATTCGATAGTCTAGAAATAAAGCCCCGAAAGAGAAGGTCGTTTGAAACTCCGTGAAAAGTGTGGATGTCTAAAAAAATTCAAAGAAGAGAGGATAAAATGATCAGCTAAAGTAAAAAGAACCGCTGATAACCGGGTAGGCTTCAATAAATTTGGAATTCCTTTGGTTTCTCAAGCGCTCAAAAAAAAGGAAAGCAGTATTTTGTATAAATGCCTTAAAAACAATGACTTCTCCGAAATGGCGATTGCCAGCAAGGAATAAACAGCGAAGAAAAAATATGAAAACGGTATGAAAAAATTTTGTTTTTCAAAGTCATTTTTTAAATTCACATCTAGGCATATCTAGTTTCGATGCGTTCTTTAAATAGCCTTGTCGTTTCCCTGTTCTGCTCATCATGCTGAGCTAGAAACTTCCAACCTCAAAGTGGTACACTCCCTCCAAATAAAGTTTGAAGAAAACTCACTATTTGCGGCTCACTCAAAATTTTGCCACAGAAGAAGTCAGCTTGGCGAGTTCTGCACTATACGCAAAGCAAATTTTAGGAATGCCTCAAACGCGTTATGACAGCAAACAGAGAGATGGAATGGTTCTGACAATGAGATTAGGGCTTCTTTTAATTTTTCATTTTATATCAAAACTAGCTGGCTTACCCGGCTCCGCCGTATGTTCCTAATAGAAAATTCCATTTCTTAACCGTGGGGGTGATCAGCATGCTCGATTACACCCCTCTGCCAAATTCCAGCCCCCTAGCTCAAATTTTGCAAAAAATCGATAAAATCGACATCGATCGATAACGAAAAGTGGACTGTGACACCCGCCGGGGCCCGAAGTGTATGTGTGCTAAGTTTGGTCCCGATCGGTTCAGAAATGGAATTTTCTATTCGGAACATACGTACACACATACAGACATACAGACATACAGACATACAGACAGACAGAAAAACAGACATTCAGCTTTATATATAAGATTGCAGTTCGGCGACGTTGTCAGCGTATAAGCAGACATCAAGATTAACAAGATGATATGTGTTCTAGCCAGGATTGGATTCGAATCGGCATAAGGCTATTGGACCAAATGCCTCATGGAGGCATGGGGATTCCATGAAGCGCGTGGGGGAGCTAGATACGCGCAACAAGTGGAAGCAGCGGAGCAGAAGAGCCAACGGAGCATTTGGCTCTGTTAGTAAATTTTCGCGGATTCTTAACAAAATCCTGCAGCATGGTATAACATTCTGTTTGTCATGGGCAGATGGAACACTATCAACGCCAACATGAAAAAAACACTTCTTAAAGGCAGCGTCCAGGTCTTTCGACTGGAAATTGATGAGGGGTCCTAACTAAGGGACTGCCCAAGGGGAGCGCAATTTGATCAATCACGGCTTAGAAATCCGTCCCCAAAAACCCCGCGTCTGCGCCGTGACCGCGCCCAAAAACGACTTCGCTCACTTTAACGCTACGTTCGCGCTGGGACCATTCCTAAGCGTTAAGGTCACGGCGCAGTAGTGTTTGTGGATGGATTTCTCAGCCGTGAATGAATTATTTGCGCTGCGGTTTGGGCAGTGCCTTAGCTAAAGCCTCCTCGACAGATTCCAGGCAAAAAACCCATATGCCCAGATTTGCCTGGATACTGCCTTTAACGAGATACATCAGCATTTTGTGCGTAACTCTCTGCGCACGAGACTTCTTGAATTTTTGATATTCAGACATAGTTCAGAAGGAGGTTATCCGACAAATGTGTTACCGTTTTAGGGAAATTTTTCACAAAAAAGCTTGTCTTTAGCACGAACGGTGTAGCTGGAATATCGAATTATTATCCACTTTGGTTGATTCGTTCACAGCAGCCGTTCTAGAGTTCTCCCCATATGCCTTCTGTTTTTTTTTCTTGGATGGAGATTGTGCTTTCTTAGGTTGATCGTGAAGGCTGCACAAGCCGATGCTAGTCGTCCGCCAAATATGGTAACGGGGGTCCGACTTGAAAATGAATATCTCACCCGCAAGCATACCAACGGTAGTTAGGCGCTCATAATCAGTTTCCACACGCAACCCCTATGTGCCCAGATTGCTTGAACGCTGCCTTCTCAGATTTGCGGACGCTGCCTTTGTCATGTTGTACATTATTAGGCAACTTGCAAAACTAAAATTCCCAGAGAATCCTCAACCCAAAACCTTCTGCAGTACTAAACACATATTCAAAGTATGCGTTTGTGCATTTTATTGTAAAGGTTTTTAGCTCAGATGGACACAGTCACTCTAAAAAACAACTCAATGTTTTTAGAGAGCGATTATTTGCATTGAAAAACAATTTGTTTGATAACAATACATATCTCTGTTATTTTTGGTTCATTGATTCGAATTTGGTTCAACGACAAACCTGAACACTATTGTACCCTCCATGAGTAATGAAAGCTTTCGTATTTGGGTGAAGTAGCAGGTCCGCTTGCGGTAGCCATCGGTGAAGATGAACATTGGGAGGAACGCGATCTATAAAATATAATACAGCCTGCCCCGAAATAAGAACAACTCAAAATACTTCCGGGGAGAACTGAAGTTCTGAAACTTCTGGGAGACACTCCTATCGAAGCCGCCACGTAGGGCGGGCCCACCCACACGGCCCAATAGGAGCGTCCGCCCTGGAAGTTTTAGAAGTTCGGTTTTCTCCGGAGGTATTTTGTGATTGTCTGACAAATTATAGTGGCAATCCGGGATTTCCTTGGCGGGGAGGGTACAGAATTTTTTGGGATGCTTTCCAGAATTCCTGCGTTCTTTCAAGAGCCCGGGATATCTGATGGAGCTGACATGAATTTTTGAGAGTTCTGAAAACTGTTTTATTTACAAATAAGAGCAAGTCACTTGCACAATTTCGTGCTCATATGGTCTAACTATCGCGCGCCTTATCCCCTTGGAGCCGCCAGAACTGGCAATGTTACACGTTAATGTCTTGCCCTTGAATAAATTGATTACTCATTCCTTACCATTCAAGTCATCACTCGCATATCTCACTAAGAACTCATAGTCGGGAAACTTGGTAAAAGCAGTTAACATGGCCGTCTTCCAATGCGCAGGCATATGTTCTGCATGGGCTACAGATCCAAAAGACATGACTATCATTCCTTTCCCAAGGTCAGCAATTCTTTTGAAATCCTGAAAAGAGCAATATGTAAGTAAGTAACACTTTTCCATTCACTTACGTCCTTTAGTGGTTTCGCATCTTTGAACTCGACACCTAATCCTCCAATGTTCACAACCTTCGCCAACGTCGGTCTTGGAAATTGATAAAGCTCATTTGAGTTGACCATAACCTAAACTGGGTTAGATCAAAAAGAATGACGAAAGTATTTACAATTGATTCAACTGGCTGAGCTTCGGCAAAGGCGGGCTTCGTGACCTAATTAAGGCTAGGTAAATGATCAGAGAGCACTCGCGCGCGAGAGACGCAGGTGCGTCGCGGGCGCGAGCGGCCTGCCCTGACGGAGCTAAACCAGTTGAAACAAAGATATATCTATAAATACAGGGTGTCCCAAAAAATGTATCGAACGTTTGATCGTTAATATCTCTCTTCCCAACAAGTCTTTTGCCTTGCATCAGGTACCGTTTTGTAGAGCTGGCTTCAACTTAGAGTTGCAGTATAGAATGAATCACCCATCTCTCTTCATTACTGTAGGATTACGGTAGAAACTTGAAACATATGGTGTCAATATGGAAAAAACTGCCGTTTCGAAATTTTTCAAAAAATTGTGAAAACTTGTGTAATAGGGTTTTTATGGACGCTGAGTTCAACACTCAACTATTCACAGGATTACGAAGGTTTCTAAACGGTGTAATCGCACTTTTTAGGAACATTGAAAAAATGGCCGCTACCTCTTACCTGGCATAACTCTTCAACGAAGCATCATAATAAGTTGGGAACTTTACAGTTATAATCAGCAACTCCAATTAGCCTAGTGTAAAAGCTTTCATGCTGTTTTGTTTCCTTTCTAAGGCAAAATATGGCCTTTCAATGCTTAAAACTCTCTTTGAAGTTTCTACCGTAATCCTACAGTAATAAAGAGAAATGAGTGATTTGTTTTATAATGCAAATCTAAGTTGAAGCCAGCTCTACAGATTGGTGCCTGAAGCAAGAGAAAACACTTTTTTAGAAGAGAGATATTAACGATCAAACGCTCGATGCATTTTTTTGGGACACCCTGTATTAAAACTCAAAGTTTGTGTGTAAGTTGCTAAAGATGTTTGTGTTTTATAGAAATCTTAATGAATAGACCGTTTGCGCTGAATTTTGCTCCCATGTAAATAAGCCACGCCGCAGGTCATAGGCTACTTTTCGCGGCAATTCGTTGGGTCCCTTCTATCGATTTATTGATTTTGTTTACTAAAATCTAGGAAAATGAAAGCTATATCAATCATTTCTGCAAGCATTGGGTTGTTTCAAAAGTTCTACCCGTTTTCGATACCTTTTTTTGAACTGCCAATTTTGGAGGAAGAAACCATTTTTCGTCTTATATATAAAGCTGAATGTCTGTTTGTCTGTCTGTATGTCTGTCTGTATGTATGTGTGTACGTACGTTCCGAACAGAAAATTCCATTTCTGAACCGATCCGGACCAAACTTGATACACATACACTTCGGGCCCCGGCGGGTGTCATAGGCTACTTTTTGTCATCGATCGATATCGATTTTATCGATTTTTTTGCAAAATTAGAGCTACGGGGCTGGGAGTTGGCACAGGGAGGTGATCGAGCATGCTGATTACGAATATAATAATGACAGGGCCGGGCGGAGCCGGGTAAGTCAACTAGTAAACAATGTTTATATCATTCAAAAGCTCTTTTCTAGTTTTTCAGGCATACTTTCGTTTTCATATATCTTTGTTCGTTGTGTGGTTGCGTACTTTGAAAGACAGCGAAACAAATGTCAAAATTTTCGTCTTTCCTCCTTCGCCGTGAAATCTACAGCCAAAAGAAAAAACTTCTTTTAAAACATACATAATGTTTGCTGGAGACTTGTGCTACGAAACGCTTATCGGGATATGATTTCAGAAAAATTCTGAACCTACAAATTTTTAGCTCAAACATAACCTGTCTTTATGGTTCCTTTAAGTCGCATAAAAATCATAAACATATTGCAATCGCGAAACTTTTACTCTATATAGTAAGATTAGAGCTAGAACAACTGCTACTATAAGGACGAAAAAGATTCTTGTTTGTCAACGGCGAACAAAATCAAAAATGTCAAAAAGTTGCATTTTTGGCCGCCTCAGAAAGAGCAAAATAAGTGGGCCCTTTCGGATTTTTCAGCACAAAATTTTTATGAAAGAGTTTGATGAAATCCAAAGTTAGCGGTACTGCTCAATCGACTATGGGCTACACTGTGAGCAGTGCTCGTGCAACGCAGCTGTATTCCAAATTAAGTTATGCTTTTGCAAAGTAAAGGTTTCTATAAGGAGATGTTTCTCGATTTTCGCCTATAAAATCTTCTCCACTGTTATCGCAATAACCTTGAAGAGTGTGCAGAATAGCCAAAGATTTGCAGATTGTAACACAGTTTATAGTATACTTGGGTCCGAATCGAATAGAAATTCGATCATTCGAATAAAACATTCGAATATATTCGTATTCGAAATTCGATATTCGAAGTTCTTCCATTTTCGAATAAGATTCGAAACTCGAATAATCAAAAAACAGGGTTTCGAATAAAATTCGAAAACTCGAATAATCAAAAAATGAGGATTCGAATATTATTCGAAAACTCGAATAATCAAAAAACGGGGTTTCGATTAGATTTTATTCGAATGTTTTATTCGAATGTTTATTCGAATTCGTATTCGAATGAACTCCGTATTCAGATTATTCGACTTTGTTACAGAGCCAACTGCTGAGTATCAAGCTCACTTCGTCCGCTCTATTTTTTCGCAAAACTCGGTAATGCATCTTTTGCAACCGTTATGACCTTTGAACTGTAGGGTTACATTTTTCCGATTGCTTGACAGTAAAAAAATCATATGTGGATTTTAATTGATGCGTTTTCGATCAATGAGATTGTTCGCACTGCTATTGGCACCAAATCAGCAAAAACACTATCAAATTCGCGCTCATGTTCCAAGTTTATATATTGGAAGTGTTTTGAAATGCCTGTTCTTGTTTCTTTGCATTGTTCATGCTTGCAGTGCGCAATGCCCACACCAGTGAGCACTCTTGCTGTATAAGTTATATTGCACAACTGCCTCTACCTTAAGGGCCGGGCATATTCCGCGCGATTTCATTCGCGACGCGATTTCGCAATTCGCCAGAATCCTTCAGATCCGACACTAGCTATCTGCACATGCATGTGTATAACTTATGTGGACTGATAAAAGCCCTATCTTCTGTACATTCAAAGTGTGCTTACAGTGAGTTATGGACAGTTGGAATATTGCCAAATCGCTTCGCGATCGAAATCGCATGAAGTGTGCCCGGCCCTTTAAAGATATTTTGCGAATTTGTGTATTTTGAGTAAAGGACATGGCAGCTGTAGTGGAGGATTAGACGGTTAGATCGCCGTACGCGATTTGCCAGTTACGAGATGTCTTCAAAGGTAATGCCAGCTTACCGCAAATGTTTAGCGTGTACAACTTACCAAAAAGATAAATGCCCTGCATTCTGTACTTTTAGAATAAGTTTTGGACAATTTGACGATTGCCAAACCACGTCGCCACTGAAATGTCTGCAGTATGCCCGGGGCTATAGGAGCATTCGTGCTCGCTTCGCGGAATAAACCACATGCCTTCGTCCACGACTAGCTTATAACACACAAGACGAAAGTCTCCGATGAACAGGCAATGTATCGTAGCATTTGTGGAGTTTAAGTACATATATGGCTACAGTTACTGCTTTAAAAGTTGCACACCTAGCGCTATGAATCCGAACAGCTCGTTAGGTGAACACTTTATCGATTTTTGGAGAAGTTTGAGCTAGTTGGGAGTTGGTACAAAGGGGTAAATGAGGATGCTGATTATGGATAAAAACTTACTTATCGATTTTATCGATTTTTGGAGAAGTTTGGCGACGGGGCTTGGAGTTGGTACAGGGGATAAGTGAGGGTGCTGATTATGGATAAAAATTTACTTTATCGATTTTGTCGATTTTTGGAAAATCTTGAGCTACGAGGTGAGTTGGTACAGGAGCTAAATGAGGATATTGATTGAAACCGAAATCTACTTTATCGATTTCAGCGATTTGGGAAAATTTTGAGCTAGGAGTTGGTATAGGGGATACGAGGGTGCTGATTGTGAATGGATCGGCTTTGGCCAGATATGTCGGCAAATTTGAGTTATGGTTGCTCTAGTTATTCGATAAATCATTCGAATGTTTATTCGAAATTCGACTTCCAATGTTCGAATATATTCGATATTCATTCATTCGATATTTTTGATTTTCCGAATTTAATCGAAATTCATTCATTCGACAATTTTTGAACCTCGAATTTATTCGATATTCGTTTATTCGAGTTTTTTTATTTTCGAATTTATTCGATATTCGTTTATTCGAAATTCTTCCTTTTCGAATTTATTCGATATTCATTCATTCGATGAAAAATTTTCGAAGTACCCAAGTATAGTTTATAGCAATTGCAAAGATTATTTCTGAGAAGAGTTACGGTGAATCAAAGTCAGAGTTCGAAAACGGGTAGAACTTTTGAAACAACGCAATAGTAAGGGGTGGTAGAGATCATTTACATTTTGCGGTGAGGAGCATGCGGTGTCACGAAGCGAGCCGGTCAAGAAAGCAAATTCACTACGGATACTACACGAGTGGTGGAACTGACTCGGAGCTAGAGCAGGAGAGGAACAGAAAATATGAACTGAAGGAAGTGGAGGAATGGTAAGCCTAGATCTTGAAGCACACACTATGCTGGGCCATTTTGGACCCTCGGCCCGCGCGGGACCGGGGACCGCAGCTATGTCTGTCTGTACGTAGGTTCCGAATAGAAATTTTCATTTCTGAAGCGATCCGGACCAAACTTGGCACACATACACTTCAGAGCACGGCGGGTGATAGGCTGCTTTTCATCATCGATCGATATCGATTTTATCGGTTTATTGATTCTTTGCAAAGTTAATATACGGGGCTGGGAGTCGGCACAGGGGTAATCGAGCATGCTGATTACGAATACAATATCAATTTTTCAGAATTATCTGCATCTTTCATCGATTTTATCGACTTTTCTGCTGAGCTGATCTCCGGGGCCGGGAATCACAGGGGGTAAGTGGGGAGGCATGCTGACTGCGAAAACAATACGGGCGATAGGGAATCGGCAAGTAGAAGTGGGCACAGGGAAAGGTTTGTACGGGAATAGGGATAGTGACCTTTGACATAGTGTTATGACAGGGCCGGGCGGAGCCGGGTATGCCATCTAGTTAGATTTATTATTCACAGTTTCATCTCTCCGCTTATCGAACCTGTCTTCCTTGAATCATTTTCCTTACACTATTCTTAGCTTTTCTATACTAAATTTTCGCCTTGATGTAATTATGAATTGTGGTAGTTGCTCACGAATAGGTGTGAAGAACATTAACATCAGCATATGCTATACGATATGATATACGATACATATACGATATCGTACCCCGTTGTTGATCTGAAGCTTCAATTTTTATGTACTAGCTGCTTTACTCTTTGGTTTATCAGTAATGTGTCAAAATATCAGCTGCGAAGTACAAATATTCTTTAAGCCTGCCGCAGTATTGACTCACTCTTAATAACTGACTTAGGCATCTATGGAGCTCACTTTCGCTTTTTGTATAAACAAAAACTGACCAAAGGGCATTTTTTTGCCAAGTCCAAAATATCCGGAAAATTCGGATCCCAGTATTCCCTGAATATTTTTGTCTCCTTATTTGTTATCTTCCTAAAAATGAAAGTGGATGTGCCAAACATGTGTTGAAAAAGCGAAAAGGCTCACCAAGGCCACATAAAGCTTGAGATTATATGACCGATGAGGCTCTTCGTTCGTTCGTAAAAGTTCATCTCGTCAGCGCTGTCCATCATCATTGCTACAAAGACAACATTACATGAGTGGAAATTATACACGGTGTCTCAAAAGTATGTGCCCACTCTCTAATCGTTAATATCTTTCTTCAAACTAACAATAAGTATTTTATCAATCTTCAGATACCATTTTGTAGAGCTGGCTTCAACTCATATTCAACAGGGTAACTCAAAAATAATAGGGCACCTAGAGAATAAGTGAGGTTTTCTCAAACAAAAAACAAGTGAATGTCCAAGTTCTGGCAGATGTTAGCACATATTACTAGAACCTTCTGATCGAGGTCTATAAATGGACACTATCTCATCTCGGCAATTCTTAAGCGGCTACCTGCTTGTCACGTCAACTAATTTCGTACTTTGAGCAGCATCGCCGCAGTAAAAGAAATGGGGCTTTCAAAAATATTGTGCCGCAGTGGGTGCGGGGAAAGTCACTAAAATGATAGCCTGGTGGTCTCAAAGCTTTTTAATGAAAATGACTTTAAGTATTAGGAGGCACGCTATTTATTCTCTCATCGGGGTAATCGAATAGCTTTGACGCTCGGCATCACGAGCTTTTTGCGCCCCATCCAAGCGTATACATAACATGACTCTTCCTTGTTAAAAATATTGTGGTCCAAACTTATTTTTTGACCTAAAAATCTGCGCCAGATTTCGCACTTTTCGAATATAAATCTTTTATAGAGAACAATGAAAAAATTCTTCTTTAATGACTTGTTTTGAATGATTTGTCAGATGTCCAAGGGACTTTGGAATACAGCAGCACAAATTCGGATGGAACCAAAACCCATATGAAACACTCACACTGAAGTGTAAGTGTTTCCGTATGGGTGACCTCTCTGAGGCGTGTAAGATTTGCACTCTACCGCATAAGCTGGTTTAGAAATTATGCCAGGTATACCGTGACAAAGTTTCTTCAGTATTACTCAAAATTCCTATTACGCCGCTTGGAGCGCTTTTTAGACTTGTATAAAGTCAAGCAAAGAAAACAGAATGCGGGAAAACCCTGCATACAATCTTTCAGACTGTTGTGCAATTTTTTTGCAATGCAGCTAATTCACACTGCAGTAACAAGAGGCGGTGATTTGCTCTATGGTATAAATGCCCCAAAGAATGGTACCTGAATTGATTGAATATCTAGTTTGAACAGAGATATTAACGACCGGACAGTGTGCACATACTTTTGAGACACTCTGTATCATGTATAGGCTGCTGCATGACGAAGGTGCAATATCTTCGGGGGCGAATGCGGCTTTATTAGCCGCAGAGCGCATGAGGTGCGGGATCTACAACGGTGAGAATACGCGCGCGTCGCCTTCGCGCACGCCAACTAATATCGCCATTGCGCCTTCGTCATGCAGCAGTCTTTATGAGTTACGAAATAGAAGTCTAAATCAGTTTTCGAAACTATAGGAGAAAAGTGCGTCTTCCGTCGGCAATTTCACTCTAGATGTATCGAAAATGCCTTCAAAAAAAATTCACTCACGACTTACGTAACTAGCGTATGTGGGCACGCCAACAGTACGAGCCACAAAATCCATAAGTTGACCACTGAAATGCAGATTTTATTGATTTTTTGACGCAAATTACTGTTTGGAAGGCAGAAGAATTTTTACTTGTGATGTCAGAAATAGAAATCACGAAATAGATGAGTCAATTACCATGATCATCTCCTTGCTATTAGGCTGTCCCAAAAGTAAAACGTATTTCTAAATAAATCGAACTGCGCTTTGTTTTCCTAGCAGACTTAGGGCACCTTTCGATAGAGCGAAGCAAGCTCCATAAGATGACTACCGAAAATCCGTCTAAATGATCCGAATGAATTTGGCCTAAGAATCAAACATTTCCAACTACCTTAAAAATAGGATCTCCTTCCAGAAATTTCCTAAGGACCTTCTACTTAGTCATTATATAGTGTGCACGTAGTAGCACCTAAAAATGTACTTGGTGGATTATTTTCGGGGCTCAAAATTGAGGAATTAAAATGCCGCAAAAATGCAAAAAATGTCACTTTTTTGGGTTTTTATGCTAAACTTGATATCCCTCGATTACCAAAACACAAACAGACATAATGTTCCAAACTTTTACTTACTAAGGCGTGTAGTATACAATGACATATGTGGGAGGGGCTGCAGGTGGAGTTTGCCATTTTCAGACCATCTCATTTTTCTCACTTTCTATGCGCGAAAAAAATCCGTCAAAGGCATATTTGAGTACTACTACGTGTCTTCTGTATAATGACACAAGGTCCGTAGGGCTATTCTTCCCAAAAATCTAATTTTATGGTGGTAATTTTTTTCGATTTCTCCTCCTTTTTCTGGATTACGAATTAGGAGGATCTTTGGTGTTTATTTTGTAGAGCTTGCTTCGCTCTATCGAATGGTACCCTAAGTTTCCTTGAAAAACAAGAGTATTTCGATCTATTTGAAGATATGTTATACCTTCGGGACAACCTAATAAATAGCCTTTCCCATCAGTAGTGAGCGGTTTTAACGAAGTAGTTCAAAGAGAAGGAGGAAGGGGGGGGGGGGGAGGGGGAACGGTCCTTCATGTGCGTGGATGAGGGAGAAGGGAGATGGCTCATTTGCGATTGCTTCTTTTGATTTTACTTCGTGGCTTGTACTGTATGTATTAGATAGTTCCATAAGTTCGTAGCGTTTCTATAAACTAAGAATCATTAATTCATGGTAAGAGCCAATCAATTGATTTTTCATGTAGCGCACGACCTTTTAGCACATTCCTGTTGGCTTCTCAATCCCAATTTTTCAAACGGCAGCGCGCAGGGTCCCAAGGAAGTCATTTAACCAGCGCTCAAATTACTTATTGTTAGGGAAATCGAGACAAGCAGCATTCATGAGCTTTGCGAAAGAGCGGAACAAATGATAATCTGATAGCGCAAGAGTTGGAGATTACGTTGGGTACTGAAGTAACTTCCAGTCAAATCTTGCAGGACAGTTTTGACGACGTTTGATTTGAGTATGTCGCGCATGTTTGTCATGCAGAATAACTCATTGGATCTCTTTGTTAGGCTTTTTCTGCGGGTAGAACCTGGTTTAGACTGTGCAGTTGGATTTCTTACGGTATGGTTGACCATCGCCCAATTGTACAGCAATTTTCAGTGCAGGACTTCCTGCCCGTACCCTGAAAAGTCTTGTTCAGGGACACCCTGCTCAGCCCCTAATCTTTCGTAGCAATCCAATCCTCTTTTAGCTCATATTGATGTGCGAGCGCAATTTTCCATAACTGACAAAAAAGCCTATGCAAAAAACTTTTTTTTCATAAGAAAAAGGCGCAAATGTCGAAATTGCTCTTTTTTGCCTGTCAAGATTTCCATCTTTGGAAGCTAAGAGATCCGATTGAGTTAGCTTTTTACCGGAATTAGTAGACATATTTTAAAGAGCACATTTAGCCCTTCCCAATGATATACGCATCTTGCCGCAAATCAAGTGTTCCTCAAAGATATAAGGACGAAATGGAAACGCTACGAACTTACAGAACGACCTAACAGTTGTAACGAAAGAAAAATTTTATCTGAACGAATAGTTTTAGTTCTGGTTTTTGAAATTTCTTCGAACGAATGGATATCGAATTGATCTTCGAGCTTTTACGAACGAACGAATATTGCTCGATTTCCGATTATCATACTATTCGTATTCGTATATTCGAAACGGGTACATTCCAAATTCGAACTTCCGAAGATTCGAATAACCGTACCTTGATCGAATATTGACTCTTCGAATATTTTGAATAATTATTCGAATACGAATATTCGATTCCAGCTGTAAAGTGTTGGTTGGCCGTAACACCGAAATCTCTGTTTTTGGATATATCATCTTGAAATTTTGAACCAAAACATTTTTTCAATTTTTCAGTTTTCAGCAAAATTTTAGGATTTTAGTTTTTTAAAAGATGAAATTTTCTGCAAGGAAGTAATCTTAGGCTACAATGCGGGTGAAAAATCCACGAAAAGATGCATGGTAAACTTTAGATGTGAAACAGGTTTATTTGAGAATTTTGGAAAACTTATGTGAATGGAAGTTTTGTCCACCTCAATGCGGGTATTAGGTGGGCATTTGATCACCTAATTCCAAGTTAAGCACCCTTTCCACATGAATTTTTCATAATTTTTCATACTGTGTCTCCTAGTCCTATTGCGCGTATATACACACCAAATTTCGTGCTGTATTGTCATCTGTGCGTTACAAATGAGCCATTCTTGCATTTTCTGGTAGCGGAAAGCCTTCAGAAAAAGGCTTACCTACCTCACCTCCCAAAACATTTTTCCACAACTTTTCTCAGTTTGTTCTTCTTAGCCCTTGTCCGTCTACATATTGAATTGTAGCATAATTTCGTGTGTGCGCCCTAATCAAATCGTTTGTTCGTTTACTGTTATGTGCAAAGAAACTTAAGACTAGTTTTCAAAATGACGCCTTGTACATCATCATGTGTGAGCAATTGTGTAAATCGTTTACACATCTGGTCTGGTCTAAAATCTGGTCCTCACGGGCTGAACATGTCTAAGGTGTATGTAATGCACACAAGCGATGATTACGATAGCCCATTTGCTTTTCATATAAAACGATTTTCAGCTTGACATTTGCCACTCTTGTGCCAGACCCTGACTGCTCACAGTTAGCTGGAAGAAATGAAAAAAGAAGGCAAAGCGCGCGTAAAAGTTCACCATCTTCACCCTCAACGTTCAAGAGAGTAGAAGAAACTTGAATACTTAGCCTGTCTTGCAAACATGAGCATGAGATTCTCTGATTCTCGAAATGGGCTTTAGAGATGACCGCGTCAGCCTCCTTGCCCCCTATTTTTTTCTCAGGATGAACTAACCAGGAAATGGTCAGAAGTCTAAGCGGCCAATCCAAGCAAGCTGCTTACCTTTCGATGCAGCATTCAAGGCTGATTTCGAATCTGTACTCCTTATCTGCTTAGCGCCTTTGTGGACGAAGTTATGAGCAGTTTAATTGTGAAAAAGTCGTGCATGGAAATTGCGAAATTGAGCACTTTGTTGCCTTTTAGCTCACATTTGAGCTTCGAGAATTAGAAGTAACCTAGCTGCATGTTTTGGCCCAGCATTAAGCAGAACAGACTGCAATGGCTGCACGATTTCATAACAAAATAATGGCGTTTAACGGCTCATAACTTCGCCCACGTAGGGATATGGAACTTAGATTCGAGGTCAGCGTTTTATGCTGCACCTAAGGCTTATTTATATTGGTCACTTCCTTCTGACAACTCACTTGTAAGTCCTAATCTGTGCTTCCCAGCTTTAAAAAATATCAAGAACCCGCTTTTCGGGATGCAAAGGTGCTGTTTTCGCGTGAGGCAAAGGCCCACCTCCTGGAGAGCGATTGGCTCGTAGATTCGGAATGGGTGGAGACACCGTCCGTACCCATCTCGACGGCAACTGGATTATTGGTTCCAGCAGCCAATCGGTCTACGAGAGGGCCCGCTTTCGCTTCCCGTCCAAACAGCACTTTCCACGTTCGAAAAAGCGACTGATCAATATCTTAAAAAGCTGCAAAGGACAGTTTGCTTACAGCGGAGTCGGGATCGACGAATATCCCAAGGTTGTCATTCTGCCGAACCACTGCCTTTAAAGGCAGTAGGTCGGCAGAATGAGACCCGTGGCAAAACAAGGTCCCAGGGTAGGAGCCCCCATAATGGAACCTGTGGGCCAAAGTTCGATCTTCCTCTGCCACTTCTAACCCCCGAAATTTCAAAGCGCAAGCAGCGCTCAGCTCCTGTCCTCTCCGAACCCGCCCACCCCATAGACGAGTGAACGCGAAGCCAGTCTTGGCGAAGACGCAGGGTCGTTGCGGGACCTCATGCTTGTAGCATTGCGGCTGGCGCTCTGACCGCGGAAGTCACTCGTCCATGGGGTGGGCGGGTTCGGAGAGGGCAGGAGATGAGCGCTGCTTTCGCTTTGAAATTTCGGGGGTTAGAAGTGGCAGAGAAAGACCAGACTTTGGCCGATAGGTTCCATATAGGGGCTCCTACCCTGTGACCTTGTTTTGTCACGGGTCTCATTCTGCCGATGTACTGCCTTCAAGGGTGAATCCACAATGTTCCACATCTAACTTATGAGTGAGACCAATAGCTATCCCTTTCTCATTATGTGTCAATCTCATCCACCTTGTTTTTAATCATCTAAGGTTTTTGCCATACCAGTTACATTTATCTTTCTTTGTTTGTATTTGCACCTTCCTCATAAATTTGAAAACTCTATCTGTGCCATGATGTAGACAATGCTAACCTGTTCAGCCACACCCATGAGGGTATCTTAGCAGCATGAATGAGCCCAATCGGGCAGCTGTGATACGTATGTGCAAAAGCGACGTCGAACTTCTCATCACTCAGCCACTGCATAAATTTCTTGTTTTGTACTGTCACTGCAAAGCTACCGGAGTTTTTCAGTCCTAGCAAATATTGAATTTTGTACATACATCTGCAGCCGTCAATGAGCATTCCAATAAACTGATCCAAGTGTCTTCGAGCTGCAGGATTCAATATTGAAATTTCCTGAAAAGTGGAGTATCTAGAAAGATGGTTTTGTTAGCTTGTACGCCGATACCCCAAAAACTGTTGCTCTCTGGAATTCCTCCATTTCCGCCCTGGTGAGGCCAGTGGACACGTTCAGCGGATGTACTGGAAAATTTGGGATGGTTCCTACTTTTCAATGGAAATTAGGTACAGTCGAGGAGATTTTCCGCTTAATATGGTGTATACCATATTAAGCGGAAAATCTCCTCGACTGTACCTAATTGCTTGCACAGAAGGTGAAATGCGGTAAAATTTGCGCATGAGGGAATAGCTTCGACTGTGGCGCCGGCCAACTGCGCGCGCAAAATGCCGGCAGTGCTGGCGCAGCTACCTGTTCACGCGCAAATTTTACCGCATTTCATAAACTGTGCAAGCACACTATATTAAGCGGAAAATCTACTCGACTGTATACATGTGAATATCCAGCTCTGCTGAAACTGTTCTCCGGCAAGCTCAAAACCATCAATCGAGTTTAAAAGCAATTTGCATATCTTTAAAACTCCGTTGTAAGATGGTAGAGACGGTACTGATTTATTACACTTCTTTCCCATTTTATGACGGTCTCTCTTACCAAGGAATATGCGCGCTAATAGAATGTCGTTACGTAGTTATAACTTCCTTGTCTATAGTTTCTGAGTACATTCTAACAAAGCAAGTGCCTCTGATCGTAGTGGTTTTTTTACGAGTTCCATAACATTTTACAAAGAATCCAACGCTAATCCCAGATCTTCCCTCAATATCTGCTGTGCGCTTTTGGATGAGTTATGAGTGTATTTTGAGCAATAAATGAACACAATATCTAGATAAAATCAGCCATTACGCTCTGGGCTCAACCAGGGCCATATAGGCCGTCCGAACAAGGCGTGGAGAATGCGCAGGATGTGTACTGCGCGTCAATCCTCTTTCCTCGTGCACTCTCGCCGCTCGTTTTCTCTGGGTCTCCTCTACCCATAAACTATCTTCAGTGGACGCAACAGCGTTGCTTTCCGAGGGCAACGCGGACGGCCTATACCTTCGATAGTTCAGAGACCGAGACCCAAAGATGGAGGTTTTTAAACCCCTTCCCTATATGAACAGTGAAGTTGTCTACAAAAGGTTAGAAAAGAGAAGTAAACCAAATAGAAAACTTAGGATGTAGAAAACCCAGGTAAGACGCTGCATCAAACTTTGTTTCCTTTTCTTATGGCGGTGTTTAAAAAAGTATTTCCTTCACCGGCGCTTCTACTGGAAAGAAAAGGTTGAAAATTAATTAGCTTTCTCGATTGAAGCAATCACCATTAGAAAGTGGGGAATGCCTTGAAGAGGACGATACAAATTAGTCAGAAAGCCATAAGGTTTTCTTTTCTTTCAAAGTCAAAGCCAGTCTAGTTTTTGACGCGTACCTCAGCTACCCCGCCTTGTCGTTTATGTTTTCGAGACGTTGTTTCCCTTATTCTGCTCACCGTTCTGAGGAAGAAACCCTTAAGCATAAAGAGAATGATTGCGTACCCACTTCAAAAAAGAGCTATGAAGAAACGCACTCTCTACAAGTACTCATAAATTTCCGCCATAATGGAAGTAGGAAGGTTGTGACGTTGTCTACTTATAGAAAAAGCAAGATCCATCGAATATAGAAAAAAACGCATGAAAAGAACAAAATTGAGAAAAGACGACAGACTGAAAAAACATTTTAGCCACGTTTCTCGTTCATATCAAAATGGGATTGGCGACGTTGCCAGCGATCGGCAGCGATAGAGCTTCAAGAATTGGAACAACGAGAAGAAGGATGCTAGTGTCACATGACCCGTGAAGCGCATTTGCGGTAGCGAGGCAGCGCACGACAAGTGGGGAAAGAGCAGAGCCAACGGGCATTTGGCTCTGACCTTAGAGTTCCCGGGTTTTCCAACGAAACCCTGCAACATTAACAGGGTGTCCCAAAAGTATGTATACACTGTTTGATTGTTGATATCTCTCTTCCGAAGAAGTCTTTTATCTAGCTTTGAGTACCATTTTGTAGAGCCGGCTTCAATTTAGTTTACAGAGTGAAGCAAGTCACGATCACTCTTCATTACGGTAGGACCATGGTAGGAACTTCAAGAAGGCACTATTTCGCCTCAGAATGCAAAAGAAACAACCTGGAATTCCTTTCTAAGCTAATTGAAGCCGCTAAAACTAAATGTAGACTTTGCACTTTACCGCAATTCTTCCTTTATAAGTTATGACAGGTAAACCTCAAAAGCTGTTCTAACAAAGTTCCTGAAACTGTAATTACACCATACGAAAAGTCTTACAAACGCGAGAAAGTCATTCAATAAAATCAACGCGCGTGAAAACCCCGATATACCACACTTTTCACACTTTTCTGGCACTTTTTTTGGAATGCGTCCGATCCGCGTACGATCCTGTAAGCCAAAAGTTCCTACCGTAATCTTACAGTAATGAAGAGAGACCGGCAATTCGGTCTATACTGTGAATCTAAGTTGAAGCCAGCTTCACGAAATGGTACCTGGAGGTAGGTATAAGAATTCTTGAGAAGAGAGATATTAACGATCAAACAGTCTATACATAATTTTGAGACACCCTGCATATCAATTTGTTCGTCATGAGACAAATAGGAGACACTGACAATGCCGCCGGCGTTAGAAATCAATCGGATTGAACAAATTTTCGTGCGCGATATCTGCACATAACTGCGCGTTTTCTCGTTCCTATCGAAATTCAACAGCCTTCGGTATCTTCGAGAGTCATTCTTAGTCTAAGAAGAGATTAGTAGCAGTGTTATGTTTGATTCCAGCATTTACTCAAAATCTTGTTATTAGCGCTAAGAGCCTGTAAGCAAATTTTTTGCTGAATGTTTTTGGCTTATTACTCGCTACTGCTTCATTCATAGTCATCCCTACTTAGTTATGATGTCAGTATCCAAAACTTCGCCCGGACCTTCTGTTTTTCTAAAGTGAAGGTTGCGTTCTCTTATGTCGCCTTGAGTGAAGGTTACCGAGTACATGGCTCTATGTACTGAGGGCAGAGCAGTGGTGAGTGTGAGTACGCTACAAAGAAGGTATTCCATTGCACGAAGTCCCATACCCAACACTGACTCACTGAGAGGTCTAGATAATTTTTGTCCCAATTAACTGTTGATTTCCCTTCTTGAGAAACGTTCATAACTCGTCTGCACAGGCACACAGAAACAAGAAGTTAGCATTCCAACCAGGGTCAAATGCTCTTCGAAAAGACATAAAGTTTATCTGAAAAGGTCACTTCGACTAAGTGCACATTGCTTGCAAGGAAAATCTATTCTATATGATATAATTCATATTAGGTCGTTCCATAAGTTCATACGTTTTTCTAAACCATCAGAATCATCAATTTACAGTAAAAATCAGTCAATAATATATTCCTCAATGTAGCGCACGACCTTTTGGCACATTCCTATTAATTACTCAATCTCAATTTTTCAACGGCAGCGCGGCGGGTCTTAAAAAAGTCATCCAAGCAGCGCTCAAATTACTCACTAAAATCAAGACATGCACTATCCGTGAGGTTTGCGAGAGAGCGGAACAAATGATATTCTGAGAGAGCGAGATTTGGAGAGTACGTTGGGTACTGACGTACCTTCCAGTCAAATCTTACGGGACAGTTTTGACGACGTTTGCCGCATGGGGTCATGTTTCGTCATGCAGTAAAACACGTTGAATCGTCTAATGGACTTCTTCGCGATAGGACTTGGTTCAAACGGTGCGGTTGATTACTTACGGTATGAGTGACCGTCGCCTACTTGTCCAGCAATTTTCAGTGCAGGACGTCCTGCCTGTCTCCCGAAAGTCCTGCTCAGCGACATCATGCTCAGCCCCTGATCATTTGTAGCAATCCAACCCTTTTTTGTCTCATATTGATGTGCGAGTGCCATGTTTCATCCTTCTATATATATAAAACCGAATGGTGCACTTGTCTGTACGCTGGTGGATGCCGTCTGTACGTCCTCGATGGTGTTTTTCTGGTCGATGGTGTTTTCGTGTCTGTCGTTTTACAGTATGGAAACCTGTTACTACTTCTATCAAATTTATCGATTACTTGCAAATCTTGAACTACGGGGCTGGGAGTTGGCAAAGGGGGTAACCGAGTATGCTGATTACGAGTACAATATTAGTTTGTAGAATTATCAATTACTTTTATCATTTTACGATTTTTTTTTGCAAAGTTCGAGCTACGGCGCTGAGAATTGGCACAGGGGGGTAAGCGAACATGCTGATTACGGATACAATATTAGTTTTCAGAATTATCAATTACTTCTATCATTTTATCGATTTTTTGCAAAGTTCGAGCTACGGCTTTGAGAGTTGGCACATGGGAGCAAGCGAGCATGCCGATTACGATTATGATAACCAATTCAGGAATTACCCAATTCTTCTATTGGTTTGATTGATTTTTTGCAATTTTTGAACCACGGCGGGTGGAAAGGGCTGGTACAGACAGTTAATTGAGCATGTTGCTCACGAACACGTTCTTATTTTACAAGTTATCAATTACCTTCACTGGCTTTATTGGTATTTTGCAAAGGTTTAGTCACGGAACTGGGATTTGGCACATGGGAAAAGCAGGCATGCCGATTACGACTGTAATAAATGTTCTTGAATGTACCTATTATTTCTGTCGATTTTCTATCTTATATATAAAGCTGAATGTCTGTATGTATGTATGTATGTATGTATGTATGTATGTCTGTATGTCTGTCTGTGTGTACGTATGTTCCGAATAGAAAATTCCATTTCTGAACCGATCCGGACCAAACTTGGCACACATACACTTCGGGCCCCGGCGCGTGTCATAGGCTACTTTTCGTCATCGATCGATATCGATTTTATCGATTTTTATCGATTTTTTTGCTGAGTTCACCTACGGGGCTGGGAGTTGGCACAGGGGGGTAATCGAGCATGGGGATTCCGAATACAATACTGGTTTTCAGGATTATCGATTACTTTTATCGATTTTATCGATTTTTTGCAAAGTTTGAGCTACGGGGCTGGGAGTTGGCACAGGGGGGTAATCGAGCATGGGGATTCCGAATACAATATTGGTTTTCAGGATTATCGATTACTTTTATCGATTTTATCGATTTTTTTGCAAAG